AAATAAATTTTTTAGTAATAATGTTTTTAAAAAACTTTTTCGATTAATTGAAAGAGTAGGAAAAGTAAGAAAGAGAGAAAAATTAAAAAATAAGCTAAAAAACCAAAGAAGCTCTTAAAAAATTCTTCTTTTTCTTTAAAGAAAAATAATAAGTAAAATTACTTGCAATTTCGATTTTTGGCAAATAATCCAGAGAAGCGTTTCGAATCGATCATTCGGATTGGAAAAAAATCAAAATTACTTCCTTCTCCTCTTTCCCCTTGAAGTGAAAATTGCAATTCCGTTGAACTTGTCGATTATCAATAAATTCTTATTTTTGATTGTTTCCATTTTTCGATTTTCTATTTCTTCCTCTCGAATTTCGAACAAGTTTTCGAACATTTTTTCCTAAAACAAATAAAACTGATTAGAAAAATCAAAAAAATAGTGAGAGTAAAATAATAGAGAAAATAAACTCAAAAATCAATCAATCAAAATTTAATAAAAGTAGGTAATAAAAATTTCATAAAAATCATAGAAAGGATGTGAAAATAATTGAATACAATAAAGAGAATAGAGAAAAAATAATAAAATAGATAAAAATAAATATATAAAAAATACGAAAGTAAATGAATATAATAGAGATAATAAAGAGAAAAATAATAAAATAAAAAAATATATAAAAATAAATACAGAAAAGATGCAAAAGTAATTGAAGACAATAGAAATAATAAAGAGAAAAATAAAAAACTAGATAAAAATAGTACACAAAAATGATATAATCGACAAAAATAATAAAATACTCGAAAATGATATAATCGACAAAAATAATAAAATAAAAAAAATAAAATTCAAGAAACTGATAAAATAGACAAAAAAAATATTGAAACAAAAAATGTGAATATGCGTGGCAAATAAAAAATATAAAAATGTAGAGTGAGATTGTCCATGTAAGGCTTAGGCTGGGGGTCGCTAATTTTAGTTTGACTCTCGCAAGAAACCAAGAGTTAGCAAAAGCAAATCGGGCAGCTGGTGAACCGGCGACGACGACGGCGCAAGCCTTGCACGTGGCGACGCGTGTCTCCGTGGTCTTTGCTTATATTCCTATCGGACATCCCCCTTCATATTTCACTGGCGTAAGCAAAATCTGGAAGTGAAAAAAAGGAAGTAAGTAAACAAGAGTCCCAAGAACCGGTGTACCAATTTCCAAATGATTTGTAGGGTACTTGAAAAAAATTTGTCTTCAAATGATCATTATTCTTGAAAAAAAAAATTCAATAAATAGTAAGAAATTGATCTCAACAAAAAAAATGACAGTGAAGAATTAAAATAGGTACACTTTTTCGAATAGAGAGAAAGAATTAAAAACAAAAAACTAGTTTTTTTATTTTTTTTTAAACCCAAAGTTTAAAATTAATTAATAAATTTATGACCGAAAGGTAGAAATACTTAGGCCAAAAGTTTCAATTTAATAAATTAATTAGTGTATAATAAATACTGAAATAATTCTCAAACGCTTACGCCATTGATTTTTCTTTCTTTTTCGTCACCCGCCAGTTGCAAATTTCGAACGCGTGCCCCCTTTTTTTTATTGCACGCTTGCCACTTTCTCGGTGATGCAAAATTTTCAATTTGACATTTCGCAGGGAGTCACGTTTAAAACATTTATTATTTCCCTTTTGTGTGTGTGTCTTAAAAATTTCCAACTTCCGTTCCATAATTGAGAGATTGAAAACATCTGAAATAAATAAAGAAAAAATAGTAAAATTAAAAACACTCGAAAAAAAATATACAGAATGAACAAAAATTTGCAAATAATAAATATCTAAAATCTTATATTTCTCCAAGACTTCAGACTTTTTAATTCTTTGCAAATATAAATTCTTTTTAGAGGGAATAGAAAAAATGTATAATATTTTATATAGAATTCAGAAAAGAGAGTAAAGTTTCTCTTTTTTTTTGTCTTTGGAAAAAGAAAAAAAAGGGAAATATAGAAGAAAGAAGACGGGATTTAAAGAGAGAATAGTGCAGCGGATGTTTGAGAGTACCGAACTTTGAGCCCCCTTTGGCCTTCGTGGTTGCACCCTGTTGCATGTTATATATATTTATGGAGGTGTTTCTAAGCGGATGTAATGTTTAAAGATTTACATATAGTATAAATAGGCAGTGGTTGCGCTCGGGGACTTTTTTTCTCAACGAGATGATGATTTTTGTTTTGATCCACATTTCACGTTTAAATTATCCCCGTCATGGTGGTCCTTTTTCCAAATCAATTGACAATCATATTTATTTGTGTTGATAAAATGCTTTCAGTTTCATTTCACTTTTTATTTTCCTGAAACAAAAAAAATATTGTAACATTTAAATTATCTATTTTTATCCATTAAAATATCTGCAATATAATTAAAAGAATATTAATATTTATTAATTTTTATTATTATTATTTTTATTATTAATATTATTATTAATTTATAATATCAATATTAATATTCAAAATAGTAACACTAAAAATATTAATATTTCCTTTAGCTGAAACACAATTTTATATCTTAATTTTTATTACTTGATTAATTATCAAAGTGATTAATACCATATTTTTAGACTTTACAGAATGATTTAAACCCCAACCTGTTTGGTTCAAAATGTGAGAAAAATAACCGAAAAAAATCGAGTCAAATTTCATCGCACCCCCAAGAGGTCCAAACGATCGTGAGAAATATTTAAATGTCCTGGGAGACTTTTAAAAATTTGAAATTTCACATTTGGTCAGTGACACGTGATATTTTGTTTTTAATTCTTAAGCTGATTTTCTAAGTGTTTTTTTTAATATTTAATAATTAATTAATTACTAACAGGAAATTTAAGAAAATTCAAACTTAAATTATTATTAAGACTAAAAATAAACATTATTTTGAGAAAAAGAAAAAAATATAAAATTGTAACTGAAAAATAAATATTATAGAAATGGAAAAAAGTATAAAATAGATAAATTAAAAAATACTGACGAAGAAGAAAATATAAAATTGATTAATTAACAAATAAATATTGTTGAAACAGCAGAAAATATGAAATTTATTAATTAACAAATAAATATTGCTGAAAGAGCAGAAAATATGAAATTGATTAATTAAATATAAATTAATTGATTTTAACACAACATTTTGTCTTAATAACAATTAGGAAAATGTGTTAAATTGAAGAACTCAGCACGTGGTTGTCAAAAATTGAGAACTCCTGCTGTGACAGCACACAACCACCAGATGCTAGGTGACTTCAAATTTCACAGCCCCCCACTATGTAAATTTAACAAGAAATTTCTAAAATCAAATATTTAAAAAATTATTCAAAGTTATAATTATTATTTTAATAAAAGAAAACTAAATAAAAAATTCTTTAAGGTTCCTCAGTATTTAAACTCCCCAGAAAGGAGAAAAGTACAATTATTAAAATTAAAAAATAAAGAAAAAACTATTTATTTTAAAAATTAAAATATTTTTTAAAATAAATTTCAAATAAATTTTTAAATAACGAAAATTAAAATTTTCAAACTTACATTCTCGACTGCCTTTTTTCATCTCTTTATAACTATTGGCTTGGATCTTTCTTTCTTTAAAAAAATGTCGTATGAATTTTTGAAGTTGGTTGAACGTTATATCGTTTTCACAATAAGAATATCACCTGCTCCTATTGTTTGGCTAACTGGGATTGTTTTTTCTTTGTTTTTTTTTCAGTTTTATTTTCTAAAGGCGCGTGCCGCCGCCGTCACAGAAATCCGACACGTCTCTGCAAAATAAAAAGAAAGATTCAATAAAAGAAAAGGTCCTTCGCGTCGAAGAATATCACACAAGTGAATTTATATATTTTTTTCTCACTGAGAAATTAAAATTCGTCATGAAAAGGAATTTTCAAAATAAATTATTTAATATATACATAGGTAGTTTAAATAAAAGAATTTTTCAAAATCGTTACCTGGGAAAAATTTTTTTGTAGCGTAATTTTCATTTTTAGAGCACTCCACGAAATATTGTAAAAATAAGATATTGATCAATTCACTTAAATAATCCACGTTCCATTCCTTAAAAAAATAAATAATAAACTAAATTAGCCAAGAAAATAAATTTTAAAAAAATGTATTAAAAAGTAAAATAACTTTAAAATAAAATACTTGAATTAAAATAAAATAAAAAAACTTTTCCCTTAAAATTTGAGAAAAACGTCTTTAAATAGTTGATATTAGAGAAAATTAAATAAATAAAGCAGAATAAATTTAAAATTTTCAAAAATAGTATAAAAATAGTACCGGACATTTGTTCCATCGCTTCACTGAATTTTCGATGAATTTTAAACCTCTTGTTGCACTAATCTCTCCACAAGTAGGCCACTTAACATACGAAAATTCTTCTTTTCCGGCTGGAAATGCTTTTCCGGAATCTAATGACTTCTATTTTTATAAAAAAAAAAATTGTATTTAGCTGTTAACTTAAAAAAACATTTACGAAAAACCATAAGATTTACCAAATAAATTGAATTGATTATCGTTTCATCAATAATTTTTTTTCACAAAAATTGATGAGTTTCGTTTTCGTATAAAAAATTATTATTGACTCTCTATAATTATTAAACTATTTCGAAAATAATGGGTATTTTCAGTAATTATCGGAATTTTTCAATGAATTATTAAAAATTGTTTATAATTAAAATTTTTCAAATAAATCAAATAATTCAAAAATAGTTAACAAAAAAATAATTCATAATTTAACAAAAAGTGCAATTTGTAAAAATATACAAAACGTTTTAATTTAAAAATCTAATTTCCATTTCTTTGAATTTTTAAGAATTTATTTTGTAACAGACTGTACATTTTTTATTAATTAATCATTAATTATCTAAATATTAATAATAATATTAATAATACGATCTCTAAACTTCAAAAAGAAAAATAAAAAACGAATAATTATTTCCAAATTATTTTTTCAAATCAATAATTGACTTTCGTGACATTAGTCGAAATTATTATAAAAATATCACATTCATCAAATTCCCAGCACATTATATTGCATTATAATATAAATATCTACCAATTGAGTAAAAAATAAAAACTATTTTTTTTACAAAAAACAGTGAATTGTTGATATTTGAAGTAGTGTGAAAATGTTTCTCTTTTACCAAAAATCGTCACACTTCACTTCAAAATTATTATAAAAATGATTTTAGAATTTTGTGCGATTTCCATTTTCTTTCAAACGTTCTCTTTCTCTCTCTCATGTACAGATTTTCATTCTTTTCTTATCTATAACGAAAGAAAAGAATCACATTAGTTTTTGTCGAAAATTCTAAATATTTTTATAGACATTAAAATTGTCAGTCTAATTATTTTGATCGATGGGAAACATTTTTTTTTTGTAGAAACATTGAGAGATATATTTTCCATCTACTGCCTAAATCTGAATTGTAGTAAAAAATTTTAACAACAATAGTTTGTTGTAAATTTGTCCAATTTTACTATTTAAAGAACAAGTAAAAAATATTTTTTTAGAATTATTAATTAATATTAAAAATAGTAATATTAATAGATAATACTAGTTATTAATATTATTTAATAAAAATATTAATTATTATTATTATAATAATAATTTACTGAAATTTATCTAATTTTTCGCTAAAAATCTGTTACTACCTAATTGAAATTTTTTTCGAAATCAAAAATCATTTTTTACTGATTTTGATATTTCAATATTGAATCAAATTGAATATTAAAATAAAATAATTTTTACTAATTCAGATTTAGAGAGTAAATAATTAAATACAATTATCTATGTAATTATTGAATTAATCACAGTTTAGAAAATTGTGATATTTTCTTCTTTAGATTTTCAGTTGTGTTCTCGTGCACTTTTTATGAACACTGAGATGAATTTTTAAAAACTCTACTAAATACGATTGACTATATTAACTAAAAACTAGAACTAAATTAGCAGTCATTTTTTGTGGGAGTTTCACTCTGAACTCTGGCTGCCTTCGTAGAAGCTTCCAGGCCAGTCACAGCAGATAAAACTTTAAAGAGACTCTCCATCAATTTACTGAATATATCAGACATTTCATCGTCACTTCGTGTTACCACAAAAAGTTCTAAAAGTAAATATTTCTCCATTAAATTTCTAATATACAGAAAACTATATTGTTTGTAATAAATTGGTTTCAAAACAGAAATAAAATAAAAATTTTCTATTTTTTTTTACAATCTCATAATTTTGAGGAAAAAATACGTGTTTTTTCCTCATAAATCATAAAAATTTGTACTAAATCAAAGTATGTAATTAAAAAAGAAAATCAAAAATGAAAGAAAAAAAAATAAAAAAGAATTAAAAGAAATAAATTTTTAAATAAAAACTCACCAGATCTGTCTTGTCCCAAGTGTCTGCAATACATGTTTACAGCAGTCGTCACATCGTCATCGTCATGAAATGGATCACCGGGCCATTTTGCCCTGTGAAGTCTCACAGCCTCAAGAGCAGAGGACCATCTTTCAGAGCCCAAAAGTTCCGCCACTCTCGCGAATTCCTCGAAAGCTCCACTTCCCGAGAGTGAACTCGAACTTGGAGTTGGCGTTGGAGTTCCTCTTTCACTCTCTGTACTCTCCTCGAGAGCTCTACTCAAAGCGACTTTCATATTTGCAATTTCCAACGACATATCTTGCAATTGAATTTGAATATTTTTCGCCGCTCCCAACAAGGCGGTCAACATTTTATTTGACGCCTCAATTAACAGCAAAAGTTGAAAATGAAGTTTATAGAGAGCTCGTCCCAAGTCCAAGAGCATTTCCTCGAGACTCGCGTCAGTCGAATGGGCCTCGTCTAATGCGTGAAGCTTCGCTGTTGTTTTTACTGCCTCCAAACACTGTTTAAAAGAATTTTATTTTGTTAAATTAAATTGTACTGAATTTTATTTATTAAACTTTTATTTTAAAAAATAGCGCTAACGTGTTCCGCGCCAGCGCGCAGAACGTCCGATTCCATTTGTTATTCTTATGCAAATTAAAAAATGTTTTATTTTTAAAAATAAATTTTTGAATAATTTCATAACCAAAATTTAAAAAATTTACTTACGAAGAAGAAGAAAAATTCAATTATTTTTTAAAATAATAAAATTTTTTGCAAAAATTCAATTATTTTCAACAAAATTTTAATAAATCCTTCGAAACAATTCAATTATTTTTTAAAACAGTAAAATCTTTGCAAAAATTCAATTATTATCAATAAATTCCAAAGAATTTATTTCAAAAGAATTCAATTATTTTCTAAATTTTAATCAAATTCTTCCTAAAAATTCAATTACTTTTAATACAATCTTTATTAAATTTCTCCAAAGAATTTAAATTTCTATCGAAACAATTATATTATTTTTAAAAAATTTTAATAAAAATCTTTGCAAGATTTCAATTATTTTCATAAATAATAAAATTTTTCATAAGATTTCAATAAAATTCTTCCAAAAACATCAATTATTTTTATAAAAAGTAAAATTCTTTTGAAAATTTCAATTATTTTCAAAAACTTTAATAAAATTCTTTCGAAAAATTCAATTATCTTCGTAAAAAATAAAATTATTTTGAAGATTTCAATTATTTTCTTAAATAATAAAATTCTTCGGAGAATTTCAATTATTTTCAAAAATTTTCATAAAATTTTTCGTAAAAATTTAATAATCTTCATGAAAAATAAAATTTTATGGAAGATTTCAATTATTTTCATTAATAATAAAATTCTTTGGAGGATTTAAAATATTTTCAAAAATTTGAGACAAATTCTTATCAAGAATTCAATTTTTTTCATAAATAATTGAATTTTTTAGAGAATTTCAATTATTTTAAAAAATTTGAAACAAATTCTTGTCCAAGAAATGCTTTCGAAGTAAAATTCTTTGAAATATTTAAATAATTTTTATTAATAATAAAATTCTTCGGAGGATTTCAATTATTTTCAAAACAATTTTAATAAACTTCAAAAATCAAAAATTTCATTATAATTATTGACAAATACGATTATTTTAAAAATTAAAAAAATTATTTGTTTAATTCAATTATTTTCAAAAATTTTCAAAAAACTATAGATACATTATTTAAAAAAAAGCACAAAGAAATCCATCATTTTTAAAAAATTAAAAGAAATTCTTCAAAAGAATTTAATTAGGATTTTTTAAATTTTTTTCGCGAGAATTCGATTATTTTCATAAATAATAAAATTCTGCAAAGGAATTCAATTATTCTAAAAATTTTTGATAGAATTCGTTGCAAGAAAATTCAGCAAAGGAATTCAATTACTCTCAAATTTTTTGATAAAATCCTTTGCTAGAATTCAATAATTTTTAATACATTAATTTTAAAATTGAAAATATTTGAAAGGAAAAATTATTAAAAACAACTAACTTCAAACTGCGAATAGATTACCGGAATACAACGATTATTATGTACTGAATTTTTATTATTAAATAGAATTGAATTTTTATTATTAAATTGAATTTTATTGAATTAAACTGATATCTATATTTTTGTACGTTCAAATTAAAATTAAAAATTAAATTAAAATTAAATTAAAATTAAATTAAAATTAAATTAAAATTAAATTAAAATTAAATTAAAATTAAATTAAAATTAAATTAAAATTAAATTAAATTAAAATTCGTACCTCTGTGGCGTGATCCTTTCGATCCAAAAATGTCTCGAGATGATCTTGTATCTCAAGCATTCCGAATCGCAAGGTCTCGTTAAGTCTTTGATTTCCGAAGACGCTCGTTGAAAACCATACAAGTGGAGGCTCTCCCTTTGTACTTAAAAGTTCAGCATGACTAGACAAATGAGTACCAAGTTGATTAGAAGCTGTACCTCCGTTATTTAATAAGGCACTTGCTTCTCGAGTGAGACCCACTGATTTACTGCTAACATCCTATAAACAAGAAAACTTTTTTTAAAACAAGCAAAATTTAATCAAATTGAATATAAAGTTTTTAAGTAAATAGAATAGAGAATAAACAAGCAAATAAATAAATAAATAAATAATAGAGAATATATAAATAATAAATAAATCTATATATTTTTTTGGGATATTTAAATTACTGTATATTAAATGTAAGTTTTTTTAATCAAAAACAAAATTTACTCACTCTTAAAATTCTGCTAAGCAATTGGAAGAAATCTAGAGCATTGTAAGACGCCTGCGTCGTTAGAGCTTGTATTTGTTGTCTCCAAACTTCTTCATTGTCATCTCGAACTTGTCTGAATGGAATTAAAGTGGAAAGATTCGGCGAAGCATTGCAAGGCGTAACGTCACCCAAATCACCAGCACTCGAGCCACTGAAGACCAAGGAAAAAAAGAAAGTTAACACTCTTCTTTTTATTTAAAAAATACTCCGCAAAAAGAAATGAATTTCAAACCTTGTTGAAGAATCGTGTCGAGTACGACCTGGAATCAAAGACAGCGACGACGGCGGGAATATTCCAGGAATACTATTAGCTTCTTGTCCCGTACCCGCGCCACCAGGCACTTCATCCAACGGTGATTCAGATCCAACTTCATCGTCCGAAGATTCTTCCGCGACGCCCTTCTAATTGCAAAATTAATTAATTAAATTAAAAAGCATTTTTTTTTCTCAATTTTAAATTTATCGAAATTTTCTTACTCTCGTGGTTTGTTTACTGGAGGACAGAGTCTTTTCACTGAGACTCTCTTCAAAGTGTCGAAGACTGGGTTCTCGTTCCTCGCCTTCGCTGAGAGGACGTCTTCGAACACCCCAATTGAAATTATCAGTGCTCTCGCCCTCAACACTCTCGCTTTCGTATTCAAGGAAATCAAAGTCCTTGAAGACTCCAAATTGTTCGTCGTCACGTCGTGAACCACCGCTCAAATCGTTATTCGCCCCAGAGACCTCCTCCGTCGACGATGCCATTGATGACTGTCTCTCCATCAAATCGGAACTCTGACTGAATATCACCTGTTGCAAATAATTAAACAAAAATTGCCATTTTAGAAAAATTATTAAAAAAATTAGATTAAAGAAAATTAAACACAAATACACAATTTTTAAGAAACAAAAGAGGATAATTGGTACACCACAATGTTTCTGATGTATGTGAATTAATAATCGGTGATTCGACCCTACTTGTGAATGATGCGAATTTTTACTTTGATTATATGAGAAAGTGCAATGATGTGACAAATTTTGATAAATTCTTTTATTAACTCAACAATTAGTGCAATAACTTCGATAAATTCTACTCCTTTTCATTTACATATTTTTTTTCCAAAATGTTAAAAATTAAAAGTATTTATTGAAGTTTTTACTGCGTTGCTTAATTCAAAATGAAAAAAGTGAAAGCACAAAAGTTCCTTGCAAATTTCAACGAGTGTGCACAGTTTAAGAAATCCCTTTACCTTACTGTACAATGTCATGGAACTAATATGTTCGTCCTAAAAATGAGGAGATAAGGAGAGTAAGGTTTGAAAATTATTTGACAATTCAATATAATATAAATGATCGTCAAAATGCAAGAACAAAAAAATGAAATGATTAATGATACGCATAAGAATAGTAATAATTATTAAAAAATTTCCAACACTCACCGATGGACTCTTTGGTAATCCAACTCTCTGTCCGCAAGTTGTCAATAAATTCACCAAACACTCCCTCACACGACTCTGAAACAAAAATTATTTTAATTAATAAAAATTAATTTATTTTTCATATATCTGAAAGAAATTAAATTAAATTTGCAATTACAAAAGTTTATTAAGTAAAAAAGAAGACCAACCTGAGACATCCAAGGTTTCTTCCAACCGGAAATTGCATTATTATCAGCTGGCGAAAGTGACAAAGATCGTCTCGGAGAATTTTTCTCCTCCGCAAGTTGACGAATTAACCAACGTCTTCCAATCACCGGCGTTTGTGAAAGATCAAAAGTAAAGTCCATTGTTCTTCCTATTTGAATAAAGTTAATTGATGAAATTATATACAAAAATAAAAATCAATCTTTTTCCCCGCAATAAAAATTCTAAATCCACCGTAAAAAAAGAAGCTGAGACACGATAATGATTATACTGTAGCTTCAGTTACAAATATCTAGCGTTATTATTTTTATCGCAACCTGTTTTGTCGTGGTAAAAATTGAACCAGTTTGATTTGTCCACAATAGTAGTGAGAGAGAAACAGATGGCCAAATAAGAAACAAAATAAAAATTTTTAATTAAAAAAATGCATGCAAGAGATTTGTTGAATAAGTATGAAAAAGAAAATATTTACGTACCAGGTAATTCTTTTTTCGTAAATATTTCCGTGTCCGTGAAACTTGGATGCGGAGAAGCTGACGATGAATCCCAATTTGGTCCATGAAGCGATATCGGCGGTGCAACTAGAGTCGACGAACGTGTTACGACTAGTTTCAGAATTTTTAACGATTCTTTCCATTGCGGTCCCTAATTAAGAAACGAGTAATAAAATTAACAATAAAAAATAATAATAATAATAAATAACAATAAAACAAAAAAATTCGTTAATCGAAATTTACTTAAATTTTACAACAAACAAATTCGTTAATTAAAATTTACTTAAATTTTACAACAAAAAATTCTTTAATTGAAATTTACTAAAATTTTATACATTAAGTTTCTTTGTAAATTTGTTTTCTAGAAAATAAAAATGAAAATTTCATCGGTGAATAATAAAGAAAAATAAAATTTGAAATTACCTCGACATATTTGGAAATAACTCGCAATAATTCAGTAGTGATTGGTTGTGCAGCTTGTGAAGCGAGATCAACGTAATGCAACATACAATGAATAATACTGAGAACTGGAAGTGAAACGTTTCCTGGACCCTTTTCCAAAACTTCAACCAAAAATGCCAACATATTGAAACTCAAATGCGCATATGTATCGTAAAGATATTTAACGACACATTTTGTCCATTGAAAACTCTCTTTACTAAATGTTCGACGACTATACAAAGTCATGACTGTTCCCAAATTTTCTAATTTCTTTCCTTTTTCAGCGCTTACCTGTGAAAAAAAATTAATTCCTACTATTAATTCCTTATTGTTACATAAAATTATAATTCTACATTTAATTAAATTAAAATAATTAAATAATTCGTACTTAAATAATTTGTGTTCAATAATAAATACATAAATAATTATCTACTTATTTTTCCACAGGAATTACAATTTTTTTATAATTTTAATGTAAAGGTTTTTTAAATTTATCTAGTTAGAAAAATTCGTACTAAAACGCAATTAATATTAAATTAATATTATTATAATAAAAAATTTTAACTAAAATTTATTTTTCAATCAATTCTTATTAGAAAGTTCTATAAGAATTCAATTATTTAAATACAAAAATAAATAATTGATAGAATAAATGATTATTTCTTAGAATTGAATATTTATAAAAAATGTTATATCAAAATTATGTAAATAATTACTTTTTTTGAGGAATTAATTTAAAATTGTATTAAAAATAGTTGAAATCGTGTGAAGAATGTTATTATTTATAAAAATAATTGAATTCTTGCAACGAGTTTAAGTAAATTTTTTTAAATAATTGAATTTCTGTGAAAAATTGTATTATTTATGAAAATAATTGAATTCTTGCAACGAATTTCATTAAATTTTTTTTAAATTATTGAATTTCTTTGAAGAATTTTATTATTTATGAAAATAATTTAATGCTTATAAACAAATGTTATCAAAATTTTAGAAAATAATTAATTTCTTTCACAGTATTTTATGTAAATATTTTAAATAATTGTTTTCTTTCAAAAATTTCTCTTGGAAATTATATTATTTCATACAATTGAAGAATTCCTGTGAAAATTTTATTATTCATTAAATTAATTAAATTTTTGCGAAGTATTTTATGAATTTTATTTTTTAAATAGCTGCATTTATTTGAAAAATTTTATTAAAATTGTAGATCTAAAAGTCATACTTTAATTAAAAAAAATGAATTTCCACGTTTAATTTAATGTCAAATATTAAATATTCAATGAAATACCTGAGCAATATTTTCCGCGCTTCGTATACAAAGCTCATTAGCGTCTTCGTAATTAAGCAGCATATACGGCAATAATGAAACGACATTCATTGGAAAAGCGAGACTTTGCGTTGGATCAACAACAGGCAAATCCAAAAAGATCGTAAATTGAGATAATAAAGTAACAACAGGCTCATATGTATTAGGACTGGTGCAGCCTTTCAACAAAAGTGCATGCACTCCGGGAAATGAGTTCCATCTGAGTTGTTGCTGTAATTTTTCAACTTTATCTCTTGCGTCTGGACGATCTAAAGGCAGTCTATGCAATACTCTATCCAAAAGTCTCAGTGCAAGGAGAAATTCATGCTCATAATCAGATTCAAGCAGTGAAACTGAAAGCCAAAATAGTTGAGCCAAAATTGTCATTTTATCATCTTGCGTTGCCGAATCGCCCAGTAATTTCAATGATTGCGCCGATCTTGATCTTGAGAGATTTGAATTTGGATATTTACTGCCAACTCGATTATCCAGTTCTGAAAAGAAAAACAATTTTTTATTTTCCTTTCTATATTTCCGTTTCGAAAAATGTTTATTTCTATCGAATTTATGTCTCTAATTTCTCATAAAATGGAAATGTGAAGACGGAAATTAAACCATGAGCGAAATGGAAGACTTTTGAAGAAGAAAGTTATCATAAACTGATTTTAATTTCCTCTTAGTTTCCTAATTAAGTTAAACAGCTTTAATAAAATTAACTTCACTACGAATTTAATTTTAATTTCGATATAAAATAAAGAATCAACAGAAAATTTTATGTTTGCAATGTTTAAATTAAAGTAGTTTAAAAATCATTCCAAAATAAATATCCAAATGTATACATGGAGTATTAAATAAATATTAAATGTTTTTAATAAATACTGGTTGTTACATCAGCGCTAGTTTAATTATTATTATGACTTTTCATTATTATATGACATTTCATTATTATTTGAAAACATGTAAATATTGATATATTTTATTTACTCTTGATGTTAATTATTTACCTTTCACGTCACTTGTATTTGCTGCAGCTGATTTTCGCATGCAATAACTGACCGAATAACTTGTACTTCGCGTGTGACCCGATTGATATAGATGCGAATAAACATGAGCTCCGGCTGGATACATATTTCCCGTTTTCTTAATAATTGACGCTGCATCTTTATTATTCAAATTGGGAGTGGATTTAAAGATTTCTTTCATAAAATCTAAAGGCCTGAAATCTGATTCCAATGAATCGACAGCTGCCTCGAGAGTTAAGAGTAATTCCGTCACGTATCCCTGAAACAATAATAATATTATAATTCTCTTTCTCTACAATAATTTTATAATTTGCCCCCGAAAACAGATAGATGATAAAATTAAAAAAAAAAATTAATTAAATAAAATGTTGATTATATTTGGAATAAATGTTAATTTGGATACTGCTCACAATTTTAATCGATGTATTCACCATGTAATTAAAATTAAATTTTAATTACAATCAAGGCACATGTAAATTTTAATAATGTAAATATTGAATTTGTATCATATTTTATCAAAATTAGATCCATTTATTATTATTAATTATTAAAATCGAAATATAATATAACACAAAGTAATCAAATTAATTTAAATTAAAAAAAGCTTCAAGCTTTTTCGGAATTTTAAAAATCATTTTCAGGATAAATAAAATTTAAAGCAAAAAAAAGACAAAAAAAATTGTCATAGTTAAAAATGTTTCACTTGTAATATTTTCACATTGAAAAGAAAAAGATTACCTGCATATCTTCGCCCTGTTCAGCGACAGTTTCCACCAGTCTCGATAAAATATCAGAGAGCATTCTCGAGGTGATGGGAACGCGAAGAGCTCGAAACACTTGAAGCGATCTGCCGGCATAATGCCTCGATGAACAGGAGAGTCCTAATTGAAGGGCAGTTTGTGCCCAACGTTCACTGACAAGTGCATGAGGTAATGATTCTCTAAAGACTCTCAATACGTGACGCAATAAAATTGTCAATTGCTCGGCACTTCGAACGTACCAAACTTTTGCAGTCATGTCTTCGTAATTCCATAAAGGTTGATTTGTCCTTGAGGCGAGAAAATTAATCAACGATTTAATTACATCTTGAATGGACATAATTGAACCAGATTGTGGTCCAGTCCAATTAACACCATCCTCAGGCGTCACAATCACTGGTGGTAATCCAATAGTTGTTACTGTTCTTACTGATGGTGGCCATCCACTTCCCGACGTTGTCTCTGCAAAATAATCATGTTAAATTCAATTTACACAATTTACACCTTTTATTCTGTTTCTTTCTTGTTTTTAAATGAATTTCAAATCTTATTATACAGTAAAATTCTTCGCAGTAATTCAATTATTTTTTTAACACAATTTTAATAAAAATTTGTAGATATAATTCAATAATTCATTCATTTGTTTTTATTTATTTTTATTTGGCGTAAAATTTTTTATTTTCATTTTTAAAAAATTAAATCGAAAGATTTTTCTTTCGAAATTTTGAAAGAATTCAATTATTGATTTATAAAAACTGTAATAAAATACTATTATCAATTCGAAAGTTTTGATAAAATTTTTTATAAGAATTCAATTATTATTTAAAAATTGAATACAATTCTTTACAATAATTGAATTATTTTTTTTAAGAATACATTTCTTCATAGAAATTGAATTATTTTAAATACAATTTTAATCAAATTTCTCAAAAAATTCAATGTTTTTTAAAAATTTTAATAAAGTGTTTCGAAAGAATTCATTTATAAGAAAGAAACATTTATCACAATGTTTTTAAATTATCTAAAACTACCGAGTTATAAAATTAAATAATTTATTTTACCAAATATTGATAAAATTATTAATAAGAAATTATTTATTTTGAATTCATTAATTGAAAAATTTGAAATATTATTTAAAAAGAAAAATTATCAAAAAAATTAGGAAACAAAATATCAAACAAAAACAAAAAATTTTGAACAATTTTTTTAAGTTTTTTAAAAATAATTTAGTTTTTTGAATAATTTTAATTGAAAATTTTCAAAATAATTGAATTCAACAAAGAATTTTTTCAACTTTTTAAAATAATCGTATCTCTTAATAATTATAATTAAATATTTGAATAAATATATGAATTTATCACTCAGTTGTCTATAAAATTAATATTTATTGAAATAGTAAATAAATAAATAAAGAAAAATTCAAAAACTCACCGTACGAGTAAATGGTCTGAATTTTCGAATCGGCGAGAGATTGAACTGCTTGGTTTATTGAGCATGTTGTCGTTAAAGACGTATTGATAGGAGAATGATTCGGAGTGATATTTGACGAGGAAGGCGGAGGAGGTGGTGGTGGCGGCGGCGGGGGAGGTGGAGGAGGTGGTGGCGATTGCGGTGGGAGAGGTGGAGGCGGCGGTGGTGGTGGCGAAGGTGGAGATGACGATGGCGAAGTCGGTGGTGGTGAATTTACTTGGGGTGGACTCGAAGGTCTAGGAACAGTTGACGGACCATAAAGATAACTATCAAATTCCGGATCGACTTCCGTAAAATTATGCTCAATCACAGGCAATGGCGGTGTTGACAATCCAAGTCCCAATTGCTCTGTTTTTGTTCCAAGTAAAACGCGAGCCACGCCAAGATGATCACGATGATCGCCCAATACAACCAGGAGATTCAACAATAAACATCGACAATGATCTCTCACCAATGGTCTCGAATGATCCAAACCAAGGAAAATAATGTGCAACATCAATGGTACGTGAATTGCCCAGTCTAATTGTATTCCATCAACGACAACATCCGTCAGAAGCATCACTGCAATATTGCATCTGAAAATAAGCGGAAATTTGTTTTTTCAATTAATTAAATTTTAAAACAAATACAAATTTTTGTAAGTTTATATTGTGTACACAATTTTTTTCTAGATATATCGGATTCCTGTTTATATAGGATATTTTCCTCGGTTCTTTAAAATCCGATATATGTGAGTTTCACTATATAAATATCTATTTAAAGAATAAAATCAATGAATTTATTTGGTTAAAATCTGAAAAATAATACTTTGATAATTCAATATACATATTTACCGATGAAATCCACTGATAGGTTGTGAACTATCTGGTAAATATTCAGTTAGCGGTGCAAAGTATCCTCCATACTCAGGCATTGGTAATGGATGTGGTTGGGGAATATCGAATATTTCACCAACACAAACAACTTTTCCACTGACACCTGTTGCTCCATTGCGAGAGACATAACATGTTTCATCAGTATTCATCTGAAAAAAATTATAAATTGTTTAATGAAAACATTCTGTTATTGGAAAAAGAATCCATATTTGAAATGTGATAATGATAGTGTATGAAAATGTTAAAAATGAAAAAACAAAAATACCTCTGGCTCCGTTGTCGGAGTGGAAAGATCATCCGGCAGTATTGCAGGTCCGCTTGCAGTTCTTGTTTTCTCGATTCTGGAATTCGAAAACGTTGCTAGTGCTCGTAATGCTGAATCTGATTTTGATCCACTGAAATATAAAATAAAAGTAAATTATTAATACAATTTCATTGATTTTACGTACAAATAATATTTCTCTTGAATTCGAGAAAAAAAACAAAATATTTCATACACTCTAATTGATTTATTCATATGCAAGGAATAATTTAAATTCGAAATAAGTTTATTTATTTCCAAACATATATACAAGTATATATTTCATCTGAATTCATAAAGATAACATCGCTGTTTTCAATTAAGTTCTAAAAAAAAAATCTTTTAATTCTTACATTAAAACAGAAAAAAAAATTATTGACATATATAGCGTTGTAACCTTTACATAAATGCAAGGAATTATTATTTTTTCCTTTTTCAAAAGAAATCCAATTAAGTACTATAAAAATTATATATTACATTATTAATGAAGCATCCTTTTGAATTTGAAAAAATCAATAAAGATTATTAGAGAAAGGCTTAACTTCGTCAAAAGATTATGTAAAAGAAGTATTTCATTTAAAATAAATTGAGAGAGCAATTAGAAAAAAGTTTAATCACAATTCTCAGATTATTTACTAATTCACATTCAGAGAATAACTTTTCTGAGAATTTTTGAGACAAAAATTAAGAAAATATTTTATTTTTTAAAAATTTAGGTCAATACTTAAAAGGATTTTTTAAAATTTTAATAGATCAGATTTTTGTTAAAAAAATGTTATAATTTTTCTATCTTCTGAAAATAATTAAATTCTCTGCAGGAATTTAATTAAAACTGAATTAAAAATAATAAATAGTGAAAATTAACGATCACTCCGAGTCAAGGAAAATAAAAATAAAAGAAATTCAATTCTTTTTACGTTTCGGCAGCACAGCTGTCCTCTTCAGAACGAAAAAAAGAAAATTAGAAAAATTAAAATTATAAATTAAGATGGTACATCTTTGTCGCTACGATTACAAAGTCATATTGTAAATATATTGTCATATTGTAATCGTAGCGACAAAGATGTACCATCTTAATTTATAATTTTAATTTTTCTTATTTTCTTTTTTTCGTTCTGAAGAGGACAGCTGTGCTGCCGAAACGTAAAAAGAATTGAATTTCTTTTATTTTTATTTACCTTGACTCAGAGTGATCGTTAATTTTCACTATTTATTAAAATACGACTGAGTGATAGAATCATCTCTACTCCTGAATTAAAAATAATTGGATTCTTTTTAATTCAATTATAATAATTACAAAAAAAAATTATGTATATTTTTGAAAATAATCAAATTCTTTTGAGAAAATTTAATAAAAATGTATTGAAAAACAATTAAATTTTTGTGAAAGAATTTAATTTAAATTATAAATTTAATTAAATTATTTATCAAATCAATTGAATTCCGGCAAAAAATCTTTTTTTAATTTTTCAAAATAATTGAGCAATTTTTGCGAAGAATTTTACTATTTATGAAAATATTTGAATTCTTTCGAGAAAATTTAATAAAATTATATTGGAAAACAATTAAATTTTGCAAAGAATTTAATTAATTACGAAAATAATTAAATTCCTGTGAAAAATATGTTTTAAAATTTTTCAAAATAATTGAATAATTTCTGCGAGGAATATATTAAAATAATTGAATTCCTCCGAAAAATGTTATTATTAATGAAAATAATTGAAACGTTTCCAAGAATTTTATTAAAATTATTAAAAATATTTGAATTCTTTTGAGAAATTTTAATAAAATTGTTTTGAAAAACAATAAAATTTCTGCGAAGAATTTAATTATTAATGAAAATAATTTAATTCCGGCGAAAAATCGTTTTTTAATGTTTCAAAATAATTGAATAATTTTTGTGAAGAATTTTACCAAAGTCAGTTTTCGTATTTCGCGCATCCATGCGAGTAACTTTTCATGGTAAAAAAATAGAAAATATATTTAAAGCAAAATTCAACGAATTGAAATTAAAAAAAAAATAAATAAGAAAATATTCGATATTTAAAATTGAATTTGTAAAAGAAAAAAAAATTAGGATAATATTAACGGCGATAATAGTCTCTTTACCCGGCTTTAATGGGATCCTCTCCAGAGTGCCGTTTAGTATGAATGGTGCCTTTCTCAACAGCTAAATCTCTCGAGGGGTTAGCGGGATCAGCCGCAGGAGCATCGCTGTGAGATGAAGCTTTTCTCATGCTGGTTAAACGATAAAACGGTGGTGTTTCAGTTCGTTCGATTAAACAGTTGAGAGTTTCAACTGTTTGTAGTTCGATCATCATTTCATCGACGAGTCTATCGGGTCGAGCTCTTGCCAAATAAAGAACTACACGTTTTGCCTGAAATTAAAATTGAATATAGAACTTTTTCCCTCCTATCAAGTGTTTGAACAATTTCTTATTTCATGTTACGAATAAAGATATATATTTCAAGAGACATATATGAAATAAAATGAAGAAAAAGTAAGCAACCATTTATATTAGTTGAAGACTTGAATTTTTCTTTCTTACTCAAGTAAAATATAAATTTTGCTAGAATTTAAAAAAATGGGTTAGCATTAAATTTTCACAGGAGAATAATAAAATAAAGTATACTGTAAACTCACGTATGTCAGTAATTCTTGGGGTGCCATTCCTGAAACAATAATGAGATAACGAATGATAACTTTGAGATTATTCGGCCAACAACCACAGAGTGTCGCCCATAATTCTTCTATTTCCTTTGGATGCTCATCAGAAAACTGAAAAAATCAATTGAAAAATTTTTAATCAACAGGATTTTATTATAAAATATGATCTTCTTTTAGGCTAAAAAAATAAATACAATTGTAGAAGATTTGTCAAATTGAGAATTTTTTAAAAATATTAACTGTATAATTTTTACCAAATGAAAAATCAATATAACTATAAATAAATCTAGAAGCAGAAATTAAAAACAAAAAATGAACAAAAAAAAAATATGTAGCTTTAGAACGAATTAAAAAATATGTGTAAAATTTATTTTTTCAAAAGTAGAATTACTATAGAAATATATGAAGTACCTTCCAACTTTAGATAACGAATTAATAAAAGTTTTGCAAAATTAATTACTTTTTATAAATAGAGTTACCTTTGCAGTTATATAAAATAAATTGTTGAGAACCATCTCAGTAGCCTCGGCACTGCCCCATCCTTCCCTACGACCTCCTCCTCGAGTAACGTCACTTGTAAAATACTAAAACAGAAAAATATAATAAAATTTTTATTTTTTCAAAAATAACATTTTATTCATACTCATTGGTCTTAAATAATTTTTGAATAATTTTATTCTATTTATGGGAGATCTTTTAACGATTTTTCGAAAAATAGAAGAAAACAATTTTTTAAAGGCGCCGGGGATCGAAACGGGTACCACCTTTCCCGTGCTAAGCGAGGAGTATACCATCTAAGCTACGCCACAACTGTAATTAATTTTTCACTAAATTTTCAAATTTTCAAATTTTTTGAAAGTTTTCCTCTCTTAGTGGGTAAGAAAAACTAAAACTGAAAAATAATTACGAGAACAGTTTAAAATAGTCAAAATTTGTTAATATGATACACAAATTTTATTTCCTTTTTCCGTTAGTTTGTTATCAAAAAATAGTTTTCTAAAAATATTATTCTCTTTATAAAAATAATAAATTTGCAAAAGGAAGAAAAAAGAGGTTTGGAGGCGCCGGGTATCGATCCCGGTACCTCTCGCATGCTAAGCGAGCGCTCTACCATCTGAGCTACGCCCCCTGTGATTTACAATTTTCTCAATGATATTTAATTCTTTAAAATTGATCTACTTTCAGTGTAAGGAACACGTTTTGAAAATGCCACAACGATACATATCAAGATCATTTCCTTTCCTTTCACCTGCATGCAGAGGACCCTCAATTCGGCTCACGACCGGTTTCCAAAAATACCGGTTTCCATATTGTTAATAAGTCTTACAAGATGACAAGAGGAAAATTTCGAGAATTTTTAGTTTGGACTGAAATAAATGTCAAGTAAAAAATGGAAGAGGAAACGATGAAAAAATCACTAAAAATCTTTGTAAAAAAAAATATTTTCCAAAAAATTTTATACTTTATATTAAAAAAGAGGTTTGGAGGCGCCGGGTATCGATCCCGGTACCTCTCGCATGCTAAGCGAGCGCTCTACCATCTGAGCTACGCCCCCTGTGATTTAAGTTTGTGAAAGAAAATTTTTGTATTTATCAATTTGACCTAATTTTTGCTTTAAAAAATTTTTAAATCAAGAGAGGGGCATTTTACTTTCACGTTCCTTTCACCTTCATAGGAGCTGATTCTACGTTGGAAGTTTGCTACTCTCAAATTGACACTAAAACACAATAACCTGCATTTAATTAAATATATAAAAACAAATCCCTAGAATTTCTAAAAAATTAAAAAAAAAAATTTTTTTTGCAAAAAGAATTTTTGGAGGCGCCGGGTATCGATCCCGGTACCTCTCGCATGCTAAGCGAGCGCTCTACCATCTGAGCTACGCCCCCTGTTATTATTAAACTTTACAAATAATATACTCAACAGCATCTCGAAGTGTTCTAATTTTAAAATTCGAAAGTACACCGTTTCTTGACATTAAGTTATTTTCTAGTGTTGCCTTTCTCTCGCCTCTCTCTCTCTCTCTCTCTCTCTCTCTCTCTCTCTCTCTTTTTCCATAATAATTTTATTTGAAATTACTTTTCCTTAAAGGCAAAAGTTTTCTTGAAAAAAAACTAATTTCTTTATTTAATTTTCTTCGATGGCTTGAATCCTCAAAAGATAAAAGAAAAAATTGTTTATTATTCAATCGACTGTTATTATTTCTCTTTGTAAAATCGTTCCATCAAATTCAATTCTAATTTTTAAATATTTAATATTGTAATTATAAAAAATATTTTAAAAATAATTGAATAAAATTAAATGAATAAAAGCCCTGTTTTAAATAATTACAAAAATAACCGTTATTAACCAGTAAAGTAAATTAGTTCAGGTATCGACATTTTTAAATTAAAGTCTTTAAATTAATGTTCTCATTTATTGCTTAAATAGAAAGTGCATTAAAATTATTATAATTTCATACTTTTTTTATTTTTATCCTAAACTGCTGAAAGTTTCAACTAAATTTGAATTATAGTGAAAATATTTACTGATTTAAATTAGTGAATGACTTTTTGCTTTTTAATTAGTAAATATTACTAATTAAACTTTTAGTAAAAAAAAAGTATAAATAAATTTTTTTTTTAAATTATTAAAGAAAAATTTGTACTCATTAGACGAAAAAAAAATTTATAATATGTACTCATCACACATAAATTTAGTAATTCGAGTTCAATGGACTTGTTCTCACAGATAAATTGCCGGCACAAAGTATTTCACTCAAGAATTCATTCCAAGTTTATTATCCAAAAGATACCTAATTTAGATTTTAAGAATAAAGTGTTAAAAAAATAAATTTGAAATTAAAAATATCAGTTGAAAATGATAACATAAAAATAAAAGTAAAATGAACAAATAACTCGAAATTATTTTTGACAGTAAAAAAAGTACCTGCTCTAAATTAACAAAATTAAAAATAATTATTTTTCTCTTCCTTTTTTAATACATGTGTTCTAATTATTTCATATTTATCCTCTTTTTATTAATATTAATACGAAAAGTATATTTAGAAGAGCGCAAATCTCTTAATTAAAATGTAACAAAGACAAAAATTATTACTTACGAGTTATAATTTTTATATTGTTACATTTTTTCAAAAATACTAATTAACAACTGAAATGTTTTATGATTATTTATACAATTCCGTTAGCTAAAATGAAGTAATTAAATACGTAATTAAATTACATCAAAGTTATTAAAAAGTTTTTCATACTCTCTAAATTTAAATTAGTGAAAACTAGTCCACTAGTTTGAATTAATTAAAGTTTCTACTAATTCTCAGTATAATTTTTTACTAAATTAGTAAAAATGTTTACTAATTTCAATTAGTAACTGACTTTTTGCTTTTGAATTAGTAAAATTTATTTGGAAATTGATTGAAATTACTATTTACTAGTAAAATTTGCTAATTCAAATTAGTAAACATTTTTACTAATTCATATGTATTATTTACTAATTAGCAAATTTTACTAATAAATTAGTGGAAATTATTATTCATTAGTAAAATTTACTAATTCAAAAGCAAAAAGTTAGTCATTCATTCAAATTAGTAAATATTTTTACAAATACAAATTTAGAGAGAATGACGGAGTAAAATTTTACTAAAAATTAGTAGCAAATTTTTCTAATTTAAATTAGTGGATGACTCTTCACTTATTTCAAATTTAGAGAGTAAACATTATATTTTAGTAGTGATTATTTTATTAAAAATTTATTCCATTCTAAATAAATCAGGCTGTCTACTATAATTTTCGTTCAACAAAATTCCGAGCTTTGTCCTAATTTTTCCTATCAAATTTTTTTCTCATCAAATTTAAATTTATTTGATTTCAAATATAAATAAATCTATAAATGGCTTCAAAAATTTTTATTTGACTTTTTATGAATAATTAAATTCTTTTGATGAGTTTCTTTAAATTTTTTGAAAATAATGTTTTTTTAATAATTTTAATTGAAAATTTGGAAAATAATTGAATTAAACAAAGAATTTTTTCATTTTTTTAGAATAATCTTATCTGTTCATAATTATACTTATTTATTTGAACATTAAGAAATTTTAAATTATAAAAATTTAAGACAAATTCAACAATTATAATTATTGAATAATAATATAATTTTTAGAAGCAAAAAATTGATTTAAAACTTTAACTTTATATTTTAAAAATAAAATTATTATTACAGTGACTAACATCCCCTGGTTATTTTCGAAAAATTTAAATAAAATTCTTTAAAAGAATTCAATTATTTTTAATAGAATGCAAAGTAATTTCAATTATTTCAAAAATGTTCAATTATTTGTTTATAAAAATTCAATTATATTGAAACAATAAAATTGAAAAATTTCAAAAATCTTATTTTTCAGAATTTTCAAAAAAAAACTAATAGACATTTTTTATATTTTTGAAATAAAAAAGTGCTCGGAAAATAAATTTTAAAATTATTTCTCAGAATATAACTTAATTAAAAATGTCTAGAAACATTATTTTAAAACTTTTTGAAATGCCTTTAAGCGTTTAAGAGAATGACAGAATTAAAAATGTAGTTAATTAAAATTTAAATTATAACTGAGTCGAATTACGATTTAAATTTAAATTTTACTTTTTTAATTCTATTTTTGTTCCTACTTTCGACTTCGTCCCTCTAATGTGTAATCTGTTGTTAATTCGAAATTACACAATCCAAACGAATTTTTTCGAATTCAAAACTAGATCATCGATGGACCACTGGGTCCTCTCAAATTTATCATCGAGTAAATAATATCAGGGGGCGTAGCTCAGATGGTAGAGCGCTCGCTTAGCATGCGAGAGGTACCGGGATCGATACCCGGCGCCTCCAAACGTTCTTTTTTTTTATCCATACACTTTTTTGTAAACTTCCTTAATTCTAAATTTCATTTTTGTAATTTTCTTCTAAATATTAATCGACCTTTTTTGAGTAAAATTCCTTTTCTATTATAGAAAGGAAGCAACTTTCTCATTTGTTTTCCATGTATTTTTCACGAGATTCTTGTGAATTTTTTCCTGAGCCGGACTACTAACTTGAATAGATAAAAGAAGTCAATTATTCTGGATAAACAAGCTATTACCAATAAAAATAATTCATATTTAAAAGAAAATTAATTAATGAATAATTAAGGAGAAATTTGAAATTATAATATTGAAATGAAAATTAATTTCTTTACTGATAGTGCTAATGAAATGATAACTCACCTGGTAATAACTAAGAGGATTCGAGGGTGGAGGAACATTTGGATCAACAAGTTCCATATTATGAAGCCAAGGAAGTAAATATTGCAGCAGCAACTGACGCACTTCCCTCCGAGCAGTTTGAAATCTGTGTGTGATTTCTGAAACAATAAGAAATATTTTAATCAAAGAAGGAGAAATTAACGAGAGATAAACAAATTATATGACAACAAAAAAAAAAAAAAGAAGAAATTAATATTTGAATAAAAAAATAAAAGATTTTTTACACTTTATAAAATTTGTTCATTATAATTTAAAATTAGAATTTTAAAAAATACTTAATAAGTTATGCATCATGGAATTTAATTTATATTTCGAAATCAGTTCTCCATAAATTCCTCGAATAATTAATTAAATATAGATCTACTTTTAGTTTAGTTTAGTATTTAACGAGATAAACAGAATCATCCATCCAATAATAATTGAAGAATACTAAATAATTTTTCATTACTTTTTTAAATTAATTTAGAATTAAATTTTTTATTTTTATTTTTTCAAATATTTTTCTAATATATTCTAATGTTGATGAAATCGAGTAAAATTGATTTCACTAAATTTACTAGGCTGAGGGCGAAATCCGCAGGATTACAATGGATTTCCTCAGAGAAAAAAGATCACGTCTGAAAATAAAGCCTGAAAAAGCCTGTAGTTTGCATAAATTCTAAAAACAGACGAGCTAACGTGCACACTATTTTAGAATGAAAACTCGAAAGTAAAAAGATTAAGGAAGATAAGAGGTAAAAGAGAAAAGAAAAAAATATATATATCTTCAACTATAATTGGAAATTAATAAAATAAATGAATGAAAATAATAAAAAAATTAAGTGGATGAAATAGTCTATATATTTTAAAATAGAGACGAGGAAAAATAAATAAGAAATACTGAAAAGAGTATATAATTAGCGCACGAATCAAAGAAATCAATTAAAATCTCACTCTTTCAAATAACGTATCAATCAATTTAATAATTTTAATTGCTGAGATATCGTTAAAAAAATTTTTTTTTAATTTTTAATTTTTAATTCCAGATTCTTTATTTCTATTGAGAAAAAAATTGTGTTTTTTTTTTATTTTTCTAATTGATTTTGAATAAAAAATTTTGAAATATCCGTAGAAAATAAAAAATATTCAAAAACAATTATCTGAAATTAAATAGAAAAATAAACGAATGAATTGTCAAATAAAAAATATGAATAAAATATTATTTTTTTGTTCTTTTAGTCTAAAAAAAAATTTCAATTAAAAAAATGCTTCAAAAATAATAAAAATGAAATTTTTCATTTACCATTTTTTTGCAGTTACAAAAATATATTTCTTACAAAATTACGCATGGATTTCTAATCATTGAATTCTTCACATAAAAATTACCAAAAAATAATTTTATCGAATAATTAAAATATTGAATTATTGAAATAAAAATTCAATTTGACGAAGAAATAAATAAATTTCGTTCAATTGAAAGAAAAAAATTTTCTTTTTCAAATTTAAACTCACCACTAAACATGGGCATTGTCAGTTCCGGATGAAGTTGAGCAAGTTGACGTGAAAGGTACATTTGATTTCGACAATAAGTTGTTGATAGTAAAGCATCAAGTGTACCACCTCGTAATTTTCCACCAGTAATTGTACTAATTTGTCCTGTCCCAGCAGCTGATGAACCAACCGCCAATTCGTCTTGTCCTAAAAGAATAATTACATTTTAATATTATGATTCAAAATTTACATCAATTAATTTACATTATTAAACTGTTAAAAATTAATTTTAAAAAAACCTTGTATTTATAGTCTTAGAGTAGTAAAAATTTTACTACATTAATTTTTAAATATAAAATTCTGTTTCTTCAATAAAGAAAAATTCTTATAATAAAAAAAAAGAAAAAATTTAATTATTGGATTCCTGTCTTCATTATTAATTATGAATTAAAAGTTTTACAATATTCTTTACAAATATAATATTTTATACACGTTCAAAGAATATCGATTTTTCATCTAACAATTGATTGGCTCGTAATCATTATTATACGTAATTTTCATCAAATAAAAGGAGCGGCCTTTCTCTTTAGAGTGTTCTTTATTACAATTTTTGTTATTTACTCAAATTTTCTTTCTCTTTTATTCTGCAATGCGAAAAAAAATATAAACCTCTTTGTTGGAATCAGTCAATTGAAAACTGTAAATATTTATTTTTGAAAATAAAGTTTTTTTTCATCTACTTTTTCACATTCGATAACTGTTGGCCTGTTTTATTGTTTGTTAAATCTAACTTTATTATTTGGAGGGTATATTTGTCAGAATAAAAGAATGAAAGGGAATTAAATAATATTAAACCATTCCTTTTTCAAACAAAGAACCGTCAAAAAAAAGTTTGTAAATACAAAAAAAGCTAAATCGGAGCGACTATTTAATATGGGGAAAAATAAAATAAAAATAAATTTTATCAAATGAAATATCTAACAATAGATGAAAAACATTAATTATCTGCATTGATTGACATTAGACAAACACCACATATTTAGCATCCATAGATGACTAATCGTTTGGCACAGAAACTATATACCATATGCAATAAATAAATAAAAAAAAATGACGAATAGATTTAAATCACGATTCTTTAAAATATTAATATTCTGTTTTTGTATTTGTTTTTTATAATAAATCTACAAAGTTTGATAAATAGCATTTTTTTTAAATCTTTTGCGCACATATAGATGAGAAAAAGATGCAATTTGTTTGACAACGCGCAGAAGCCAGGTTTGTTGCGTGTGGCGCTTTATCAAGAGAGGATCGTCGAACCGCCAAGCAGAAATAACTGGGGCGCCAAACCGATTCGTTTCCTTGTTGAAAAATTAGTGCTAATTGAAAATTTCTTTTTAATAGTGAGTGAAATCTATTAAATTTCAAATGTAATAACTTTTTTAATTGACAAAATTATTTAATTATCAATACAAATCATTTAAAGTTTTTTCATCAAAAACTTAGGACTCTTTCGCATTTTTAAATTCAAAAATAATTTCTTTCCTCCTCTCGTACTCTAAAATAAAAAAAAATATATTAAAATTTTAATTTTTCAATAAATAATCTTTAAGAATAAACAAAATTATTATAATAAATAAATAATAAATCTAATATTTAAAATTATTCTTAAGTAAAAAGTAAATAAAAGAATCTTTTTTTTAAAAAAGTAAATCAAAACAAACAATATTCAGAATTAGGTTTAATAAGAGATGAATATTAAGGAAGAAATAATAGAAAATAAATCTGAGAAAACATAAAAGGACTTTTATAATAAACAATAAATTAAAAGGCAACAATGAAATAATAATAATAATAATAATAATAATAATAATAATTAATAAAGAAATGGAAAAGCACGAGTTTCAGAAAATTTGTAAAAAAAAAAATAAATTCTAAAGACTCAAATGTAAAGTGAACAAAAGAATAATGAAGAAAAAATAAATATAAAAATGAAGCAGAATATAAAAAAAGAAATTATTAAAAGCTACTTTCAGATAAAATTAAAATGAATGTGTTTCAATAAATGTAAACAGACCTTTTTCATTACTAAATTATTAAAAATAAATACTGAAATTTTGAAAACTACGTCAAAAACAATTAAAATGAACATAAACAAGAATCAATTATTGAAAACTAAACTAGGCACAATTAGAAAGGTCCTCAAAACTTCAAATGCTATTAAAAAAAGATAAAAAAAGATAAAAAAAGATATTAAAAAAAATTAATTGAAACCAAATAGAAAGATATTAAAATAATAAAATAAAAAAATAATACAAAAAAACATAAAAACAATAAGAAAAATATTTAAAAAATAAAAAAAATGATAAAACAATTAAAAAAATACTAAAACAATTTTAAAAAAATACTAAAACAATTTAAAAAACACTAAAATAATTAAACAGTACTAAAACAGTGAAAAAAAATATTAAAACAAAAAAAAATAATAAAACCAATTAAGTAAATAATAAAATCAATAAATCTAATATTAAAATCATTTGATTAAATAATTGAAAAAAATCTTTAACAATAAAAACATAATTAAATACTTCCTCTATGAGGAAGCAAAACTAATAAAAAGCATTAAATAATTGAAAAAAAAATTTTAACAATAAGAAATATTAATAAAATAATAAAACCAATTAAATAAATAATAAAATCAAATAAACAATTATTAATATCAATTATGCGAATAAATAAGTAAAAAAAACTTTAATAAAAAATTATTTAAAAAATAATAAAAGAAATTAAATAATTGAAAACCAATATTAAAATCAATCAAGTGATTAAATAACTAAAAAGAATTTTAAGAAAATTTATTTAAAAATAAATAAAATAAATTTAATTAAATAAATATTAAAACCATTTAAATAATTAGGACAAAGAGTTGCGTCAAACCAAGACAAAATAAAATTTCATTAATGTCTCCCAAGTGTCAAAACAATACTCCACCACTATAGAAAATATAAATTCTCTGAACTCTAAATAGAAATAAAAATAAGAAATAGAAATAAATAATAAATAAAAACATTAAATAAATAATTCAGTGTTTGTTTATTACTATTATTAATTTAAGATGAACTATAACTAATTATTAAAATACTCAATAAAAATAGTCAATGAAAATGAAAAACGAAAAAAATACCACAAAACCAAAGCGAAAGAGAGTAAACGAAAATTTAGAGACATAATTAAATAAATTAATAAATAATTATTTAATAAATTAAAACAACGAAAATTGCTAATTGAAAAAATAATATTAGTACAACTAATATAAAAAGAAGAAAGGAATAATAACAAAAAGAAAAAAGAAGAACTGGAAAAAATCGGAGTGAAAGAATAAAAAAAAATGAAATTTGAAAATTAAAAAAGAATCATGGATAATAAAACGATCGAGACTGTTATGTACAGTAATGACGTTGAATTGTTACTAATGTTACTGCACGCTTTTCAAATGTACTATATACCATTTCTTGTTTATCTTGGTTCACTTGGTAATTGTCTCTCAGTGTGTGTATTCTTCTGCTCAAAAATGCGACGATCATCATCAAATTTTTATCTCGCATCACTGGCCATTAGTGACACTGGTTTTTTACTGTCATTATTTATCACATGGTTGGGAATGATCGAAGTGAAATTATACGATAGACAGGGTTTCTGTCAATTTTTCACCTATCTAACGACAGTTTGTAGTTTTTTGAGTGCCTGGTTCGTCGTATCGTTCACCGTTGAAAGATTTGTCGCCGTACGTTATCCACTACAACGACAATGGCTGTGCACAGTGAAACGGGCGAAAAAAATTATTCTCACAATAACAATAATTGGTCTATTAATTTGCAGTCCTATTCTATTATTCTCAAAAGTGGAGGCAACAAATTCATTTTTAAATTCAACAATGTGCACATTAGACGACGAATGGCAAAAATGGGCGAGTATTTATAATGTCATTGACACTGTATTAACATTTGTGGTGCCATTTTTTTTAATTGTGATCTTAAATACATTAATTGCAGTATCAGTTTGGCGTACTGTTAGAGTGAGAAAAACATTGACAATTGAATCTGAACAATGTTCTCGTGAGAGTAGACAAAATTCCTCTCATTCATCATCACGTTCGTCGATTGTTAATCAAACAAAAGTTACCAAAATGCTGCTAATCGTCTCTAGTGTTTTTCTATGTTTCAATTTGCCAGCTTACGTCATAAGAATTTACTCCTACTTCCTCATTCAGGTATGATATTTACTAATTTTTTTCAAATTCAATTTCTTCCTTTGTTTCTATTTGCAAATTTGTTTCTAGTGTTTAAATTTCCCCACATTCCAAAGCTCGCATATTGCTAAAACGATTAACTGAATCGATTCCACACACAAGTGAGAGCCCTTGTTATTGTAAACAAGAAGATTTACGTTTGTGAACAATATTACGGTTAGTGTCGATGGGCAAAGAATAAGAGCAAGGACAGTGTTTAAAATTTCTAACACGCATTTCGACATTGAAATTCGTTCTCATTATTTAGTTTCAATTTTAAGACAATAAAAAAAATACTTGGCGAAAAAAAAAAGAATTTATATGTACATAAATCTGTTTTCCTTCCATGACAGGAATAATTAATTGCTCTGAAAAAAAATGCAAACACGCAAAGAAAATTTAATTCACTTAATGTGATGCTTCAATTTCAAAGTGCTCTTGAATCGGAAGTGACAAAATTTGCCTTTGAATTTTTGTCACAAAGAATCCTTTCTTAAAAATATTAATTTATCGATTTCTTTCTAATTTTTTTTTTTGCAGAGAAACGAAGAACCACACGTGAATATTATTATAGCCCAACGATTAAGTCATATACTATTCGATACAAATTATGGAATAAATTTCGTTTTATACTGTGCAACAGGACAAAATTTCCGATCAATGGTCGTACATATATTATGCCACTGTTGTCAACGTAAAAATACCAAAACACTCTCGTCAACGCAACGATCTAGTCAAAGAAATTTATACGGTAATTTTTAACTTATTACAAATAGTAGCGAAAAAAAACCAGAATATTTTTTTTTCGTCAAAAATTCTAACAATCGAGGAATAAAATTATTAATTTTGAAAAAATGCTATATTTCTTTTAGTTGGGGATTCAGGCGGATCAGTTTCCCGTCAACGAACAATTACAATTAACGGCCCGTGGAAAGAGACTTATGAAATGCAATCTTTCTAAGAGGGCAAAATTTACTCACCATTATCATATTCCGTAGCAATCAAAGGACTCACATTACCAAAGAATCTTTGATCAAGTAGTTGTAGAAGTTGCAAAGCAGCATCGTGAACAGGTGCTCTTGGACATCCCGTATTCATCAGTGTTACATTTATCACACTCGTATAATGATCGCAAGGATATTCTCTACAAAAAGAAAAGAAAATATTTAAACACTTAAATATTTATTAGTCAAATAAATATTAATAATATTATTAGTTAAACTTGACTAGTTCTTATAATAGCAAACATATAATTGACTAGCTTTTTTCTCAACTGAACATTTATTAAAGAAATAATTGTGATAATATCTATTCAAGTGTCTAATGTTTGTTTTTACAGCTTTAAATATTTATTTTCAAGTGACTGAACATTAAATCAAACCAAAGTGAGAGATTATAAAGTATTAAGCGAATAAGTGTCAAGGACACGCACTGTTATAAAAAATTGTTACTCCTACATATTTTAAATATAAGTATATATAAATAACTAAATAAAAATGAAATACTAGACCAAAGGCCACAATCTTACCAAAATTGTTTTTATATAATAGAAATAAAATATCTAATAAAAACTAATAGCAATAGTAATAATAATAATAATAATAATAATAATAAAATAATAAAAATAAATAAAATATTTATATTAATACAATATTTTACTATTTAGTTATTTATATATTTATTTACTTGTATATTTGTTACGTTTTATTATTTGTCGATAATATTGAATTTTAAATAAATCAATGTATTTATCTCCGAATGATGATCAATTTTAATTATTTATTATTTCCAATGACTTAGTAATTATTATTTAACTAGCAAATGTTACGCGCTCTAGCGCGTGGAACGTGATATTCAATTAATTATGGTTATGCAAATTACAAAATTTTTTATTTGCAAATATAAATTTTTAAAATAAATTCATAATCAAAATTTTAAAAATTCAATTATTTTTTTTAAATAGTAAAATCTTAACAAAAATTCAATTACTTTCAAATACAATTTTAATTGAATTCTTCGGAAGAATTCAATTAATTTTATAAATAGTAAAATTCTTTGCAGGAATTCAATTATTTTGCAAAACAATTTTAATTGAATTCCTCGAATGAATTCAAATATTTTAAAATATTTTCATAAATTTCATTTATTTCCTAAAATTTTAATAATAATTCTTCGAAACAAATTCAACTATTTTTATAAATACTAAAATTCTTTGCAAGAATTAAATTATTTTTAATCCAATTTAAATAAAATTACAACGAACAATTCAATTATTTTTATAAATAGTAAAATTCTTCGCAAAAATTCATTTATTTTCAATACAATTTTAATAAAATTCTTCTTCATAAATTATAATTTATAAATTATAAATTTATAAATAGAAATTCATTATTACCTCGCGCTGAAAATAGTTGCCAGTGCTAAGAAACATCCATCAGCAACTTGAGGAGCTCCAGTGTAACAGCGATCGACAATCCATTCAAGAAGAGCTCCAATATCTGGATTTCCTTCCAAAAGTAGTACAACTGTTTCTCGGGCCAGAATATAAATCTAATTAAAAATAAAAATAACACGTTATTTAATAACATCGACGAAATATTTCAACTTATTATAAATACCTATATGTATTTTATTTTTAAATGAAAAGCTCTTATATTCAGAAAGAAATAATATTCGAAAAATGTACAATTTATTAAACATTTTTTATTATTACTGCTATTTTTAATCATCACAAATCATTTATTATATGTAATATAATTTTTTAATCTATTAAAAGATTAAAAATGTTTAAAAAGCAGTGGGTGAAATGAATAAATAAAAATTAATATAAAGTTACACAAGAATAGTATATACTCTGGCTTTATTCGAGTTAATGTAGGGAAAATAAAGTAAATGTAAAAATACAAAGTTTTATTTTATTAAAAATAAAAATAACATGTTATTTAATAACATCGACGAAATATTTCATTCTTCACGATATCTCAAATTTTTACAAATATTCTATTTTTAAATAAAAAGCTCTTATATTCAGAAAGAAATAATATTCGAAAAATGTACAATTTATTAAACATTTTTTTATTATTACTGCCATTTTCAATCATCACAAATAATTTGTTACGTGTAATATAATTTTTTAATGCATTACAAGATTTCAAATTTTTAAAAAGCAGTTGGTGAAATGAATAAATAGAAGCGGACGTATATTTCCTTCACTACAGTAAATAAATAAATAAAAATTAATATAAAGTTATTCAAAAATAGTATATGTGACCTGGTCTATGAAAAGGGACCTTACGTGTCAAAAAATCATTTTTTACTTTTTTGTTGATTCGGATAGGGATTGAAACGCTCTTTAAGATGGTGAAAACCAAAAAATCATAAGTTGATTGGAAGTTTTAAAAAAAAATTTTTTAAGTTAAAAGAAACAAGAGTAAAAATACGAAAAAACTGATTTTTCGTTATTATACAAATTAAAATAACGAAGACGATAATTTTTTATTATTTAGAAAAGTTGGCAGTTTCTTTGACAACTGTCAACAGTTAAAATTCAAATTTGATATCATATTCGTAATCAGCGACCTCAAAAACCTTATTACTGTCTTTTTTACAAAAAACGATCACTTTTTAGAGAAGTTGACAGCTGTCAACTGTCAAATTGTCAATTTAACATCATATTCGTAATCAGCGGTTTTTCTAAGTTAAACTTTAACTGCTGTTTTCTCGAAAACTTGTTTTCGCACGTAAGGTCCCTTTTCACTGTCCAGGTCACATGTACTCTCGCTTTCTTTGATATGAGTAAATGTAGGGAAAATAAAATAAATGTAAAAATACATTTTTCATATCAATTTACATTGAAAATGTAATCCAATATTTTTAAAATGAACAGCTTTTTCCAGTCGACCCATTTTTGTAAACTATTAATATATTTTTTGTTTCAAACATATAAAACATTTTCTGACTAATAAAAATTGTAGTTGATTAAAACTTTAAACACTAGAAACGTGAGAGCTTAGAATTTGTATCAAATAAAATTTAATTAAATTTAAAACAATTGAAGTTTTTGAGAATCAAAATTTTATTCACATTCTTTATGAAGATTTCATTTTATTTAATATTATTATTATAATAAAAAAATATTTTTTAAATAAAAATGTCCAAATTTAGAGAAATTTAAATTAAATTATTTAATTATATACCTTTTCATCTCTGCTGGATAATAAAAGATCTAGCCACTGATATAGAATTGCACCCTCTTCAGATAGGGATTGAGGATTAAAACATGGTCCGCAGCACAATAATCCACTCATGGCTTGAAGTGCAAAGAGCTGCAATTCAGAGCTGGTCCTCTCATCCTCATACGATAATGAAGAACTTGTGATAGGTCTTCCATAAGGTCCTGCCCAACTGGCAAAAAGTGTAAATAAATTGCGACGTAAATCCCTTTTTAAAAGTGTGTGACACGTTTCCACTGAAACAATAGATCAAACGTTTTTTAAATTAATTTGCTATTTACAAAATTACATTCAATTGATTTTTTAAGTGTTCAAGCCACTTTGGCAATATTACTTTTTTTTAATAAAAAAAGAATTAAATACTTTAGCTTTTGATTTCTATTCACGCGTATAAAAGAGACTTTTGGAGGATTAGTTAAAAAAGAAATGAACAGATATAATGTTTTCAATTTTGAAAGTAAAAACAATTTTCATGTAAAAAAATAAAAAAAATAAATTTTTGTAATAATAAAATAAATAAGTAAATCACTTACATGTGAAGCTCTTAATCATTTTTCGAATAAAATTACAAAAATGCAACTTTATATCCCGAACAGCAGGGGCTTCCTTATCATTTTCATTTTCCAAAAATAATCTCGCACCATCCATATATTCAATAAAAGTGGGATGCAGCGATTGTGTTTCACGGTCTAACACCGCTGGGCTAAAAATGAACAATACAAAAATGTAAAAATGGATTAATATCACTTCTAAATATGTGAAAAAAGTGATACTTTTTTAACAATGAAAACTGCTTTTAAATAAAATATTTTTAAATTTAAAAAGTTTTCTTTAATTAAAAAATTTATATTTTACTAAAGTTTAAATATTCCACTCACAGAAAGTAAACAAACAAAAACAGAAAAAAAATCCCTGAAATATTCAATCATTTCAAATAAATAATTTATTTTCCTTATTAATCAGATTTGCAAAAAATTGTAAACTTTGAAAAAAATATAAAATATTTACTACAATTTTACTGCAAAGTAAAAAATTTTACTACAAATTAAAATATTTACTAACCAGATTCCAAATGTTCCATATTCGGCGATTAATTCCAAAACACGGACAAGTTGTAATCGAAGAGCATCACGTCTTCGTCGTCTTCGCATATTCTCTTGTTTTCTATCAACAGCTTCTTTAATATAGGGCACCAATTCCTCCATTAAATCTCTAAAGTAAAGAAAAAATTTTTTCAATTTCAATTAAAATATTTCGATCAATTTTTATTAAAAATACTTATTATAAAATATATTTTATAATTATTCTTTTATAACTTCAAAGCAAAAATGAACTCTTTGAAGATTTAATTTACGATTAAAGAATAAAGAAAAAAGGGAAAATAAGAAAAAGTTCACTTACTTTAGTGCATCAGCGTTTACTTTGCCAATTGCTTGAACGGCAGCATCTCTAACATCAACTGCCTCGCACCTGAGTAAAGGCACTGTTAATTTATACAAAGCTGAAGGACTGGCATTTGTTCCTGGAGATTTATTGTCACCTCGTTCAGCGGACAGACTATCTGGCGATGAGCTGTGAATGTTGTAAGTAAAATTACACATCTGACATTTTATTTGAAAGAAAAGAAAATACTCGAACCACAATTCGATTTGCAGTTAGCAAATAAAAAATGTCCATTTACATCTATTTTAAATCATTTCAATTATTTAAAATAAATTTTAAATAAATAAATTATTTGAAATAAATTTTAAATAAATAAATTATTTGAAATAAATTTTAAATAAATAAATTATTGGAATAAATTTTAAATAAATAAATTATTTAAAATAGCTAGAAATGATCATTCTGTTTATTTACTGACCAAAAAAAAAAAAAAATACAATGAATAAAATTAAATCACAAAATTCAGTGTTCTCTGGTTAAACAAGAAAGGAGAAGATTTCTTCCTGTGAAATATTTTTTTTTATATTTACTTTATTTATTTATCATAGGAAATTGTTTGGAAAAAACAATTTATTGCTTATCTAACCAGAGTCGACTTTTTTCATCATCATTGCGTGAACAAAAACAGAATGAGCCCTCAACCAGTTTTTTTTTTTTTTTTTTAAATGATGAATTCGAAATCTGCGACTAATCTAAGAATGACTGTGGGATAAAAAATGTTGAATTAAAATACAATCAAGTGTTTTGTGCATCAAAGAAGATCGATCAGGAACGGTCGTAAGGCTCCCAAGAAATCGTTTTGCAAGAAACAAAAGCATCATGCCAAAGTACATGGAGCAACGATTAATAATAGAGAAGATAGAGAAAAGTACATCTAACATCGTTGAGATTATAAGAGAAATTAGTTACCAACGACCGTTCGATCCGGGTGAATGAGAGGCAGCAACCGTTTAGCGATTTTTTTTGTTTTTGGTTTTTTTTTTAAAAAGCTCACCTTGTCCTCTTATGTCTGGTGTAGATTCCGGAAATGGAGGGTACTGAGAAACGACCCGGTAGGGTCTGCGCCCCACCGAGATTTTCCAGGCTTTGACTCAACTCCTTACTCATGCACAACACACCAAACTCCACCGTTTGCTGACCACTAGAGTATGCAATACAGTGTACCACCAATGCTCCATAATATCAATTTATTGTTTTACTGCTCGCAAATTACTACTATTCTAACTCCAAGAAAAAAAAATATAAAAAAAAAATTAATCGAATAACGACAAAAATACTGGCATGCGAAGTTAACATATCGTTATAAGAAAAAAAAATTACTTGTACTCTTCGAAAATATTGAGCTTGGGATAATATTATTTTAAAAAGTAATAAAAAAAATCCCTATCTTTATTTCTGAATACAAGATGAATACATATTCTAATAATTAGTAAATTACAGAGTTATTTCTAAAACTAAATTAATTCAATATAAACAAACTGATCAAATATTAACAATCGATAGTTAAATATTCAGTTAATATTTAATTTTATATATTTTAATATTTTAATATTTAATTTAATAATCAATAATTAATAAATTTAATTAATTAAATGTAAACCAATGGTATTTTATAATTAAGTATTAAATAATTAAAAGAATACTAAAATTTTTGTATTACATGTTAAAAAATATAAATAATATTACACGCTAAATGAAGAATAATAAGAAAGAAAATAAATTTCCCAGTGCTTTAAATAAAGAATAAAACATTTTCAAAAATGGAAAAAATAAAAATTAATTTGAAAAATTGTAATCTGTTAGTATGTAGAAAAGAAAAACTGTTTAAAATAAAAAGAAAAAAATAGCTTAATGTCATGTTATTCAGTGATCACATGCCTCGTATACTTTTGTATGGAAAAACGGCTCTTTAAGTCTAAATAACATGACCTTAATTCGAAAAATACAAAATGAGCAATTTCAAAAAGAAATCTAAATTTCGAAAAAAAACCATTTAAATTTTAAATAGAGTTTCTACAGAAATTTAAAGTAAGAGACAAGCAGTCCAGTCAATCCCATACCAAATTAACTTTTTTTATTCTATACTAGTAATTTAAAAAAAAAACGTTATTAATATAATAATTATTATTAAAGCCGCACTCAGCCATTATTATTATTTATTATTATTACTATTATTATTTGTATTATTATTATTATTAAGTATTAATTATTATTTTTAATATTAATATTATTAACATAATTAAAAATTGTTAATTTGTTAAAAAAAGCTGAAAATTCCGATTATTAACTTCAGCAATGCCAATGAAAGATTTGCGTTACTCGGTTCTTAAAAGATCTTTTAATTATACGACCAAAATGCATGACAAAGAATAACAAAAAAAATACTGATGCAAACGAAATGAATAAAAATTAATGTATAAAATTATAGACAGTAAAATTGTCTAGACAATAAACCGGAAAAAAATTCGGAAAATAAATAAGAAAATTTTCTATTTACCTTAGACTGAGATCGGGACTTGCACATCGAACAACTGGGCTTGGAATTGGAGGCACAACTCGATATCCAAAAGTCAGGTAATTTTTCCAAACGTGCATGTAAATATCTCTTTCATTAACGGGTTTTCTAATTGCAGTTGAACTTCTCAGGAGGGATGCTCTATTGTCGTTCACAGGTCTAAAACAAATTAATTAATTAATTTAAAGTCAATAATTTTACTATAGTCTAATAAAATTAGAAAATTAAAATTCAATAATTTTAATTTACAGTCTAACAAAATTAGAAAATTAACTTTAACTGTTTACAGAAATTTACAGAAATATTAAATTCCCTTTAATATTTGGAAATTAGATTAAAAATTCAATTTCGAAATTAAACCAAATGTTTAAAAATTTAATTGGTGATATTATTGAATTTTTTTCTTACGTTGGATCGACGACAGTGTACAAAGAATTGATGCGAGTAAACACAATCGGCCATGAATGAGCCACAGCATTGGAACAAAGAGTAAGAACACGATCCTTTTCTAAAAATGCAAATAAACAACTGCTCCAGGGATCCGCGCCATTCAAATTTAGAGATGACGAACTTTTCGTACTATTCTCGTCGTGGAAACCTAAAAAAAAATTTCAACTTTATAATATAATTTATATTTATCATATACTTTTTAAATTTTTATTGATTAAATTTAGCATTTTTTAGGACTCATTTCTTCTTACTTAGAATTTTCAGTTTTTTAGAGAATATTTTCAAATGTTTTACCAGCGGTCCAAACGCAACTACTTCTGTCAGCAATCCACTGGAGATCGACATTCGAATTTGATGCTGCGGCCACTTTTTCCGCAGGTGGCAACATATGATAGCATTTTTCTAAAACCGCCGGACAACACGCGTCTATCACATCAATCACAGGCTGATCGTCTTCCAGACTTCCTGTAAAAAATAATTAAAACGATTTAAAACTTTTTCGATTACACTCAAGCTTATTTGCAATTATCTCAGAAAAAAACATAACGATAACATCTTTTTCCAATTACATATCTCAAAAAGTACAAAATACAAAAAATAAAATTTTGTACAGTATTACCAATTAATATTAATTTAAATTCTAAAGCATTTCGATTTGATAATTTAAAAATTATTCATTTACCCAAAATTTTCAGCAGGAGTTTAATTTCCCTCAAAATATGCACAGCCAAACGTCGTGGATAGAGACGACAATTGCACAGCATAACAAGTGCAAAACCTTCGACAAAATGAAAAACACTCGAAACTGGTTCAATTTTTTGTGCAGTTTCAATTTTTTTCACATTCTCAATTCGAATGTGAATTCTACTCGTGTCAACTGTTGGCTGCTCCTTAGAACGAACGCTTGGACTTGATAGAGCATTTTTCCAACTTGTCAATAATTGCAGCAACATTCTCAGACCATTGTCGACTAATTGTGAAAATGTATCTTGCACGTCGCGCGCTAAAAATTGCGTGAATCCCAAAACAACGTCCTGTCGCCAATCGGGAAAATCAAGAACAAGCGTTTGAAGACTCTGATAAGCCAGGGCTCGCAATTCCTCGTCCATGTGAACAGTGAGACGAGCCAGTAAATCAACTAATTCAGCTCCTGTCATTCCGTCTGGTATTAAACGAGGAACGGCCGCGACACACGTGCGAAATAGATCGATTCTTGGTTTTCGCTCTCCTGTCATCATCTCGTCGGGTTCTTTGTTAATGTTTTGTGTACTTGTCATCATTAGAGGTCGTCCGTACTGAACGTCTAGTGCTCGTAGAATATCGACAAAAACACGGCGAACGTGGGGAAAATAGGAGGACATTCCTATACTTTTTGCCGTGTCTTCCGTCAGCATCTATGTGGAAAATTGTTTCAAAAATTTCATTTCTTTATAATTTTCTGACGCATTCGCGGAAAACGACGCGAAAATTTTAACAAATATTTAAAATATTTTTGTTTATTTACCTTGTTGAGGTACGTTTTCTTGACACGCATTGTATTTCCACTGGGAAGAACTCCCATGGTGCGGGGCATCGGTGGTTCTCCTTCCTTTTGCTGTAAACTGTCAGCCACAACTAAGAAAGCACGAAGTCCAATACTCATTCTTTCGGGAGTTAAAATAATTTTCACATGACGGCCAACTGATAAAAGATCAAATACTATTTCCCTCATTGCAAAATCAAGTCTTTCTTGGGCAATAAATTGAATGATTTTCACGAAAATATTCAACGGTGTGTCACGGGGAACAACAGCTTTTGATCCTTTTGGAAACAGTGAATTGACAATACTCTGTAAGCGACTCTGCGTTGCTGAATTGCTCTCGCACTTTATGCGAATCATGTAAACCCAAAGTAAGCGGTACAAGGCCTCTGAAAAATTACAAATTAAAAAATTTAATAAAATTATAAATAGGATTAATAATAACAAGAAACTTACCTAAAGCAACTCGACACATTTTCGGATCTCGATTCTTCAGATGAGAGAGGCACATTGCTAAAAAGTAATGCCAACTCTGAAGGAAAAATGTTTTTTGGCTCACACAGAGAAGACAGGTTACTAATGGAAAAAGTGCCAAACGATGTTTGTTCTTTGTGCACATATCCAGAGTAGTCGAATACAACATTTCGACGAAATTTTTTAAACAAGGAACATTTACTTCATTTTTCACAGCCTGAAATAGAAAAAGAAAATTACAATTTCAAGATTGATGATTAACCCGTCAGCAATAATGTCTCTCTTTTAGTGCGAGTGAGCGACAGCAGACGGGTTATTTTACTGAATTCACTCGATAATGAAAAAACTAACAAATAAACAAAGATAATAGTAAAGAAAATATTTTTTTCAATTAAATATACTCACAGCAGCAACAGGTACAAGAATTTCAACAAATAGTCCAGCAAGAGCGTGTTTTACATCTTTGTCTTTCACTTCTAAAAAATATTGAGCGCACTCTTGCATGAATTGAAATGATGCTTCAAACTCTTCGATAGGAACCATCTGTAATGAACAAAATTGTATAAAACAATACAAATATTAGTTTTCTTTAAATATATAAAAATAAATAAAAAATTTAATTCAATAAATACCTTTACTCTGAAGAATTTCATTCCCATTAGTAAAGAAATAATACTCTGAGTAGTGTGAGGTCCTGGTTCCTTTGCTCTTAGTTCCTTTAATTCGATCATAAAACGTTTACGCACATACATAAATCGAGATTGTGCAAGGACTCCAATCACTTCAGCGTATAAATCAGCAATAATGTGAATATTCGCTGCGTTTGGTTCATTTTGAATTCTAGAACAAAAAATATTTGATTACTTTCATTGTTAATAGTATTTGTTGCCTCACACCTAAAAATAAGGAAAAGAAGGAAAGATAATAATTATTATCATTACTCGTATGCTAAAATTCTTATTTAATAGATTATCAAAAATTTTCAAGTAAGATACAAGTACATACCCTTCTCTGTACTTAAAGTGTTTAAAAGCTATATTTTCGATGTACGTTACGAGATCCTCATGTCCTGGATGGAATGGTAATTGACGTAGTACTTCAATTAACACTAAACAAAATATAAATTCCACTGATAAATCCCTTCGTTCCTGCATTAAATCCGCTTCACTTCGCTCAACAGTCTCCACACTGCCGGAAACTATCGTATACATTATACTGTAAAGAACAAATAATTACTCATTAATATTATCAAAAATCAATATTTTTTTAAAGCAATTCAATTATTTTCAATAGAATTTTAATAAAATTTCTCGAAAGAATACAATTATTTTTAAAAATATTAATTAAATTCGATTATTTTCAACAATTCTGATAAAACATTCTTCGAAACAATTCAATTATTTTAAAGAATTTTAATAAAAATCTTGCCAAGAATTAAATTATTTTCAATACAATAATTTTAATTACAATTTCTCGAAAGAATTCAATTAGTGAAAAAAATTATTTCTACAAATAATTGAATTTTTGCAAAATTTTAAAAAATAAGTGGATTTTTTAGAAGAATTTTATTAAAATTATATTTAAAATAATTGAATTCTTGTGGAAAATTTACTATCTATTGATATAATTGAATTCTTACGAAGAATTTATAAATAATTTCATTTTCCCTGGAATTCAATTATTTTAAAATAATTGAATTCAATGACTTTCAGTACATTGATTTCAAAATTTTAAACATTTAAGAAGAAAAATTATTTAAAAAATTGGGGGGAAAAAAAGTCAAGGCAAACAGCAACAAACTTCAAAGTACGAACAGATTACCGGAATACGGCGATTATTAATAAGAAGATTATTTCACTTTTCGTTTGTTAATTTTAAATTTTAAATTAGAATTCGAGATAAAATCACAAATTACCTCTTTCCTTTTTGATCCTCCTTCGCAGACGATTGTTTCTTTTGATCAGTGCCATGGTCGACTAATTGCCTCTCGTACCAATTGAACAAAGCCCTGAGAATCGATGGCAGACAGTGTTCAGCAACCGAGCCAAAAGCCGAAAGCAATTGATCGAATTGTGGATCTTCGCCGCGTTGTAAAACTTTCGAAAGAGGTTTTTCCTGGTGAAAAATTCAATTCCATTTTTAATTTCCAATTTAACTGTATTTTCAATTTTTAATTTCCAATTTAGCTGTATTTTCAATTTTCAATTTCCAATTTTACACCATAAATTTCTTTTTTTCTAATCAAAATAAAATGTAATATTTACGTGATCAGTCATAACAGCTTCCATCTTCTTTTCGGCTTGTGTCGTGAAATCAGCGAACAATGTTCGCATAACAAATTCTCCTGGTCTCAGATCCATGTCTGCTATTTGATGTGGTTTACAGGTTTCTTTTTGCGCTCCCCAAGGTAATACGACTGTCACTGAGCTTACTCGACTCGAGGTTGATTCTATTTTCAAGGATTTCAGAATTACAATAATGATCAGAATAGTAAAAAAAACAGCAGTCAATTTGTAAATTTGTCATTTTCTTTTTGTTTGAAACAAAAAGTTTCAAACCGGAAAAATTTCTAAATATACATATTTTTCAGAAAAAAAAATATTAAAGTATTAAAGAAAAGTATTTAAAAAATTATTATTTTACTAACCATTAGCAGCATCGTTATTGTCGCCTTGAGTCACACCTTGGACAGCAGTAACTTCTTGACATAAGCCAGATGATGTTTCCACCGTTCCTTCATTCGAAACCTCCCCCTGAACAGATCGCGATTCAGAGGCATCTAGAAAAGTAAATAAATTTCCCCTTTTTAGCATGAAAAGAAAATTTACTCAATTAAAATCAAACTGCTGAGTCTCATTATTATCATCATCTGAACTACATCTGAAGAGACTAAAAGTGTGAAGCCCTGCTTTGTAACGTAACAGATGCCTGTGATGTACCGTAACTTAATTATAAATACTTTAGCTTTTGCAAGTACACGTGCAAAAGAAAAAATTATGTTAATGATAATGATAATGATAACGATAACAGTAATAATTAGTTGCTGTAATTAACTCACCAGCTCCACTATCACTGCTGACTTGATTTTCTCCTCCTGTAAAATATAAAGTGAATTTAAAGATGATTTACTCCAATCTCCATAGGAGAGTAAAAATTCAATCGAATTGAGTCTTAAGACCTAGAAGTGCACTTTTCAAGTTCCTTTTTTCACCAGGAAAGCTCTTTGAATTCATTCGATTAACATTAAGCCGATTTAAATATAGTTTTACCAACCAGAATTACATACCTTCAGTCATGTCTTCAGTGTTTGCCTCACTCTCAGGCAACATCCTAAAATTTGTTCGTCACTCCAGTTTTGCTGTGAAAAAAAAATTTCACATTATTTCCTCATAATTTTTCATCGCAATCATGTTAATTTTACTGAGGTACAAATTTCATATTTACAACAAATAATAAAAATGTAAAATATAATAAAATATTTCAAAATTACTTTTACATTTCCAAATTCAAAAAATCGTAAGTTCAATCAAATATTCGACGAAATTGATTACAGAAAACAATTTTTAGAGAACAAAGAGCAGGCAATGTGTGTGAGTGTATAAAACAAAAATGATTCTTTAAAAAAAAGATAACACGTGAAAACTTACCGCTTCATTTTTCATGTTTAAATTTCAAAACTTGTTCTTACATGCAGGATTGCATTTTCAGGACATTTATCAATTTTTCTACAGCAAAAGAAAATAATATTCAGTCAAATGAAACATGCCATTTTATTTTTATATTCACATCAAAAAAATCATAAAGAATTTATTTGTATGTACTTGTGAAAATTTTAATAACGAACTTTCTGTGAATCATACAGCAAAAAAAATTATCTACAATGACCTCAATAAACAAATTATTTACAGTATTTAATAAAAGTCCGCCATTTTTTGCAATTAATGAACTAAATGAACTAAATTACTAAAATTGAGTCAAGTAGGATTAAAAATTAATCATTGTCACAATATAACTTTATCGTTCAGATAAACAGAAATAACAAAAAATACGTAAATAAATTAAGTGCACAAGTTTTTCGAGCAATGACAATAGTCTACTGTGACAAAAAAAATGTTACAACGTCAACGTCAACGTACACATTTCGACAATAACAATTACAGGACAACAAATCTAACAATTAACAGCAAAAAAAATTATAATCTTCAAGAAGAACTACAATTTTTTCACTCAATTAGTATTTGAAAATAGTAAAAAAAACATGAATATAATTACTAAATGCGTAATAATAAAGGCGAATGTCAAAAAGTTTTAAAACATGGCTGCGCCTAGTGAACCGTCTAACGGCAAAATTTTCCTTTGACAATAATAAAGTACTCACCTTTCAGTTCTGTCATTCAGTATTAAGTTAGATCTTCTAAAAAAATACGAAAATAGTAACAATTCACGATTATTTAACGTTAATTAAACATTTCGTAATAATAAATTTACGAGGAGTAATAACACTTTGACAACTGCAAATTGCGCCAATAAGGAGGTTTAAGTTGTATCCACATGTAGCGACCGATCTTCAACAGTTACCAATTCTAACGTATACATTCGGAACTTACGTTAATAACGACTAGTTAACGACACTAACGTAAATTTAAAAAAGAACTTTTTTAACACGCATATTAACGATCGATTAAAAAAAAGAGTAGTTATTTTTAATCATTTTAAAACCTGTTGTCATTTAGTTCGTCAATTATTAATGTAAATGTATACAGTAATACTTATCATACATTAAGCGCAAAAACGGAGAGAATTTTTCAATTGACGCAATATAGCGCCACCTAAAAAGTTTTGTTAAAACTGAAAAAACCCCATAGACAGAATACAGATAGAATTGTGTAGATTGTGTATTTTTGTCTTCACATCTCTATCTAATTTGTAAAGTCCTGGTTTGCTTTTTAGTATAATTCGTATAATTTGTTTTGAATTGCAAAGTTGTTCTCTAAAAAAAACAGCTGATATAACATTTTTTTGACGTCATTTTTCTTTAAAGGGTAAGTGAAGTGCTTATATTTTCGATTGTAAATAAAAACTTTTTCTTTTTTCTATAATTAAAAATGGATCTATTTACATTTGGGCGGTGGTATCATCTATGACACATTATTTTACAATTAGGTCATGCACCTATATTTAGGAAATGAATACTATATAATTATAAAAGTAAATTTACTATTATGAAATTTGATTTGATAAAACAAATGACGTACGTCTTTGGTACGTCATTATTTCAATGTTGAAAGTGCAGCTGTTTTTTTTCAATTGTTGAGGATGTGACAATATTATTTTAAAGTTCTTTTATTATTGAACACTTTCTTTTTTTGACAAAAAGGTATTTTTCAATTTTTTTGTATTTTTAGATTCGGATAATTAATTATTCCTTATAAGGAAGTTTAAGGTCAATATTGCTTATATATAAACATTGTACGTGTAAAGTTATTAAATAATTCTTTTTCGGAATTTTTATACTAAATTCAGATTTTAGTTGAAATTCAGGGTGGCCACATGTCAGTAAAGTCAGGGAAATGACAGGAAAAAATTTTTTTCAGGGAAATTAAGAAAGTTAAGAGTTTTTTCCACTTATTTTCAAAAATTGCGAATTTTTCGACTTTTTTCCTAATGTTACAACAACATACCACATTTTTAGTTTAAAATGCAACTTATTTCGATTTTTATAGTGTGAAAAATAACTATAAGCGAAAAATAACCACCTTGAATTTTTTTTTTATTTTATGCTGTTTTCTGTATTATTTATGGATAAATTTAATTATTTAAATTTAAATAATTAATTAATTAATTAATTCTTTTTAATGGAATAATTTTTTTAGGTGGAAGCAACTACTATGAATAAAAATGGACCTCCTCCACCTTACGAACCACCACCATCTGCACCGCCTAGTTATGCTCAATCTGTGGGCGTATCACCAGCCAGTCCATTTACACCAGCAGAAGCTTGTAAGCTTCTTTAGTGTATTAATTGCTTCAAGCGTATTTTATTTAATTTCACGTTCGAATTGCTTCAGAAAAAAGTATTCTTTCATTATAGGGAAAGTATATTCTTGGAGAAAATAATTATTCCTCTGTAATTGAGATGGAATTAATATCTCTTTGGAAAGAATTATATTTACATTTAATGATTTCTCAAGACTGAGTTAAAAATAATTTTCAGATGCCAATGGACCCACCATAGTCACGACTATCGTTCCTTTAGGCACTGGAGCAACGCACACAATTTGTCCTCATTGTCATGCAGAAATCGACACCACAACGAGAACGGAACCAGGAATGATTGCCTATATTTCCAGTGTTGTGATTGCATTACTTGGGTATTTATGGAATTTTCTTTCTTTCTGCCATTATTTTCAATTCTATTTCAATGATTTCAATTCGATTTCAATTAAAAATTTAAACTAGTTTTCAATTCGATTTCAATTAGACTAAATTTCGATTGTTTCCAAGAGTGGAGAATTAAATTTCAAATTAAATTTCAGTTGTTGGTTCGGATGCTGCTTGATACCGTGTTGTATTGACGAGTGCATGGACGTACACCACACATGTCCAAATTGCAAAGCATACCTTGGACGCTATCGGAGATAATTTAAAACAACAAAGGCCACCAATAACTTTGCATTTTAACGCGAAGCATCGAGAAGTTAGGAAAAATATTCTTAATTCTATTTCAATAACAATTCCAAACGAAAATGACCAAATTCACAAACTAAAAATTTCTTTTTAATTCATGAAATCTTTCAAATATCATCATCATAATTTTTCAATTTTCTCTTTATTCTCTCAAGAGATATTTCTCAATATTCTCGAGTCAATTGACTATGAATTTTTAATTCCTTGCTTCTTTTTTTTATTATTTTATTTACAAGTATTATTTAGTAGAAGTAAATTAAATAAATAGTAAAGTACCTGGAATTTTTAGCGAGGAAAAGGGAACTAAAAATGTGTCACTTTGAACTTGGTGTAGATGAGGTGAAGGTAATTTAGATTCTTGAGAATTAATTTACAATCTCATCAAAACTTGCCTATTGAAAAATAATCGTTTAGAAAATTGTTAAAAATTGTCTACATAAATACCTTTAGGATGAACGAAAAAATTAAGTAGGAAAGAAAAAATTTACAATTGTTGACGAAAGTGTTTTTTGTTAAAAAAATACTTATATTCACAAAAGCGCCTTTTACACGTTTAATATCAACGCAATTATAATTTTAAGAATTCGCAGCTATTGTGAAAGATGAAGGACTGTTTTTAACGCAGCTATTATTTTTTAACAAAAATTCTAACGGACTTTTAAATAATATTGAGAATTGAATAAATCAATTTTTTGATTTATTTTAACTAAAAGGAACTAAGACACATGGCAAAAAAAGATCTTGTATTTATCTGCTATTTTTTACATTGTAAAATTTATACAAGTACACAAATTCACTAGAGAACACAAATTAATGCGTCTTTGCACATTTTATTTTTTATTACTGTTAAAATCATGTGCCTTTTACATTTAAGTATATGAAATAGTTAATTACAAAGAGTACAATGAAAATGGTAAACAACTAATTATTTGACAAATCCAATTTTTGAATTCGTTTCTTTTTTCACAGCTGGAAAAATAATAAATTAAAAATGATCTGATCTAATATTATTTAACTATTTTTTAACGCATATATAATGTATTAGAATGTGTGAATTAGAATTTTAATACGTTATTTACAATTGTAAACTAATCATATATTTAAATAAAAAAAATTTTTCTTGACAATTTAAATATTTAATTCGATCGTATTATTTATAATCCACAGAAACTGAAAAGTATTTTTCTGTGACATTTTATTAAAATTTAATTTTAATTATAATTTTGACATTTTATTAAAATTTAATTTTAAAATTTAATTTTAATCATAATTTTGACATTTTATTAAAATTACATTTTAAAATTGAATTTTAATCTCATAATTTTTTTTTAATTGTTAAATAGAAAATTTAAATAATTCGCAAATCAAATGGACATGATGAAAATAAAATCCGGATATCCGGCAATTTTGACCAATCAGACAACACTCGACGACAGCACCCTCAAGCGAGAGAAATGAGAATTTCTATTGTGATGTCGAGTGTGCAGGTCTATTGTAAATTGTAAAGAAAATTGTGCAGTGTGTTCTGTGTTGGCTATATATTTTTTATTAAAAAAAAAAGTTACAAATTTACAATAGATTTTTCCGTTGTTCTCGCCATGACGTTAATCTAAAATTGTTGAAAAAAATACTGATCCCGATGTTGGTCGTAGCATGTAGTTTACATGCTTTTAAAGAGGAAAAAATCCGGGGAGACAAATCGTGGATACCGAAGAAAGCTTCAAACGTGTTTGAAGCTTTCGAGGTCGTATTCATGGAACTATGAACCTGGACTCGTTGTCTTTTACTTTGTCACAAATCAGTTATTTGGTTACGAAGTTAAATAAAAGAAATTTTGAAGAAAGCTGCCAGGAAATATCAACTGTAAGTAAACTTGTATCTGCGTTCTGCTTTGCGTTGGTTCTCTCTTCTCTCCCCCTTCTCCTTTCTATTATATTGCGTGGGCCAGTATTTTTGCCTCGAGAGATACCAAAAATTTTATTCGAAAAAATATATTATTGTAGATGAATTTGTAATATTTAACCTCTATTGAGATAAATTTGATTCAGTCGAATTTCTCCGAATTTTTAAGTCTGTGATTAAAATGCTTACCATTTAACCCCAAAATATTTCAACAGATGCCTTCTATTTTTTTTTTGAATGTTTATCGGGCTGTAAATGCTTTATCTCAATACTTTTCCGTTATGAGTACAATTCTGAATGAGAAAGTGTACAAAAGTCATGTTTAGACAAAAAATAGACGGGCGACCTTTGAGAAAACATTTGACACTAGTATTTTCACAACAATTAGTTACATTTTGGGAATTTTATAATTTTTCATTTTTGACAAGTATAAATGAGAGCATTTGATTATGTATTCAGAATTATTACTGAAAAATTTTCCATATATGGATTTTTTTTGTATGATCGAAAAGTTTTTTGATAACAAAATAAAATGTAAATGTAAAATTAATTTCTTTTGAATTTTCTAATTTTTAGATTGTTTAGCTATTACTACAATGTTATCACAGTTAATGATAATTTAAATTATCTGTATCTCTGGTATTGTGAAAGAATTCCTTCTCAAAGTTGTGAAATAATTATTTTCCTCCATTTGTATTTTTCTATAAAAAGTAATTTTAATAAATAATTTTTTTCTTTTTACAGTTAGTACAGGGGAAGGGTTTGGAGGCAGACAGACATTTATTGCGCTGTTTGCTTTCTAGTGTTGACTTTTCAACGGAAGAACCACCAGAACCTAGTGCAAAAGACTATTACCAAGTTCAGCTCCTTAGGGAGAAACTTACTTACTTATTGGATAAATTATATCTCATTTCGAATATTTGTTTCGCTTTTGATCGTCCATTACTTCAACAAAAGGTAATTATTATTTTTTGCAAAAAGTTATTTTTAATTTTAATTTAATTTAATAAACAGGGCTCGAACTAGGTCAGTAAATTTCAATTTTTAATAAATTCTTCGAAAAATGGAATTATTCTTAAAAATTTTATTAAAACTCAACGAAAGAATTCAATTTTAAGAAACATTCTATTATTCAATAAAATAATCAAATTTGTTACAGTAATTCAATTTTTTTAAGTCCGTATTTTTAAATACTTTCACTGGTTCGAGCCCTGAATAAATCAATAAATCAAATTTCATATTAATTTTTTGAAAATATTTGCAGACTTTAATTCCATCGCCAAAGTTATTTTCCCAACTGCAAAAGGTTCTTGGTCTCTCGTTAGCCCAACTTGTTGTGATTGAAATTGCCTTTCAACATTCGGAGAACCCTGAACTCCAGTCACTAGCATTAGAGGATCTTCAGAAGCAAATACCGGAATTAGTGAAACATTACGTTTATAGTGATAGAAAAAATCGGAGTGAAGAATTAAACGGTTTCACAGTTGAAACATTACACTTTATTCTGTTTTTTATTTTTCACGAAGCTCAACAAATTGAAATAACAAGTGAAACGAAGGAAAAATTTTTCAAAGCCTTGAGAAGGGACTTTCCTCGTGATCGGGTGCCAGTGGTGTTGTTACCATATTTGTATCCAGGAGACGAGGAAACGCCTCAGTGTCAACTGCAAACTATGTCGTCCACACAAATGGTGGGTTTTTGTTTCTAATAATTTCTATTAATTCTGAAGATTTCTAAATAATTTATCTAGAAAATAATATTGTTTGGCTTCTTTTTTACAGGATGGAAACGCACTAGTTGAACTCATAATGGAATTAGGTTATGGGTTTACTAGTAGCGTGGAAGAATGTAGAGCGGCTTTAACTGGACTCGGTGCTAGAGAAATTTCCGCATCATGTGTGGCACGAGTTCTATCTCACATGGCTCGTACTTGTACGGGTCTGGAAGACACTGGCGGTTTGCAGTCGTTTTGGTCGAATTCGAATTCGGGGCAAGATTCGAATAAGGACAAATCATCTGATGGTGGGGCAAAAACATGGAATGTCGAAGTTTTTGTACAAACCCTAAAAGATATGGTATGTATTTCAGGGAAAGTAGAATTGGTCAGGGAAAAACAAAATTAAATTGTTATGGTAATCCTGTATGTAATTTTAATTTTTACTCTGTAATTGTAGTTTTTAATTGAAAATCCATCTAAAAAATACCTTCTCACGTGATGAGAATGTAACATCGAAAAGTATTAATGGATTTATCTTGTTTGTCAACAGTCGTCGCTGCAATGGAACGACGTCATCATACAACTCGATCACGCCAAGTTTCTCGTAAAAGATCGACAAGGATTAAAACTTTTAATCACAGGATTAAAATTAGGCCTTCAATTACAAGGTTTTCCCACCGACGTATTTCCTGTCGAACTCTTTTACAGACATTGGGAGAATGTAGAGGGTCAGTTTTCTCTAGTGCAACAAATTTTAAAACATCCGGACATCTTTTGTTTTGCTGACTATCCATATCACTCGGTAACTGTCGACGTATTGAAAGCCGCCCCCGAGGGTGACAGTAAAGAAGCTCAAAGTTGGAGATCTTTGAATGTCATTGAACTTCTATTGTACATTGCGGAGAGAGGATTCTACGCCCCTGTTCAAGAAGTGTTTAAGTGGCCAATTCAACACTGTCCTGATGTTCTCGTTTTAGCCTTACTCCAAATTAATCCGCCATTTACGTTACTCAGGCAAGAACTACTTAGTACACTAATGCCGATTTTCTTTGGAAATCATCCCAATTCCGCTGTGATATTGCATCATGCCTGGCATGTAAATAATCTCATGATAAAGACTATAATAATGCAAGCTTTAGCTGAATGGTACTTACGAGGTGATCATGACCAAACGAGGTTGTCGCGAATTCTAGATGTAGCTCAGGATCTCAAGGCATTATCAGCGCTTCTTAATGCACAGTCATTTCCCTTTGTCATCGATCTTGCGTGTTTAGCTTCGAGAAGAGAGTACTTGAAATTGGAAAAGTGGTTGACTGATAAGATTAGAGAGCACGGAGAACACTTTGTCACTGCTTGCGTTAAGTTTCTGCAGAGAAGATGTCCGCAAGTCACGGGCTCTGGTATCAAGGAGGATCCATCCGTTCCAAAAGCCAGTCAACTTCCACAGGAAACACTCACGACGATACTTGCCTGTCTACAAGTTTGCGCTGGGTAAGAGACAAAATTATTGCCAACAATTTTAATAAAATTCTTTCAAAAGACTCAATTTTCAAACAAATTTTCGAAAAATTAAATTATTTAACAAAATTTGAATACAATTCTTCACAATAATTCAATTAATTTCACTACTTTCACTAAAATATTTTTCATGGAAATTCAATGTTTTACTAAAATTATTATTATTATTATTATTATTATTATTATTTATTAGTTATTATTATTATTTATCGATGACGAAAAATACAATTAATTTTGGTTTGTATTTTTCTTTTTTAGAAATGTTTCCCAAGATTGCGCTGAAGCAATTATGACAATGGTACAAAATTGTAGTTTGATGCTTAGTAAAGGAACTATGAGTAGACCACCTCCACCGGGTGTTTTGAGACACAGGGGCCTTGAACCTTTTAATCCAGCAACCTTGAGCAGCCAAGTAAGTTGAAATTTTCGTCTTTTTTAATAATAAAAATAGAAATTTTGATGCTTATTAGAAAAAACTAATTGCAGTTATTCACCTCAAAACAAGTGGATCCCCTTGCGAATTTGGGAACAAGCTTGGCTTCCATGGGACTTAGCTCCAGTCTTGGTCCACCAAGTAGTTCTGCATTTAATTTGCCCGGAGCACTAGGACCCTTAGTCTCTGCTCCCGGTTCTCCATCTAGATTAATGGGACCCTCTCCAAGTCCATTTCCAATAATATCTCAAATCCATTCAGGACCAGTTGGCACTCCAGGTCCATCAGTCATTGCCAGTGGTACAGCAATTGGTGGTTTAGGTCGTCTTGAACCATTGGGTGGAATAGAGAAATCAAGACTTACCGATACAACGAATACTTTCCCCGATATGACACAAAACTTTTCAAAAGAAATCGAAGACGAGGCGAATAGTTATTTTCAACGAATTTACAATCATCCGCCACATCCTACACTCTCGATCGATGAAGTTTTGGATATGTTGAAGAAATTTCAAGATTCGGGAAGTAAACGAGAGCGAGATGTTGTTAATTGCATGCTTCGCAATCTTTTTGAAGAGTACAAATTCTTTCCCCGTTATCCGGATAAAGAATTACACATCACGGCGCAACTTTTCGGTGGAATCATTGAACGTGGCTTGGTCAACAGTTATGTCACTCTGGGACTTGCATTGAGATTTGTCCTCGACGGTCTCAGGAAACCCGAAGGCACTAAAATGTATTATTTCGGTATAGCCGCATTGGATCGATTTAAAAGTCGATTGAAAGATTATCAGACGTATTGTGAGCATGTTCGAGTGATACCGCATTTCAGTGAATTCCCCAATCATTTAATCGAGTATATTGAATATGGACTTCAGGGTCAAGAGCCTCCATCGAGACCTCAAGGTCCAGTTGTACCAAAAAATGTGATGCTGCCTCCCGTTACTACTCCTTATAAGACTATAACAACGACTACGATTACGACAAGTACAACGCAATCGAAACCTGCGACAACATCGACCGCATCTCTTTCAACTAGGGTATTTATTTACTTTAATATTTTTATTTAATACTCCATAAAGGGCTCGAACTAGGTCCGTAAAAGTCAGTTTTTTTGGAACAAAGGTCCGTAAATTTCGTAATTTTATTGAGAAAAAAGATGAAAAATTCGTAAATTGTACGATATAATTTGGAGAAATTTAGAGAAAAATTACAAATGATTGCAGAAATTCAATTATTTTCAAAATTAATAAAATTCTTCGCAGACATTCAATTATTTTCAAAATTTTTTTTAAATTTTAATTTCTTTTAAATTTTATTTTTGGTCCGTAAAGTCCGTATTTTTAAATACTTTCACTGGTTCGAGCCCTGTCAATGTAATTTTTGCATTTTTTTAACCAATTTTTAATTTTTTCAGCCTTCCATAGCAAATGCGACAAACATCGATACTCTCCTTGTAGCCACAGATAAAGAGGAGAAGATAACTTCCCCGCCAGAAGCTTTGCAAGACAAAACTGCCTTTATCTTCAACAATCTAAGTCAGCTGAATTTACAACAAAAATGTGATGAAATTAAGGATATAGTCACCGAAGAATATTGGCCCTGGATGGCACAATATTTAGTAATGAAACGAGCCAGTATTGAACTAAACTTTCACGCTCTTTATTCAAACTTTCTTGATTGTTTGAAAATCCCCGAAATTAACAAAATGGTCACCAGAGAAACCTTCAGGAACATCAAAGTTCTACTCCGCAGTGATAAAGGAATCGCTAACTTTTCGGATAGATCTCTTCTCAAGAATCTTGGTCATTGGTTAGGAATGTTAACTCTTGGACGAAATAAACCAATTTTACATATTGATATTGATTTAAAAAGTCTTTTGGCCGAAGCTTATCACAAGGGCCAACAAGAGCTTCTCTATGTCGTACCCTTTGTTGCCAAGGTTCTAGAAAGCTGTGCAAAAAGTCGCGTTTTTCGTCCGCCCAATCCCTGGACAATATCAATAATGAACGTTCTCGCGGAACTCCATCAAGAACCAGATTTAAAACTCAATCTTAAATTTGAAATTGAAGTGCTTTGTAAAAATTTGAGTATCGATGTCGCCGAACTGAAACCGGCCGTTTATCTCAAAGATCCGGAGAGATTACGCAATTTGGAATATCAATTATCGCATCCGAACAAGAAGCATATAGAGAGTAGCAATAATCAACAACAGCAATCGCAGGGTCCAATTGAAGAATTGGTTGGTCCAACAACAACTGTTCCAATGATTGCACAAGCGGCTCCACCAATTAATACAACGCCTTCATTACCCTCTGGTCAACCTGAACCGAGGTTTAATTATGTCGACATTACAGTCACTGGAATTACGAACATCGCTCCACATATTACCATCAACAATCAAGTACGTATTATTCAATTTATTAAATTATTATTTATCATTTCTTTTTCGTTTACAATAATTTTTTCTTTTCAGTTGCCAATTTTGCAAGCTCATCCACAACTGAAACAATTCGTCCGTCCAGCTGTAGAAAGAGCAATCCAAGAATGGATTCATCCAGTAGTAGATCGTTCCATTAAGATTGCACTTACAACAAGTGAACAAATAGTGAGAAAGGATTTCGCCCTCGACTCCGATGAGAATAGAATGCGACAAGCCGCTCGTCACATGGTCCGGAACTTGACGGCAGGCATGGCAATGATTACATGTCGAGATCAAATTTTAGCATCCATAAGCACAAATTTAAAACAAAATTTCCTGAATGCCATGATTGGCCACACTCCACAGCAAAAAGAGCTTGTTGATCAAGCAGCTAATGTGATTGCTAACGAAAATATGGAACTTGCTTGCGCTTTCGTGCAAAAAACTGCAATTGAGAAAGCTGTTCCCGAAATGGATAAGAGACTCATGAATGAATTTGAATTGAGAAAAATCGCCCGACAAGAGGGTAGGAGATATTGTGATCCATTGGTTAAGTATCAATCGGAACGAATGCCAGAGCAAATTAGATTGAAACTCACTGGTGTGACGCCACATCAAATGGCAGTTTATGAAGAATTTGCGAGAAATATTCCTGGTTTTCAACCAATGACAGATCGAGACTCGAGGGCATTGTTCATGCCGAAACCTATCAGTGTAAGTTGACATTTACTTCTAATTACTTATTAATTAATAAAACTACTCTAATTTATGTTTCTCTGTTACTAATTCTCTAATTTCTCTATTTCTAATTAAAGTAGAAATTAATTTTCCTTCTTTATTTATGCAGGGACCAATGCAGTTTGCTGCTAATCCAGCGGTAGCAGCAGCAGCAGTACAGCAAGTGGCAGCTTATGCCGCCGCAGCAGTTAGTACAGACGAAATTGGAGCTATGCTTGAAAAACTGGCGTCTGAAGTTGAGCATTTATTGGCAGCAATGGGACCTTCAGCTCCACCTCCTCAGCAAGTTGCTCTTCACGGACTTCTTGAAGCCATCATTGCTACCAGGAGAGCTCGAGATGCAAACACCGCGTCTGCCTTGTTGAAAAAAGTAATATTTCTACTTAAATAAAAATAATTTTATTCTAATTTCATTATTTTTAGAAATTTTAATCCGATTCTTCGCAAAAATTAAATTATTTTCTGGAATTTAAATAAAATTCTTTGCAAATTTCAATTATTTGCAGGAATTTTAATAAAATTTTTTGCGAAATTCAATTATTTTCATAAATAACCAAAATTTATCACAAGAATTCAATTATTTTCAAAAGTAATAAAATTCATCGCAAAAATGCAATTCCGTCCAAACATTTTTCAAAATTCTCGTTAAAATTTCAATTATCTTTAGAAATAATTAAACTCTCCTTCGAAATTCAATTATTTTCAAAAAATTTTAATACAATTCTTCGTAAAATTCAATTATTTTCAGGAATTTTAATCCAATTCTTCGCAAAATTCAATTATTTTCAGGAATTTTAATAAAATTCTTTGCAAATTTCAAATATTTGGTTGAATTTTAATAATATTTTTTGCAAAATTCAATTATTTTCATAAATAACTAAAATTCATCACAAGAATTCAATTATTTTCAAAAGTAGGTAATAAAATTCATCGCAAAAATTCAATTATGTTCAAAATTTTCGTTAAAATTTCAATTATCTTTAGAAATAATTAAATTCGTCTCCGAAATTCAATTATTTTTAAAAACCTTCTTGAATTCAATGATTTTTAATCTACTATTTTAATAAAATTTTCAAAAAGAATTCAATTATTTAAAAATAATTTAATAAAATTCTATGCAAACCTTTAATTATTTTCATATAATAATAAAAATTTCCCAGAAATTCAATTACTTTCAGATTTTTGATAAATTTCTTCGCAATCATTTAATTATTTTCATAAATAATAAAACTCATTGGAGAATTTTAAATATTTTAAAAACATTTTTAATTTAATTCCTCAAAAGAATCCAATTATTTAAAAATTTTATTGATAAAATTCTTTTTGTATTGTAATAATTAAATTCTAGTAGAATATTTCTAATAAAAATTGATTTAAAAATGTATTTCAGTACAAATTTTAGATAATAATTGAATTTTGAAATTAATTTTTTTTGATAAAGTTTAATTTAATTTTTTTATATTTTTTTAAGTTCTATTTGACTCGGACTGGCGCTGGAATTATAATTTTAGATTATAATTTTAGACAAAAGGTTAAATTAGAAAATTTAGGGATAAAAAAAATTTACTTTCATTACTAATAGAAAATTCACTGTATTCTCCCTCTAGGCTGTCGAAGGTTTAATGGATTGTCCAATTGTAACAAGCGGTGTTATGGAGTCAGAGATTATTTTACGGTTTCGAGATTTGCATGTTCGAATTTTGAAGTGCTTACAAGATCAAAGAGCCTATGGCATGCAGTGGACAAACAAAAATGTCACGCGCTGTTTAATAGAATGCAGAGAAGAGTTTCGGTACAATTTCGAAGCAATCGACTGTTTAATAAGGTTAGTTAAACATGTTTTGTGAGAAAAAATCTTGTTTTTTTTCTTTTACTGTTTAAACGTTTTACAAGACTGGGAAGTTTTTTAAAACCCTTTTTCTCACTTTCTTTGTTTTAGATCTCATTTGCTGATTTTGTCGCAATACGATATGGCTCTAGCACAAGCGATGGAAAATGGAAGTGCAATGGCCACTGCCTTTGCAATGCAACTGATTCAACTTTATTTGGTTGAAGAAAGACAAACTACTCACGTCACAGAGTCTGATCTCTACAACACTATTGAGATCCTCGTCAGAATGGCCCATCTTCGAACACCACCAGAAGGGTCAGTAAAAATGTGAATTTAATTATTGAGTAAGAAATTGTAATTGAGTCAATTAAAGTTATTTTTGAAGTATACACAAATTGAAATGAAATTAAAATTTAAAGAGATAAAATTCGTTGTTTAGTTTAGTTTCCTAGTTAACTTTATTAGAACGTTTTATTCTCTTTCCAGTATCATGCTCTACAGGCTGACGAACTTGATTGAATCTCTGCGAGCAAATCACGATCCTGGTGTACTTGCCGATAGGATGCCAGCGGGACCAACAGCCCACATTCACTCTGGAATAATGCAAGCAAAAGTAAGTGAATTCTATATTTTTTTTTATTACAAATATGCAAAGTATTAGTAAAATAAAAATATTAATAAAAATTAATAAAATATGGAAATAATGTTAACGTTTTGTTTTACAGGCTCGTGACTATGACGATCCACCAGGCTTATTCGAGAAGACAGAATTTCTGTTAAGAGAATGGGTGCAAATGCATCACAGCGCGACTCACGCCAGGGATCCAACAAAAGCCTTCAGCACCTTTGTTCATCATATGAATATACACGGTATTCTGAAAACAGACGACTTGATTACGAGATTTTTCAAAATCAGCACTCAAATGTGTGTAGATTTGTGCTATAGAGCACTCGTTGAACCAAGTTCTGGTGCATCTGCCATTCGTGCCAAATGTTTTCATACTCTGGATGCCTTTGTGCGACTAGTCGCTCTTCTCGTTAAACACTCTGGCGATACAACAAATACTCACACGAAAATCAACCTACTGAATAAAGTACTTGGAATTGTTGCTGGAGTCCTACTTCAGGATCACGAAATCCGTCAATGTGATTTTCAACAACTGGCATATCATCGGTTAGAAATTTTAATTTACTTAATTTACTTTTAAGTTTAATTTTTTAATAAACTGTTTGTATTTTAATTCATTTGTTTACTTGCAGAATATTCATAATGCTCTTCCTGGAACTTTGCGCGCCGGAACCAGTTCTGGAGGCGATAAATTTCCAAGTACTGACTGCCTTCTGCCACACTCTTCATATTCTTCGTCCAGCAAAAGCCTCGGGCTTCTGCTACGCCTGGCTGGAACTTGTTTCCCATCGTGTTTTCATTGGACGAATGCTTGCCATTACACCGCAACAAAAATGTTGGGGAATGTACGCTCAACTACTGATTGATTTATTCAAATATCTCGCTCCTTATTTGAGAAATGCTGAACTCGCAAAGCCGGTAACTTCTCTTTATAAGGGAACATTACGTGTTCTTCTGGTTCTTCTTCACGATTTTCCCGAATTTCTGTGTGACTATCACTACGGATTTTGTGATGTGATTCCACCAAATTGTATACAAATGAGAAATTTGATTCTCAGTGCATTTCCAAGGAATATGCGTTTACCGGATCCATTCACTCCAAATTTGAAAGTTGATATGTTACCTGAAATTGCGCACGCACCAAGAGTTCTTACTAACTTTGCGTCAATGATTCAGCCGCCGAATTTCAAGAAGGAACTCGATTCCTACTTGAAAGCTCGCGCGCCAGTTACATTCTTGTCTGAATTGAGGAGCAATTTGCAAATTTCCCAAGAGGCGGGATCGAGGTATAATATTCAATTGATGAACGCTCTTGTTTTGTATGTTGGAACGACGGCAATAACTTTCATACGAGGCAAAGGGCACACGCCAAATATGTCAACGATTGCCCACTCGGCGCACATGGATATTTTCCAAAATTTGGCAGTGGACCTCGACACTGAAGGAAGATATTTGTTCTTGAATGCAATTGCCAATCAATTGAGATATCCAAACAGTCATACTCATTACTTCAGCTGCACACTTTTGTACCTTTTCGCTGAAGCGAATACCGAAGCTATTCAAGAACAAATTACGCGAGTGTTACTCGAGAGACTCATTGTCAACAGACCTCATCCATGGGGATTACTCATCACCTTCATCGAACTGATCAAGAATCCAACGTACAAATTTTGGACGCACGAATTTGTCCACTGTGCACCAGAAATTGAAAAGTGAGTTACCAGAAACTAAAAGTTACTATTTCTGTTTTTTTGAGGATTTTCACTACTTTAAATTTGCTAATACTAGAAATTAAAAAATTATAATCAAATTCTTTAATACGATTTAATAGTCTCCACTCTTTCAAAAATATTCAAAAATCTAAAATGATCAAAAATTCGAAAAACCGAATTTCTTAAAATTCAACATTTTTTCTTCTTTTTTATGGCATTAAGCTTCATTATTTTTGGGCTCTTGAAAAATACTTTACTTATTCAATATTTACCACTCTTTGGTAAAAAATCTAAAATTGTAAGAAATTCGAAAACATTCAAAAAACCGAATTTCTTCAAATTCAACATTTTTTCTTCTCTTTTATGGCGTTTGGCTTAATTATTTTTGTGCTCTTCAAAAACACTTTACTTATTTAATAATCTCCACCCTTTGGTAAAAAATCAAAAATTATAAAAAAATACCAAAAATTAGAAAAACCGAATTTCTTAAAATACAACATTTTCTGTTCTCTTTTAAAGCGTTTGGCAACATTCAATTATTCAATTAATTATTTATTTTTATATTAAAAATAATTAGGCATTTAAAGAGAAATATTAAAAAATTTGTCAATTATTTTCAAAAATTTTAATAACATTCTTGGCAATATTTCAATTATTTTCAAAAATTTAAATAAAATTCTTGACATAATTTCAATTATTTTCAAAAACTGTTCTCAATTCAATCAAAATTTTTACAGAGATTCAATTTATTTATTTATTTACAATGAATTATTTTTAATACAATTTTAATCTAATTTCTCGAAAAATGAAATTATTCTTAAAAATTTAATTGAAATTCGTCAAAAGAATTTTAATTACCTACCTATTTAAAAATTTGTTGATAAAGTTCTTTTAATGAAAGTTCAATTTAAAAAAACTTTCAGTTCTTCAATAAATTATTTTTTTTTGCATTTAAATAATTGAATTATCGTAGAATTTTCTAATAATAATTGATTCAAATATGAATTTCAGTTAAAATTGTAGATAATAATTGAATTTTGATCTTTGAATGTTTGAATTTTTCATACTTTTAACTGAAAATTCTGTAGATTTAATTTTTTTTTAAATGTTCAATTGAATTTTTTTTTAAGTTATTTGAAGTTTTTATTTTCTAATAATATATTTGATTGAAAAATTTCCGAATACCTGAATAATCGATGAAATTTCGTAAAATTGAATTGTAAACAAAAGAATTTGAAAATGTTCAAAGAAATGTTTAAAAAATTATGAATAATAATTAATTTAAACTTTATAAAGAAGAATTTTAGTTAAAAATTCTGGAAAACAATAATTGAATTAAAATAATGAAAGTAATTGTGAATAAGTTACAGTAACAATATTCTTATAATATAAAGTAATGATTTTATCAGTCGGTCATTTTTAATTATTTATTATATAATATAAAACATGAAGATATCGATTGCTCCGAGTCGAAGACTCGGAGTGATGGATTTCTTTATGTTTTATAACAATTTTTTATAAGTTGTTTAATTTCGAAAAGGTTTGAATTAAAAATTTTGTAAAATATAAATGTAGTTTTAAAAAATCAAAAATTATAAAAAAAATTGTAGAAAATGATTGAATTCAGGTAGAGCTATAATTGCAATTTTGAGAAATTATTAAAATTCGTAAATTTTACTCATTTTCCGTAAACTTTCATATTTTCCTGTAAAAAGAATTTTGTCAGGGAAAATAATTTTAATGTCAGTAAATTGTCAGTGAAATGCCAAAGAAATTGATAAATTGAAACTTGTGACCGCATCCTGTAGTTGAAATGTGTTTTAAAATTTTTTTAAATTTTCAAAAATTGTGTTATTTTTCAGATTGTTGGAGTCTGTGGCCCGTTCGTGTATGGTTCAAAAACAGGTGCAGTCCAACACCGAATCAGAAATTCCAGAGTGATAGTACATTTTATCCTTTTTCTTGTCAATTTTATGTACAGTAAACTCGTAAAATATTACGAAAAAAATAAGAAAGAATCGCGTGTAAAAACGTTGTTAAATTTACGACTAGGTGTATTATACTTTAGGTTTTGAATGAAATATTTCTTTTTCTATAGGTAGGTAGTAGTAAGGTACTATTAATTATTCGAGAGAAAACAAATTAAAAATAATACGTGATACGAATGTGTTAATATTTTAATAAATGATATCATTGCAATTTTGTCAATAAAAAGCAATGAAGATGAATTCAATCTCCGAGATCGCGTCTTATAAATGACGTTTGCCAAGGAATATATAACGGAGTATTGTATTTTATATACCATAGGTATTATCATTTAGCTATAATATTGCAAAGAAAACCGATTTTGGAGATTATTCTAAGAAAAAAAAAAAGAATGAACTGCAGTGTTCAATAGATTATGATATAGAAAGATCTTTTTAGTTTATCAACTGATTTTCAAGTTTATAACATAAATTTAATAGACGGTGAAATTTGACGATCCGAACTATAAATAAACAGACTAATAATTCTTGGTAAGAACTTGATTAATTAAAAATACACAGTATCATCAGGATTAAAAAGACAAAAACTTAATTAAGTCTCGAAATGTGTACTTGAAAAAACACAGTAGATAAAAAATAGTTCTGTGGCATTGTACGAACATGTACCTTTTGTAACTTTACATTTCGAAAGGATGAATAGTTCAAAACAATCATTATGTAAATGTCGTTTAATAAATAATAATACAATTTTTCTGTGTAATTTTGTACAATTTTTTTTTTTAATAATTATTAATCTAATTGTCAAATTGCTCTTGGTGTTGGTGTTATTATATTGTTTGATGATCACGTGTAGCGTGATAAGAATCGCGTTCCTTGTCAGGAAATTTGGTTGGTAAATTGGGACTGTGAAGGTGGCATTTTGCTTGGAATCTTATTCCGGCCACGTCCACTTCATAGTCTCCGGAGAGAATGTATTCGTTTGTGACTTCTTGTTCCCTTCCGTTTGAGTCGTAATTTTTTACGAAACCAAGACACACCTGATGATAAATATGACAAATAGAAAATATTACATAAATTATAATAATAATAAAAATAATAATCATAAGAGATGATTTCTGAGGAAATTTCGCACCTGCTTTTTGAAGGTAAATCCAAAAGCAGTTGTTGTAGTCATTCCGCAATATTTTCCGTTTCTATAAATAGGTTCACCACCCCAAGACCAAAGATCGATTTCCGGATCGTGGTCGTTCAATAAAAGTTGAACGTACTTTCTTTTCACTCCGTGTTCTCTTTGTTTCAAGAGAGCTTCACGTCCAATAAAGTCAATATCTTTCTGTAAAGTTAAATATTTTTTTAAATTGGTCAAACATTAATAAATGTTTCAAACATTTAATAAAAATTAATTGATACGAATTATTCAAAACAAAATTACTACAAATAATTCACTGACATCGAATTTTACTCTCCAGGATCTTCCGCATTCCAACGGAGTGGTAAATGTATCGAGATCTTGACCCCAGAATGCATAGAACTTTTCGACTCGTAAAGCTCTTGTCGCATAATAACCAGCATGTCGTATTCCATACTTTGCTCCAGCGTCGATTAATTTTTTATAAACATGAAGAGCAAACTGGTAACAAATTTCAAATTATTAGCTTCTATATTAATTTTAAAATTAATGTTCTAAAAATCATTGAATTCTTATAAAGAATTTATCAAACAATTTGAAAATAATTGAATTTTATGAAGAATTCAATTATTTTCAATAATTGTAAAAAAAATACTTTAGTCAATTTATAAATAATAAAAATCTTCGTAAAAAATTCAATTATTTTTATATAAATAATAATTTTCAATTATTTTTAAAAATCATGTAAAAATTCTACGAGAAAATTCAATTTAAAAAAATAATTGAATTTTTCACAAGGAGTTCAATTATTTAAAACACTTTAAAAAAAATTCAATTTAAAAATTCAATTATTTTTATAAATAATGAAATTTTCGCTGGAATTCAATTACTTTAAATACAATTTTAATTGAATTCCAGGGAAAATTAAATTATTTTTAAACATTCATTAAAAATTCTTCGAAAGAATTCAATAATATCAATAAATATAGAAAATTTTTAACAAGAATTCAATTATTTTAAAGACAATTTTAATAAACTTCTATTCAAGAGTTCAATTTATTTTCAGAAATAATTAAATTGTAGATTTACTGAAAATCATTGAATTCTTGTAAAGTATTTATAAAAAAATTTGAAAATAATTGAATTCATTTCGAGAAATTTTGTTAAAAACAATTGAACTTTTGCAAACATTTTATATCGAATAAAAAAAAATTGAATTCTTTAGTGAAATTTTTTTGAAAATAATTGAATTTGTATAAAAGATTGTACTATTTAAAACAATAATTGAATTCTTTCTACCTATGAGAATTATATTAAAATTTTTGAAAATATAAACAATAATAATTAATTATATAATTATTTTAAGTGAATTTTTTAAAATTTGATTATGAAATTATTCAAAAATTTATATTTGAAAATAAAAAATGTTGTAATTTGCATAATAATAATAAATTAAATATCGCGTTTCGCGCGCCCTTAAGAAAGAAATTTAAAAAGAAAATATTTACCTCGTTGGGAATATAGAGAACGTAACCAAGTTCCCCTGTGTGTGTCAAATTCATCGTTCGAATACCATTTGCTAGTCCAACATCAAGTTCCTGGTAAAAAGAATTTGAAGAAATAAGTTAATTAATCTAAAATAGTATCTATTAAAAATAGTATCAAATCAAAAGTGTCAATCAAAAATAGTATCGAAAAATAAAGAGTAACAGAATTATTTGCCTTGTAGGTAAAAAATGGAAAGTCCTTTGGATGTAGATCCGTATCGGTCAATTCGGATAATAATTGTCTAGTGTAAGAGCCCATGATGCAAATCGCTGTATACGCTGAAGTAACATCCGAAAATGCCACAGAACCATCAGCAGGCAAATGACGTTTCAACCAAGTTTTACATCTGGTTTGCTGAATTGTTGGGGCAATCATCATGTAACTAAAATTAAAAAATAGACAAATATTAGAAAAATTGGTTTTCGATATAAGAATTTTAGAAAATAGAAGAACGTTTTTACTGATTTAGGTTGAGTCTAGCCAAACTGCAATCATTTTCATATCCACCACAAGGATTCTGCATTCCCGTGTGAATAATACTTCCAATAGGAACATCAACATTGTTGGAACATAAATACTGCAAGTAGTCCACCACTTCCAGACCATTTGACTGAAAGATAAGAAATACTTTTATTTTTATGAAAAAAAGTTAACGTCAAAATTAACTTCAGGAACCTTTTACATTTGTAATGTTTCTATCATAAAAAAAATAATTTTAATTTAAAAAAATTTCTTTTAATAAAAAATAATAAATCATAAAAAAAGTATCTAATTTTTTTAATTTTCGTTTTTTTTCTAATTACCCATAAGTCGATTTTCGTGAATGAAGAATAATCACTTAATCCGATTGTTTCTCGACAAGCTGCATATTCTAGAGAAACTGCATCGAACCAAGGTGGCTTTCCAAAAGTATCGGTGTATGCAATTTTGTAACGACGTGTACCATCGTTTGGATCTAAATCTACTGCAAGAAAATAAATATTAATTTTCGTTTTTTAATATTAATTTAATTTAAATATTTAATATTAAATTCAAATACCGTAGTCTGTCTCAATCTCGTTCTCCTCAAACCACGTGGGCCTCTCATAGCCCATGACTTGTCCAAAAACAGCACCAGCTTCTCGTAGTTTTGGATAAATAGGAGACATTCTCAAATTTCTCCCCGTCTGGAATTCCTGATGGGGATACTGCAATCCATAGTGCAATCCAGGAACTTCTTTCACACGATCTCGTAAGAATTTTCGATTATTATGCAAACCTAGGAAACGAGAAACATCCAATTCGTACATGTCTAGAGAAGTCTGTCTATTTACTATCAATTCTGCTGTGGCTCTTCCAACTCCTCCTGCTGCCGATATTCCTACCTTTAAATAGAAAATCAATTTGTTATTTCTTTGTTTCGAAATATTATCTGTCTAGAATTAAAATCTAGAGAGAATTTTCGATATAGAATTTCGCTTCTTTCATAATTAATAAATTAATAAATACCGTTTTCATTCCAGCAGCAATATAATAATTCTGTATTTCGGGTGCTTCACCGACAATCCATTTGCAATCCGGCGAGAATGCCTCGGGCCCATTGCACAATCTTTCCAAAACTGCATCGCCCAAACTCGGAATTCTGTGAAGCATTTGCTCCAACAAAATATGAAAGTGATCCCAATCTTCGGGTAAATATCTTTCCTCAGCGTTCTCTAAAGGCATTAATTTAGTATTAAACGAATCTGAAGGAACTAGTGAACTGTTGATTTAAAGTTATTTGTAAATCGTTACCGGGAATAAATCCATTTTCAAAAGCTGGCTTAGCGACAGGTTCGAATCCTCCGGCTAAAATACGTCCCTTGTTCTCACGAAAATAAATATATCCATCCAAATCACGAACAACAGGTGTCATTGGATCTAAACCATTGATTGGTTTCGTATGCAGATAATAGTGCTCCACCGGATGCAGAGGTACCTGAACAAATTGTTACCAATATTGTAAATTTAATAAATTTTATAAATTCAATAAATTTAATATTATTCAGACAGTTGATTTCAAGAAAATACAGACTTTCACTTGTGGATCACTCAATTTCCCCACCGAACGGGCCCAAAATCCAGTGCAATTGATAAAATGCTGACATTCAATTTTACCTCGTGTCGTCTCAACTGCAGTGACTTTTCCATTTTGATTAAAAATCTTGTTGACTTTACAATTTTCGAAAACTTTAACTCCTGAAAATTGAAAATACAATATGAATTTCTTTTTCGATTTTGGAATAGAAAATAAATGAAAAGTATAAATTTTTAAAGAAAGTACCGTTCTTTTTGGCTTCTCCAATTAGTGTCAAACAAATTTGATAAGGATCCGCAGCACCATCGTCTGGAATCCACAGACCACCAACAATGTCCTCGATTTGAAGTAGAGGACATAATTTTTTTGCTTCCTCCGGAGATACCAAATGACAGTCTATACTCCTCGATACTGATTGTGCTTTCATTCTTCTGAAGACAGTCATTCGATCTCTTGTGCGAGCTAATGACAGACTTCCACATTGCTTCCAACCTGTTGGAAGTCCTTTTTTCTCGAGGTCCTTGTAAAGATTTATACTGTCTTGTGCTAATTTCACTTGAGCTATGGTCGGTTTGAAAGCTCCGACCAAACCGGAAGCATGCCAAGTTGTTCCTCCACCTAGTCTGTATAATTAAAAATGTCGTCATTTTCATAATAATAAATAATCTATGTATATTAATAATCGTTTGCTTGAAAATAATCAAATTTAATTAATATTTTTAAAAATAATTGTATTCTTTCGAGAAATTTTATTATTAAATCTGTATTGAAAATAATTTAATTCCTTCAAAAATTATTATTTTTGATAAAATTGAAATTCTTGAGGAAAATTATCTGAATAATAATAAACAAGAATATTTAATATTCTTAAAATTGTCTTGATATTGACCTACTACTCTCGACTATCACAGTTTGAGATCCAAGTCCCATTAAAGACAGATGATAAGCAACAGCAGCTCCCATTACACCACCTCCACAAATAACGACCTGTGAATCCTTTGGAGGAATTTCGCCTTCTAAATTATTGTCATTTTCCATAACTGTCGCTAAATTTATTCCTTCTTTCCAGCGTGATTTGGATTTTTTCACTGTCAATAATTGAGACAGAAATTTTGTCCTCTGCCACATATTTATACTAAAAAGGAAGAAAATTAATTATTGCAAACATATTTTAATAAAAATGACTAAATATCAAAATTGACTATAAAAGTACAAAATTCTTTACGTGGAATAAAATTTTAAAACACTTACATTAATTTTTGCTTATTATTCCAGATAATAGAGAGATAAATTTGTTAAAACATCTTGAATAACAATTTTTATATATTTCTTAAAAAAAAGCGTAGTTTAACTTTGTCATTGAATTATATATAACAAAAATTAAAATCTAAACAATTTGTTACATTTATTTGTAAATCATCTTAAAGTTTTCTTATTATCTACAAAAAATTATAATGATTATAACACAACATAACATAACACTTTATACACTAGCAATCTAAACATTAAAGGTTATGTGCACGAGATGTATATTTATATGTATGTGCTATATATACACATTTTTTTATCAGAGACCTGAAAAAGAAATCAATTTTAAATAAATATTTCAAAGCAATAAATTTCTAGATCATTAGTAATTGAGAACAGTAATTAATTTAGTTAATATAGAAATTAATAATGAGTAATTGAAATTAATAATTAGTAATTGAAATTAATAATTAATAATTGAAATTAATAATTAATAACTGAAATTAATAATTAATACTTGAAATTAAAAATATTAAAATTGATATTAAATTTAATACATTATTTATATTTAACAATAAGGTTATTGTTAATCGCTTTGTATTTAATTTGTTTTAGTTAATAATTAAAAATAAAAGACAAACGTTTCAACGTTTATTGCTTCTTTATTCGATTACTGTCAAATATAAATTTTTAATATAATAATCTCTGCATTATATTGTAGTTTTTAGATATTTAATGTTTTAGTTTAAATAATGAAATTAATGAAATGAATAAACTGAATAAAATGAATAAAATACAATAAAAGATGTATTATTCCTTTAAAGAAATAAGAAATCTTAATACATGTACGAGCATTTAAATTTAAAAGCATAATATATATAATTCTTTTAACAAAGATTTTATTTCATTTTGATTAAAATAATTCATTTTTCTTTCGACATCATTATGCTCGATCATCAGGTTATTGGGTTAACATTCTATATATAAATATAATTATATATAATATTGTACTAAAGTATTGCAAAAGGATGAAATTTCTAAAAAGTGAGAATCTTAAATTATAAACTAAGGAATGATTTACAGATCATTCGAAAGTGCCCTTTCGTTCCACACAACAATATTCAATTCAATTCTCATCGGCCTCTCTCTTAAGAATGCTTTTTAATTCTCTACATTTTGCTTTTGTTAATTTATACTATTAATTATAATATAAATAATAAGTTTCTCCATTTCATTAAAAAAAATATCTATATTATAATAGTATTGAAATAATATAAATATTTAGAAGTAATAATAATAATTTAACCATTTTATGGCGAATAAATTATTGTACAATTTGAGGCAAATTAAAATATTCTTCCTCGGATGTTTTTTTTGTGTTCAATGGAAAAACTGCACCCTTATATCACTATATTAAAAAGTGAAAATTATATATACTTTCGCGAGGCAATTTAAAGCTTTCTACACTCTGACATGGATCCATCGCAAACCTTCTTTTTCTTCTTCTTCTTCTTCTTTTTCTTTTTTGCGATAAAAAAAGTTTCCTCATAAGCCATAAAGGAGGAAATCCGATTATTAAACAATTTTCGCCCACGAGGCAGCGTCGATATTCGATTGATTAATCAATTGGTAATAAAGATTGCGAGGACATTAATTTGATTGCCAGACAATTATTCCGATCAGAATGGCCAAGACAACAACACCAATGATCAACAGGAAACATTTCTTTTTACGCAATTTAGTTTGATAATTCGATGCCATCCTAAGTTGATCTGTTCCCTCGTTTACAAAAACTTCTGTTCGTTCAACTGATGCTTCGATTGAATCGACAATTTCTCCTTGAGCATGTACGAGAGCTCCCAACTCTTTGAAAATTTGATTAACATCCTGGATATCGATCTGAAAAAAAAATTGTTTACATTCAATATCAAATATTTATTTATTGTTTTTGGTTTTTAATTTTCTTACTTCCAGTTTACGGATATTCGCCTCCTGATCTTCAAGCATTCGCAAATTGTGTTCTTCTTGCATTTGTTGTTGTTGAATTTGCTTTTGCGTTCGATTGTCCTGCAATTCAATGAGAGTTTCTTGCTTTCTTTCACTGGGTGGACCGAGACCTGCACTGGCCTTTGCTTTTCTCACCAATTCCCTTTCTTTAGATGCCGCATTCCTTTGTACCGCCTGGAAAAGAAAATTACTCGCTTTAACAACTAATTTGTGACAAAATAACAATTTAACATTAATTTATTTTACTATTATAAAAAATAATTGAAATTATTCAAAAATTCATATTCGAAAATAAAAAATTTTTGTAATTTGCATAATAATGATAATAATAAATTGAATAGCACGTTCCGCGCGTAACATTTGCTAGTAAGAATATAAATAACCTGGAAATTGTTCAATGCAGAAGTGAATTCATCCTGAAGTCGTTCCTTCTGCATTTTACGTTGTCGTTGTTCTCCAGGACTACTTGATCCGGAATTACTTGCTAAAGTTGCTAAATCTCGGAGATGAACATTGGTGTCTTTAACCAGCTGCTGAGTATAATGCTGAATCTGATGTCTATAAAAAAATGCTCGTTAATTACTTAACTCAAAATTAATAACAAATTTCAATTTTCCAAGAACTTGAATTTAATATTCTTACAATTGGTTCCTAAGTTCCTGAGAATCCGTCGAACCACCGAGTTGGTTAACCATTTTGTGCATGGACGATACTGGAAAAAAGTGAAATTTATGTTGAAAATTTCTTTCGTGAATTTTAAAAAGAAAATTTTCCTAAATAATTATTACCATTTTGTGATATTTTTAATATCGAAGTGCCTATGGTTTGAGATAATCTGCCAAAATCTTGTAGGGAAGTCGGCCCCCCATTGTGATAAGAAGAAAATCCTTCGTCCATTTCGGTAACCTTTGTACAAAAAATTAAAGTTAATTTAATAATTGAACTTAGTACTCGCATTCAAAATGCTGACTTGTTATATAAATATACATATATACAGTTAAGGAGTAGCACGAAAAACGTGCTAATCAGTATTCTATGTATAAAAATAACAACTGTCTTAAAACAATAGGGTTATAATAATAATAACAATAACAAATAAATTATTCCAGAATTTTACAAATACCACACATGAAATTCCAATAATACTTTTTTAACCTTGTCATAAATCTCTTATCAAATGACTAATATTATTTATTAACTGCGCAAAATAAAAAAATTTCAAAATTACAGACAAGTCAAAACAAAAAGCAAATTGTACTTTGATTTTTATAATTTGTTCTAAACTGTAAAGCTGTAAACCATACTAAAATTTTCCGTTTTTTTACCATATATCACTGCTATCACCATATAACAAAAAAAAATAAATAAAATACATAAAAATCGTATTTTGGAAGTAAAAATTCAGTTAAATCTGAAAAAGAGGCTACAAAGAGAAAAATAACTAAATAAAATAATTATTCTTATTTAATTCTTATTTTAGGTCTATATTAACGATTCTTACTTTATGAGAAATTGTTTTCTTTATTCTAATTTGACAGTGTAGTAAAATATGTATACTTGATGACAGATGTCAAATACCTGACAGATGACTCACAATTATGAGTTATAAGGCTTCAAACAATAATAAACTTTTTATTTTTTTATAAAATCAGATCTTTCGGGTTGGGTACAAACCGTAATAGCACCGTAATAGTGACGTTTTTCTTGTTTTTGACCTATTGTTGAACAAATAACTAATCTTTTTCTGCAAGAAAATGACAACTGACACACACACAGTGGCCACAGTGGTAATGGTGTAATGAAATTTTCATATAGCCGCAATAAACATCGCAAGAATCGAGACACTAAATTTAATTGGCTAGACTGCAGAATATTTCCAATATACGTGAAATTTCGAACGGCAAAACGAATCAAATTTAGTGTTCATAAGTTTCTGCCGTTTCTGCATTTTTGTAAAAACTATGAACGCGACATAAGGAATGGTAAAAAATTACCACAAATTGCGTAAAATAATTTGTCTAAAAATGTCATAAACTAAAAAAAAATACGAAAATAAATAAAGAACTAACAGTTATTTAAATTCGCGTTATTGTTCTCTTAACAAAAAAATTGTTGCTAAAATCGTAATAATGTCAATAAAGTAGAAATCGTAGAAATGGCAGAAGCAGAAATAATCAGCTGACCGAGTTAACCTCAAAATTTAAAGTGTCAACACGTGGTTTGATTGTCATTTTGGTACAAATATTTAGAAAATGTTTTTTTCTATTTAAAAATACAAATTTACGAAGAATTAAACCCTACCTGGAATATTAAAGTTCAAATATAATTTTGAATGCAAAATGAATAAAAAAGGTTATAATTGGAAGTCGAGAAATGGAGCACAAGTAGAAATTGATAATTCAGCAACAAAGAAGGTAAACAATTGGATTTTTATAAACAAACAATGGAAAAAATAATATTTTTTTTCTTCTTTAGATTCTTCTCGATTTTGACTACAAGGAAGATAAATTTGACGCTAACAATGCCCTCGTTCTGCCTAGTAAAAAGAGAAAAACAAAAAATATTAAAAAGAAGGGACAAATTGCAGAACCACTTCTCTCTAAAAAACAGAAGAAACAATTGGAAAAAATTGTCGAAAAGAAGAAGAAGAAACTAAATGTAAGTAGTTGATTCATTGGTAAAATAAGGAAAAAAAGTAAATAATAAATAAGTTTCATACTTATGGTTATATTTTAAATTTAATAAATGTTTCCAGAGAGCAACTTTGGAGAGTAATTTAGCACAAGTTTCAGTTTCTCAAGACGAATTAAAACAATACGTTTCATTTACTGCAGTGCAAACGAAGGGGCTTAAGAGATATTTACGTGAATCTGAGATCTCGTTGGAAAATAAGGCAGTTGAGGAGTTTGATGAAAATGGTAAAGTTGTGGTAAATACTTTAAAAGGAGCAAAACGAATACGTTTAGCACTTGCTCAAGAATCAAAGGAGAAGAAGAGTTCAACTGATCCTAATGTTCTCGATTTGGATGTAAGTAATTTTTTAGTTTTATTTTCTGATTGTCTTGGCTATACTGATTTTATACTGAACTAATTTTCTCTAGTGATTGTAAAGAAGACAAACTAAAATGTATATTTTCTAAATAAATAAATAAATAAATAAATAAAATGAAGATTATTTTTTAGGAATCTAGTGAAGGTGATGATTCTACTGAAGAAAGTGACGAATCTTCTGCCGAAGATACGAAATCTAAAGAAGTAGATACGAAAACTGAAGAAGTAAAAAAAGATATTCCTGTGAATCAAAATGTGATTTCTTCTGTATCCAAAGAACCTGAAAATGAAAGGAAAACAGGGACAAAAGTAATTGCAAAAGAAAATAGTGAAGAATCGAAAAAGGAGAATAAGAAGAGCAATATTCCAGTAATTGACGTGGAGAGGAAACCGGCAGTTTTCGTGTCTGTTGACCGCAAACCAGAAATTCAGGAAGCTCGACTAAAACTTCCGATTTTAGCCGAAGAGCAAGAAATTGTAGAGGCGATCAATGAAAATCCGGTTGTTATAATTACTGGAGAAACTGGATCAGGTAAAAATGTTAATAATAAATCATTTCCGGGGACGAATCAGACAGTTTATTGGTATTAACGTTTGTGTGAATTTTTTAAAGGAAAAACAACACAAGTACCACAATTTCTTTATGAAGCTGGTTATGCGAAAGACCGAATGATTTGCATAACTGAACCAAGAAGAGTGGCTGCCATTTCCATGAGCAGACGAGTGGCGGAGGAAATGAATCTTTCCGACAAAGAAGTTTCTTATCTCATTCGTTTCGAAGGAAACTCAACGCCTGAAACGAAAATAAAATTTATGACTGACGGAGTTCTATTAAAGGAAATACAAACCGTGAGTATTTAAAAGTCTATTATTTACTAATTAATTGTTATTGACTAAAATTATTATTTATTTATTATCTATTAATTAATTAATTTATTTATTCATTTATTTACTATTTATTTAAATCATTTTACACTACTACTTTAGGATTTTCTACTGAAAAATTATTCAGTGATTATACTGGACGAAGCTCACGAAAGAAGTGTCTACACCGACATACTGATAGGCTTCCTGACCCGAATTGTCACATTACGGGAGAAAAAAGGCGATCCTTTGAAAATGATAATCATGTCCGCAACTTTACGTGTCGATGACTTTGTCGAAAATCCAAAACTTTTTAAAATCAAACCTCCAGTCATTAATGTTGAATCGAGACAATATCCTGTCACTGTACATTTCAATAGGAGAACAGACGATGATTATGTAAAGGAAGCTTTGCGTAAAACTGTCAAAATTCATTCGCAATTACCAGCTGGAGGAATTTTAATTTTCTTAACCGGTGAGTAGAAGAATATTTTCTTACTGCTTATAAAATTAATATTTTCAAAATCAATTAAAATATATAAAAGTTTCTAAATTAGCAAAATTGATTTAAACAATCAAAATTTATTTAAACAACAAAAATTGATTTTGAAATCAAATTAAAACTATAACCGAGTGCTAAAGTCAGAAAAATTGCAAATTACATTAAAATTGATTTAAGGTCAACGAGAAGTAAATCATGTCGTACAGAAGTTGCGTAAAGCTTTTCCGTATAAGGAAAAGAAGGGAAAAAAGAAGAAAAGAAAGGAAAAGAAGGAAAAGAATAAAATGAATGAAATTAATGAAAAGAAGACTGAAATCGAAGAAAGTGAAAATGATGTAAACTCGGATGACGAATTTTTCTCCGTGAAATCTCGTAAGGGATTAAAGAAAAAATCGAAGGCCAAGGAATTACCCAGAGTTGATCTTAACGAGTAAGTATGATCAATATTTATTTTATTTATTTGTATTTGTTATAAGTCAGGGAAATTAGGGAATTCAGGGAAAAGTCAGGAATTTTTATTAAAAGTACTGGAAAAATAATAATGATTAAATATTTATTTTAAACTATTGGTTTCTTCGAATAATTTTACAATTAGAGAAAGTCTTAAATAAATGTAATAGAAATTTTTTTCAGTATCTAATAATTCTTAGAGTGAATTAATTAATTTTTAATTAATATTAATATTATTTAGGGTCAAGGAAAAAGTCAAAATTTTGTTTGGAAATCAGGGAAAACAAAATTAATTTTTTTGGCAACCCTGTAATAATATATAGTTAATATAAATATATAATTTATTTCAATAGTATTGTATAAATTTTTATTTTTTAGATATTTAGCATTCCCAACGAATGAAAATGATACAGACGAGGACGAAGATTTTGACGAAATTAATGATGGGGATGATGATGATGGAATTGATTTGAGAGGTATTTCGAATTTACAACCGCTCTGGGTTTTGCCTCTCTATTCACTGCTCTCTAGTCAAAAACAAGGAAAGGTAATTGAATATAAAAGTTACAAAATAATAAAAAATTGTTGAAATGTAATATTGAAAAGTAATTTTGAAATTCTTTTTCTTATCAAACAGGTTTTCGAACCTCCTCCCGAAGGTTGTCGTTTATGTGTGGTTTCGACGAACGTCTCCGAGACTTCGTTGACAATTCCAAACATAAAATATGTCGTCGACAGTGGTAGATGTAAAACAAGACTTTACGATAAAATTACTGGCGTCAGTACTTATAAAGTGACGTACACGAGTAAAGCGGGTGCAAATCAACGTGCCGGAAGAGCGGGGAGAGTTGGTCCCGGACATTGTTACAGGTGTGTTTCAAAATAATAATAATTAATATTAATTAACCTTTAATCTGTTGTCGAATTTTGTCTCATTCTCGACGTGAAGAAATTTTATTTTTTATTGAAATTAAATATTTGATTTGATTTTAGATTATACTCTTCAGCAGTGTTTAACAACGACTTTGAAGAATTCAGTGAACCGGAAATTTGTCGCAAACCGCCCGACGATTTAATTTTACAATTAAAATCCATGCACATAGAGAAAGTGATTAATTTTCCATTTCCAACGAATCCTGGTTTAGAGCAATTAAAAGCCGCTGAACGACGTCTTTGCTTTCTAGGAGCTTTACAATCAAGCCCACTTATGAAAAATGGTGAGTTTTGGGTAAATTTGATTTACTTAATTTTAATTTTAATTTAATTTTTATTCAATTTGATTTATTTTGATTAATATTTTGATTTTTTGTAAAAATTATTTCTTTTTCCATACAGAAACGTATTCGGCGAAAATTACCCCTCTTGGAAGGAGTATAGCAGCTTTCCCGGTTGCACCACGCTATGGAAAAATGCTAGTTCTTTCAAATGAAAATAATCTTTACAATTACACAATTTGCATAGTGGCTGCACTTTCGGTTCAAGAATTGCTAATTGATTCGTTCGATAAAAATAGCAAACTCGTACAAATTCGACGTTTTTGGGCAGGAACGGGCAATAGTCTTCTGTTAGGAGATCTAATGGTCTTGTTACGATCCGTTGGCGGTGCCGAGCATGCAGCTTCCAAGGGAAAATTATCAAAATTCTGTGAAGAATTTGGCGTGCGAGAAAAAGCAGCCATTGAAGTTAGAAAATTGAGACAACAACTCACGAACGAAATTCTTCTGAATGAACCAAATTTGGAGCTCACTTTAGATCCCGAGTAAGTTGTACATAGTGTAATTTAAAACTAAATTTTTGTAACATTAATCTCTAAAGTTGAATTTTACACATGAAAAACTGTGCCACTTTTTTATCAGTGTGTAAAATATTTATTGAATTTTTTTTAACATTACCCGTATATTTTTCAAATAAAATAAAAATAAACATGTTATTTATTTATTTATGTTGTACATAAACACAATTTTTAATTTACAGATTGCAGCCACCCAGCGAAACACAAATTAAATTCCTCCGGCATTTAATTCTCTCGGGAATGGTAGATCACGTAGCGAGAAAATTAACAGCCGAAGAAATAAATCAAGGAGAGGATAAAAAACAATTGAAATACGCTTATAGGTATTTAAATCGTCTTACTTTCAATTTTATTTCGTGGATTCTATTGAAACTAAAAATCGCATCGATTTTCACATTCCCTTAAAGTTTAGTACTTTTCTAAAATTTATTTATTTATAATACTAATTTTAATTGTAATATAAACTTATTTGTATTTTTCAGGACAATAGAAATGGAAGACCCAGTTTTCATGCACTCAACGTCTGTTCTGAAAAGAGAATCTCCCGAATGGGTGGTTTATCAGGAAATTTATGAAACAAATAAAATCTATATGAGAGGAGTGACAGCTATTGAGCCTGAATGGTTACCAATTTATGCACCAAATTTGTGCAATATGAGCGAACCTTTGGTTGATCCATCGCCTTGGTATGACGAAGAGACGGGAGAAGTTATGTGTTTCATGACTGGAACATTTGGTCGCGGTGGCTGGGAATTACCAAGAGTGAAAATGGTTTATCCAAAGAATGTCGATGGTGTTAAATGGTTTGCAAGATTTCTTCTGGAAGGTCGAGTGTTTTCAAAATTGAAACCATTTGTCGAATCGCTATTAACCACGCCGAGTAGTATTAACGCTACTTGGGCTAAACTATTGCCTAGAACAGAAACGATGACTAAACAACTTCTCTCAAAGGGAATAATGTCTAGAGATAAACTTAAAGAAGAGTGGCTGAGGAACGAAAAATGTAAGTTTAAATAAAACTATTATTTACTGCTTACTATTTGCTGCTACTGTTATTTACTAATACTACTACTATTAATCATCATGGAAGTGTTGTTTTACCAAAAATTTCCCTTTTCTTTGCGTTTGTAATTATCTTCTTACTTGATCTTAATTTTCTTTCAGTCTTACTGAGCGCTTATCAAATGTGGTTGCCTAAATCTGGTTCCGCTCTTGTTTCGGAAGTTTGGCCACCGTTGTAACATCAAAGGTAAATATGTATATTTGTAATTAACTAATTTTACATATAAAATAAAAAACATTTTCCTTTTATACACTTCGCACTCGATAATTAATTTTAAAAAGGCAGAAAAAAGTTGCTTTCAAACTAAAAAAGTAGTTAAAAAGCAGCTATCGAAAAATTAAACTTGATGACAAAAAAAAATCGTTTTAGACACTTGACAAATAGTAACTTTTACTGACTGAAATCTAAAACAAGTACCCAAATAGTAGTGTAATGTAAAAAAAGTAGTAAATAGTAGGTTTTAGTAAATGAGTGCGAAGCCTGCTTTTAAAATTGCCATTTTTGATATTTTTATTGTTCGATAGAATTGAATTTAACAAAACTGTTTTTTTACGTAGCACATTGAAACGCTTTTAAATACTTTCAAAATGTATCTGATTATTTCGTAATTCTTTACAGAAAAAACTATTAAATATACAGACAATTCAATAAAAGTCTATTAAATACAGACTTAAAGCATTTGCGTACGCGGACAATTAAAATAAATACTATAATTAATATTAGAAATTAGAAATTATTAAAAATGAAATTAGGAACACAATGGTTTTTTTTAACCTAGATTTGTGACTTTGCCAGTTTCGTGTCTAGGCAGTATTGAAATGCCAATTTCAGTATACGTTGAAACTTCGTTCAAAAAACGAAGAATAATTTTTTTTCTTGGATATTACAGTAACGCATACTAAAATTATTGGAAGATAGATGTCACTATCAAATTGTCTACTTGACAATGTCACTACTTAATGTCACTAATTTTTTTTTTTGGCGCTATTCGTAAATATTTTTATTCCGCTTTCACTTCTTTTTTTCCTTTTCTTTTTGCTAGATTACTTTTGCATGTCTGGTACAGATTGTTGAGATCAAATGCTGCCTTAACATTATCCTGAAAGAAAGTAAAAAGTAATATTTTAGAAAACTATTTATACTTTTAGAGTTTAGGTAAATCTTTTATCTAGAAAATTGTTAGACTTACAATAGAGAATAGAAACTTGACAAGTTTTCCTTTGTGGTCGGCGTACGGTCTTCTTTCGACTTCTTTTCCTTCCTTGAAAAGTATTAACGTTGGCAATTGCTTACTTGTGCTAGAATCACTGATGTGATATTTTGTTGCTGCGTCTGGATATCTTCCAATATCCACTTTTCCGAATTTAAAATTGTCCAAGGCAAATCTGTCAAAAATATGATTATTGATTAATTAAACTTGAATGTAGAATTTAGATAGTAAAATATCATAGAAAAATAAATATTACTCGGCAGATAATTGAGAGAATATTGGTGCGAAAGTGACACAAGCAGGATTCCAGGCAGTATAAAAAGCAACGATCCACATGCACCTGGTGTCACGCTGCAATTCTTCCTGTAAACTCGTGGCTCCACGGAGGTAAATTACCTTCTCAGGACCTTGATACGTTGGCTCAGGTAACAACAAACCACACACTGTAATTAATTAGTAATTACTTTTAAATAATTACTTTTATAATAATAAAAGTTTTGTAATAATAAACGATTTTAAGTCTATTAACAGCTAATTTATTAAATTAAAGAGGAATTAATAGTGTAATACGTACAAATGCAAACTGCTGCGAATACGATTCCCATTCTGATATCCGCGTAGAACCATAGGATCATATTTGCTATTTTTGTATAGACAAAACTTGACGACAAATAGTTTATCATCGTAACACTTCCTGCTTTTCGTGTTCTGATCATTATGACGATCATCAGAAAGAATAAGATTTCTGTTTCCCTCTGCAAAACGAAATGTTAGTTACAAAATAATTTTGCAAATTTAAAACTTATTTTTAAATAACTCAATTTTTTTTAAATATAACTTAACGAAATTTAAATAATAACAAAAACAATTTTATTATTATTTACTGAATTTATAATTAATAATAAATTTCGAATAAAAAATAAAAAATTTGTAAAATTGTAAATTGTAAATTTTTACAAATTTACCATTGAATTTTGGATTTTTTATTCAAAACCAAGGTCGAAACTTACACTATCGAGTTCGCATTCTTCCTGGCCAAGAATATGACAAACTATTGGAATTCGTTTTGAAATAAGATAAGACAAACTCAGAAGAATATTTATCAGATAGTATGGTTTTGGGAGTAAAGTCAAGTCCTCTTTAAATGACATTGTGTACAATTTGCTCGTAAAAAACAAGGAATAAACAAAAACTTTGAGCAATGCTTCACAAACACGCAACAAACACTCGTATAATAATTCCACTTGTTAATACACCATTAGCACACAAAAGGAACACTTCCTTTTATTTGATAAGTAACTACACTTATTATATTTGGACACGTCTTTAATGAACATTAATCAACTTTTCCCTTTCAGCTGATTCTGACATTTTGAAATAGCACTTAGCAGACGATAAATTTTTTCCCAAACTAATGGCGCTGTAGTCAGCGCGCGAAAATTGTTGTTTTTCAAAAAAAAAATTTAAATTTAAATTATTTATAATAAAAAAATTGTCAATTTGGAGAAATTTGGTAATTTTGAATTAACAATTTAATTATAATTTTTTACATAATGTTTTGTTACTAACGATTAAATTAACTAAATATGTGATTTTGTGGTTGAAATACTAAATTAGTTTATTATTTATAAAAAAATTTATTTTTGTGTATAAAAATACAATACAAACTAAAAAATTGTTTTTTTAAATAAATAATAAGAGATTGAAGTCCTTTAAGGTAAGTACATATTTTTTTTACTTTTGTTTCGTATTAGGACAAGGTTTTAAGGCGTACGTTCGAAATCCCTTGTGAGCATTTCTTAAATGCTCTAACAAACGTAATTTCGTGTCTTGTAAAACGTTTAACATTGCTTCCCTCGATTCGCTATTTACAGCTTCATTAAATCTTAACATAATTGATAAATCAATTTCCGCGACGTCCAAATCTTCGGCCATTGCCATCGCAGTACTGACATCTTCCTTTAAATTATCAAGAGTTGGTTCCTTGGTTGTTTTCCTGAAAAAGTAAATTTTTTACTTAATAAATTCCTATAAAAATAATAACGATAATAATAAAATATAAAATAAATTAATAATAAAATAAAAAATAATAAAATAAAAAACAAAATAAAAAATAATAAATATAATAATAATAATAATAGTTAACAAATTTTTTTTTTTAGATAATAATGTTAATAATTACACGTATTTTTCCTCCTTGTCGACAATTTTCGTGCAGGTTTCATACAATTCTAAACATTCCAAATCATCATTCCGACGAGATAGATTTAAATATTTTCTAAAGACTTCTGTTCCTTTGGGATGCTGCAAGGTTTGATTTATACTATCTGTAATTTGATCCAATTCCTCGAGTGACAAACCAGAGGTACATTTTCCAATGCAACCAATCATTTTCGTAGTCATATTTAACATAATTGTTAGTACAATCAATAAATCTATATTTAGAATGATTTTCACTCCTTGAAATTTGTGTCATTTCAATATTTCTGCAAAAGAAAATAATTTTTTACGGTAAATGTCAATTCTCAATATAATTATAATTGTGGCACTGAAAAATTAAGTTAAAGTAATTAAGATTAACTATTATTATTATTATTGCTATATCTGTTTATATATTATTTATTTACTATTTTTTTAGTAAAATCTGCTACTAATTTAAAATAGCAAAAATTTAGTCACTCATTCAAAATAAAAACATTTTTACTGATTCAAATTTAGAGAGATTTTTATTTTTTTTGTTTTATATTCTTATTATTATACTATTTTTATTATTATTATTATTATTATTATTATTATTATTATTATTATTATTATTATTATTATTATTATTATTAATGTTTTTATTATGTTAATAATAGAAACTTACCTAAATGTTGTTTTTACTGGAATCCATGTTTTTGTAAATGTAACATTTCCTCGTTGGAAGTAAACAGCTGATATTATTGATTATTTTTGTGTGGTTAGCTTCCGCTGACAATTATTTTTACATTAAAACTAATGTATAGAAAAATATTCCAATTAATATATTTTGGAAAGTTTTTTTGAAATAGTTTCTGGAATGATTCACAAAAATTGGAAAAATCTTTTTACAAATAGCAGCGCGTTTATCTTAAAAAAAGGGGACAAAAATAGTATTTCTGCGTTTGCGTATAAGAATATCCTGAAGACCCCGCAAGTAAAAGCTATTAGCAGATGTTCGAAAAACCCCTCCTTCTGAGGTTATCAACATTATTACAAGAAGCCAAGCATATAACGTTGCGTTTTGCAATCTAAAAAATAAATAAAGATTATGGATAAGACCTCTTGAAGTACTCAAGGTTACTCAAAGGTTAAATTGGTAATGCTGAAAAAATAATTATTGTTAACATAGAGAAAATTTCAATTTTGCATTTTCAATAAAAATCCACTTAATTTTTATAATTTAAAAATGTTAAATTAATTGAGGGGTTGAATGATATATATAAAGGGATAGGCGTAAAAGTGGAAGTCTCCGCGTAGGGGCCGTCTAAATATTTAAGGTAAAGTAGGAAACTTCTTTTTTTAATAAAAAAAAAATTTTTTTTAAATAAATAAAAAATAGTCTGAAGATATAATATATCTTGAGATTATTTTTTATTTATTTATTTTTTTAGTATATTGTACCAAGAGTATAAAAAAATCTTTAAAAAATATTTTAACAAAATTGTTTTTAAATTAAAATAATTTTTTTTTAACTCCCTGTAGATAATAGAGATTTCTCTACACTCCAGTACGTGGCGCCATCTAACCAATGTTTTTTAGAGTCTTTCATGATAGACAGTAGACCTAGACAGTCAATGCACTAAATAGAATGTAACGTGACGCTAATAAGGAAAGGTAAGTTAGAAAAACTTTCCCAAAAAATAACATTTTCTTATAAAAAATAACTGAAACATTCAAAACATTGCAATTTAATTTATCATCAATTCACAATATTATCACATCATACAATGAAATAGTACTCTTGTCAATTAAATACGTCATTGTTGAAAATTAATAAACATGGTCTAATTACCGTACTCGTTATAAATGTTTATGTACGTAATCATTGACTCAGCTCGTAAACGTGTTTTAATTCATAAATAAACATACAATTTAATTTTACAAAAAAACATTATTCTTATTATTCTACTTCTTCTTTTTTTATTATTATTATTCTTACTATTATTATTACTATTATTAATTTTATTTTTATTATTATTGTCCATGAAAATTAAGAACTAGAAATTTTAAAGAATTGCAGAATATTATCGTTATATTCTCATTTGTCATAGAAAAATAATAATTGTAGGTATATAAAAAGAAAAGAAATCGATTTTCACCAGTTGTATACTTTGCGCGCGGAAGGTGATCAGTGTTTTCCTTTGATTAATGTCAAGGTATGTTGCAAAATCACGGAAAAAGTATTTCAAAAATTTATTTTTATAAAACAAATTCTTTTGTTCGCGAAAAAAAACCAGTATTAACTTTTATTTTTAAACATTCTTGCATAACGTGATGTCATTTTTTTTTATGAAAGGAAACAAAAAAATCATTTAAAAGATATGTTTATCATTAACTTATCTTTTTAAGGTGGTCGGATTAACGTACACGGAAAAATGCGTGTACGATAACAATAATGTCATTTCAGTCATAATTGTGAATTCTTTTTGTTAACATTTTCAAAGAAAAATCTATAAAAACACTCGTACAATTTTATTATATTGGAAACTATAATTTACTTTTAAGGTATTTATACAAAATACGTTAAATGATGAGTAATTAATTAGTGAAAAAAAATGTATTTGATTTAAATAGCTGATTACTTGTCCATTGTCAAATAGATATTTACTTGAATCAAAGAATTTTTGTTAAATTCAAATTCTTTGAGAATTTTTTTTAAAAAATCGATACTAAAAATTTCAATTATCTTTATAAATAATAAATTTATTCTTTTGCAATTAATTTAATTAATCAATTATTTTTTTCAGAAAAAAAATCACAATGTCGAAGATAAAAAAACAGTCAACGAGAGAGCCAACATATACCGAGGAAGATGTGGGAAAGGCTCTGGAAGCAATAAAAACCGGCATGTCAATAAGGAATGCAAGTAAAATTTATCAAATTCCGAGGACGACACTTTTGTACAAACACACTGGTAAATCGCCAATATCAGCGAAAAAAGGACCAGCACTAGTGCTAACAGACAAAGAGGAAAGTGATCTCGTCTCATGGTTCACAATGATTAGCGAAAAAGGATTCACTCTCACCAAGCAACAAATTTTGGACAGTGTACAAATACTAGTGAATAAAATTGTAAAGAGAAAAACGCCATTCAGCGATGGTCGACCAGGTCGTCATTGGTATGAAAAATTTATTCGCCGCCATTCCAAGTTAACGCGAACAATCGATGAAAATACACGCGAAAGACGCTCAACATTAAATGAGGAAAAATTGAAAAATTGGTTCCAAGAGACGAATAAACTTCTCGGGGAAAAACAACTCTTGAACGTTGATCCATCTCGAGTATTCACTTGCGACGAGGCGGCTTTCTTTCTCCATCCTGAGGCTGATAAAATTCTCATACAACGTGGCTCGAAGGCAATTAGTAATTTAGGAAAAAGCAACGATAGAGAATGTTTAACGACAATGTTCACTGTGAATGCAAATGGAATGATTGCACCACCGATGGTCATGTTTCGCTATCAAAGAACACCGCAGAGTATTAAAAGTAGTCTTCCCGATAATTGGGTGCATGGAAATTCGTCAAATGGCTGGATGACTGGCGAGACATTCTACGATTATATCGCCGATACATTCTATCCTTGGCTCTTGGAAAATCAAATAGAACTACCAATTATTCTCTTCATTGACAAGAGTTCGACAAATTTGACAATGTCATTGTGTGAATTTTGCGAGAGAAATAAAATTGAATTGATACCATTGCAGGCGAATGCAACGCACATTATACAGCCATTGATGGTGGGATTTTTTCAACCAATGAAATTTGCCTGGAAGGATATTGTTAAACAATGGAATGAGGAGAATTTTGGTAGAAAATTTCGTAAGGAAGATTTTTCATCGGCTCTAAAGCAAACAATGGATTTTGTCTATGACAATGATTTTTTACGTGCTGGTTTCATGAGTTGTGGACTGTGTCCATTTTCACTTGAAAGTATTGATTATTCGACAATTAAAAATTTTGATTCTTATAAAGAAAATCGTATTTTTATTGACTCAAAATCAATGTATGATAATTATGATGATAATGGTGGTGATTGTGAAATTGAACATGGCAAGTTTCTTCAACTTTTGGAGAAATATTTACCCGATGATAAATTAACGAGTTTCAAGGAGAATGAAGATAATCCACTTTGGATTGGCGATGAAAAAGATACGAATCTTTTCTATTTTTGGTTAAATGTTCGAACACTCGCCGATAACGAGTAAATATATTTTTTATCGCAATTTTTTTCTATTTGAATTTCAAGAAAAAGGAAGGAAAAATTTTCTGGAATATTGGCAAAAAATTCAGAAAAACAAAAATCAGTGAATACGATTTTAATTAATGTTAATATGTGTTACGAAAGAAGATAATTAATAGATACGCATTAAATTAATGTTAATTAATTAATTTAATTTAATTGATAAACATTTTAAAAAATTTTTTAAATCCAGAAAAATAAAAAACAATGAATACGAATGATATTAATGTCAATTAAATTAATTAATTAAATTAAATGCAAAAAAGAGAAATTTATTTCGTAATTAACATATTGAAAAAAATTTCGTTTTTTCTGGTGAAATTATTTATAAAGATGTTCCAAAAGTTGAAAAGTATTTTAGTGATAATATTGCAAGTTTCAGTTTCAGAAATGTAAATATTGCACTGACAACCCAGGAAATATGTAACGTTATGTAACTGTTACTTTTTCTAGAAATATTTATTTACAAATTTATTGTAACTGTTGTTACAAAATAGTTACGTAAATATTTTATTTGTTAAAGAATTGTTGCAAAAAATTATTGCAAATTGTTTATTTCTGTTGACTAACAGAATTTTTCTACATTAAAAAGATAGTAACAAATTATTTTCTAAACAGTTTCAAAAATATTGAATATAAATTTTTTTTGTCTGTTAACAATAAATAGAGAGAGAGGAAAATATTTGTTTACTTATTCAAGAAATATTAATAATGTTAAAAAAAAATATTTAACAAGAATTATTTGTTAAAAAATTATTTATAAGTCGAAAAAATATTTTTCTATGCGTTGAAAAAATATTTATAAAAAGGTAATTTCTCATTGTTATATAATAGTTACATAACGATATTTGCTGGCAATGGAAGAAACGTGAAATTTTAAAGCAATTATTGTAAAATGTATATAAAATACAGAATTAATATAATAAAGTTTTGAAAAAAGAATCTCACATTGTACAATATTTTTATTGCTTAACACAAAACTGTGATTATGATGTGTTCAATAAAATACCAATAAATGTAATCTTTTCAATAAAATTGTTGTGATACTAAATTTTACTTATAGCTATTTTTATTAAAGACTAATAAAAAACTAAAGATATCAGAAAATTTATATATGAAGATTAAAAATTATCCAAAAAATGTTTTTCCAAATTTTTTTGTATGTATATTTTAAAGTTAAAAATATATTTTATGAATATCATATTTTTTACAATAATTGAATTTTTGGAGGAATTTAAATAAAATTTTCGAAAATAATTGAGTTTTTCGAGGAATTTTATTAAATTTTTAAAAATAATTGAATTTCTGCGAAGAATTTTATTAAATTTTTTGAACACAATAAATAATTATAATTAATTAGTAAATTAGTTAATAATTGAATTTTGTTAAAATTTTGAATCCTAAATTTTTACAAAATTGAAATTAATTAATTTCTCTATTTTCTTTTTTAAAAAATAAAGAAACTAAGAAAGTAATTTTTTCTTGCATTAAAAAAATACAAAAACTATGAAAGTATTTTTTCATTTATTAAAAAAATACAGAAACTAAGAAAAGAATTCAAAAACTAAGAAAGTAATTTTTTCTTGAATTAAAAAAATCCAGAAACTAAAAAGTATTTATTCTTTTATTAAACAACTGCAGAAACTAAGAAAATAATTTTTTTCTGTTAAAATAAATACACAAACTAAAAAAATTCAAAAAAGTTTAAAAATAGTTATAGAGAAATTATTAAACAAAAAAAAAAATCGTAAATTTTTTTTTGTAATAAAAGTTTTCGTCTAGTGTATAAAAAAAATACTATTAGAAGAATAGAAAAACTTATTGAAAAAAGTGCAACATTAGAAACTCAGTGAAACGAGAAATGAAAAAAATTGCAAATAAATACAAAAGATCATTTATATTTGTATTGTTTTCTTTTTATTAAATAAATAAGCGACACTGAATAAAATCGATTTTTATCGATCAACTCAAATGCGCGTTCATCACTCTCTCTTTCTCTTTTTTTAACTAATATCTTACAAATTTATCTAGTCGTTGTTCCTTAAAATTACATTATATTTGTATATATTAACAATAATTCTTCATTCTCTCACTTTCTTTTTTTTTTGCAAAAAAAAGGCACGCACGACTTTTTTTTTCATTTTAAGTACACATGTCCATTCAACTTTAATATTGCACTATATCGTATAAAAAAAGGATAAAAATATTCTTTCAAAATTTCCTACTTTTTCATCAAAAATTCTTCCACTCGCGCAATTTTTGGTTGCTTCACTCTCCGTTGGACGGATAATAAAAATAATATTATTTAATATAAAAAAAAGAAAATAAATCTCAGCTCTTCAAATCCGAGAGTCACAAACTCAGATTATATGATTTAGAAAAAAAATGAAGAGATCATTTTGGCTAAAGAACATTTCCGTTGCTCCGTAGGTTTTGTCGTGAATTCAACGACACAATATGCCCATTAATTATTGATAATAAAACAAAAAAATTCATTCATGCCCCAGTGAGTTTCTCACCAATTCCATAAAACAAAGAGAGAATTTTTATATTGTCAAATTATTTTTGTTTAAAATCACGAAGAAGTCATTGCGAAATTTTCAGTTCAATAAATAACAGGATGTATTAAAATTACTGAAAATATTTGCTGTTTAAAATAGTCGTTAATAATACTGAAGAAGTCTATAAGGAATAAATTATTTTTATTCGTCGTGATTTCTGAAATTAGAGGCAAATTTTTTTTTTTATTTTTAAATTCTATTTTTTATAATATTTAAAAATATTCTCTTCGTTTTAAGGGGGGGGGAGGGGGTAAAAAAAAGGCGCATGATTATTTCGTAATGCTAATTAGTAATTAACCACATTGTTATTCAATTAACTTTCATTTTACTGAATTTATTTTACTAAATATTATTTTATTCTTTATTAATTATTTTACTGAATTTTATTTTATTCTTTATTAATTAATTATTTTACTGAATTTTATTTTATACTTTCTTAATTAATATTATTTTACTCAATTGTCATTTGGCTAAATTTCGATTCGACTGAATGTTCATTTATAACTGAATTTTTTAACTGTTTTTTTAACTTTTCGAATCTTTACTGAATAAAATTTTTACTCAACATCTTTTTAATTTTTTTTACTTAATTATGTCACCGAATTGATTTTTAACAGAATTTTTTTCTTCTAAATTTAAAAATTTAGTTTAAAAATCAAGTTTTTAGTAAAAAATTTTAGTTTTCTTGAAAATTAAAAATTCGTGTAGAAATTAATAAAAACAAATTGTAATTAATTAATTAATTACCAAATTAATCTATAATATTAATAATTGTCATATTCCGATTTGAATTTTAAAAATAATAAAATTCTAATATAATGCTTCGAAGGTTAAAAAATAATAAATATTAATTTAACAAAATTGTTTTGAATTCAAAAATTTAAATTAATTTACAAATATTAAACAAATTTTTGATAATAATTGAATTCATTTAAGGAATTTGATTACAGTTTTTCAAAATAATTGAATTCCTCCAAAGAATAATTTTATAACTTTTGAAAATAATTGAATTCTTGTCAAGAATTTTATTAAAGTTTTCGAAAATAATTGAAATTCTCAAAGGAATTTCTTTAAAATTTTTTTTAAACAATTGGATTTTTTTCAAGAGATTTAATTAAAAATGTATTGAAAATAATTCGATTTTAATAAATCAATTTTATTAAAATTTTTAAAAATAATTATATTCATTCGAGAAATTTTATGAAAATTTTTGAAAATCATTAAAAATTCCTTCAAGAAATATAATTTTTTCAAAATAATTTAATTATTTTAAGGAATTTTATTAAAATTTTTAAAAAATAATTGATTTCCGTCAAGAAATTTTATTGATATTGTGTTCAAAATAATTTAATTCCTCTCAAGAAACTTATTTATAAAAATAATTAAATCAAAATTTGAAGTTTATATTTAAAAATAATGAAATTTGAAATTTGCATAACGTTTGATAGTTAATTTAATTTAATTTAAAAAATAAAATTCAATTTAATTTAAAGTTGGTTATTACAAAAATTATTTTGAATAATAATTTAGTAGCTTATTATTCTGTTAAGTAAAAATTTCGTAAAGTAACAATTTTGCTAAGTACAAATTTCGCTAAGTAAAAATTTTGTTAAGTAAACATTTTGTTAAATAAAAATTCGTATCAGTTAAAATTCATTTAATTTAATTTTAAAAATAAAATTCAATGTAATTTAAAGTTGGTTATTATAAAAATTATGTTGAAAAATAATTTAGTAGCTTATTATTCTGTTAAGTACAAATTTTGTTAAGCAAAAATTTTGCTAAGTAGAAATTTTGCTAAGTAGAAATTTCGCTAAGTAAAAATTTTGCTAAGTAACAATTTCGTTAAGTAAAAATTCGTATCGGTTAAAAATTCGAAAAATGAAAAGTCAATTCAATGGAAAATCTCGGTAATTAAATTCTACCGAATTCAATAAATATTAAACCTAATAAACATTGTGAAATAATTATGCGCTTCATAAAAATAATTTTTTAAATAAAAAACGTAAAATAAAATGAGAAATCAAATGACTTTATAAACAGGAGCACTGGAACCACAGTCTTCAACCAGATTTTTGATTCGGTCAAAAGGAAAAGAGTAAATTTCAAAAAAGTCCAAATCTCTTTTTCGAGGTACTTGAATTGCGTTTTTTCCTGGCCGGCGCGACAATATCGGAACCGTCACCATTGGAAGAAGATAAGGCACCGGGTGTCAATTTACTTCGTACGTGCTCATCGAGTAGGGCCTGCATATCCATCTGCCACTGCTCGAGCTGTTGGCTGAGCTCGATTTTCTGCTGAATCGCCTCCATCAACTGACTATTCGCTTGAAGCACATCGATTCGTGTCCTCGCCAATTCAACTTCGACCCTATTTTTTCTAGCCACCGCTTGATCTCTACTCTGATAAGCTTGTGCAAGGACCTCGTCCTTGGTGAGTTCCGAGTGTTCGATATCACCCCTTGCACGATCACGCTCCTCACGTGCACCACGAAGTTCCGCTTCACAAACACTCAATTTACTCGTCATCTCAATCAGAGCCTCGCCCCTTCGCTTCAATTCATCCTGAGTTTGCTTCAACTGATCCTTTGTGCTCTCGAGTTCCTCTCGTACTCGATGGAGTTCCACGGCGAGACCCAATTCACCGGGTCCGCCACTTCCTGGCAATGCGAGGCAGTAGAGCTCTTCGATTAATTCCGACAGCGCTCCTGGACAGTTCGCCTGAAAAAGACAAAAAAAAATTAGGAACAATTCAAATAATTCAAATAATTAATTTTAATTATATAATTTTTATACTAAAAAAGCAGTAAAAAAGTAGCTATCGAAAAATTAAACTTGACGAGATCAAAAAAATTAATTTTAGACACTTCACACAACTGACAAAAAGTCCATTCTATATTTCATTTTCCTGACTTTCTCCTAATTTTCATCAAAAATATTTACTTCTTTCTTATCCTGCTAATAAATTAAATTCCTGCAACGAATTTTATTATTCATCAAAGAATTTAAATATTTATAAAAATAATTTAATTCTTGTGAAAAATTTTATAAAAGTTTTTAAATAATTGATTTCTTTCGACTAATTTAATGTAAATTCTAATTTAAAATTTTAAATAATTGAATTCTTGAGAAATTTTTATCAGTTTTTATTATTCATAAAAAGAATTAAATTCTTACGAAGATTTTTTTACATAAAAAAGTAAAAGTTTTTCAAATAATTGAATTCTGTTTGGAAATTTTATGAAAATAGTATAGATATTGAAAATCATTGAATTGCGAAAAGTTTTTAAAAATTACTAAATTTTACAAAAAATTCTATTAAAATTTTTGACAATAATTGAATTTCTGTGTGGTATTTTATTAATTTTTTTTTTAAATAATTGAATTCTTAAAAAGCATTTTATTATTTATGAAAATAATTGAATTCCTGCGAACGATTTTATTAGAATTTTTTTAAATAATTGAATTTTCAAGAAGAAATTTATTACTTTTAAAAATAATTGAATTTTGCAAAGAATTTTCTTAAAATACCTCAAAATAATTGAATTTTCGGGAATAATTTTGTTATTTATCTTTAATAATTGAATTCTTTCGAAAAAATATTTATGTAAATAATTGAATTCTCAGGGAGAATTTTATTAAAATCTAAAAGAATAATTGAATAATTTCAAAAAAATTTAATTAAAATTGCATTTAAAATAATTGATTTCTCTCGAACAATTTTATTAAAATATTTGAAAATAATTAAATTCTTGTGAAAAGTTCTAATATTTTTGTAAATAATTGATTTTTTCCAAAGAATTTAAATAAAACATTTTTTTAAATATTTTTTTTTAGGAATTAAAATCAAATTTCTAAGAATAATTAAATTTTTTAAGCGATTCTTGAATTTTATTATTTATGAAAATAATTGAATTACTGCGAAAAATTTTATTAAATTGTTTAAAAAGAATTGAATTATAAATTTATTCTTCAAAATTCAATTATTTTCAAAAATTTTAATAAAATTCTTGTCAAAATTTCAATTACTTTCAAAAATTTTTCTCAATTCAATGATTTTTAATATTTACTATAATAATTTAATAAAATTTTTCAAAAGAATTCAATTATTTAAAAAAATTTTTAATAAAATTCTACACAAACATTTAATTATTCACATAAATAATAAAAATTTCAGAGAAATTCAATTATTTTCAAATTTTTTATACATTTCTTTGCAATAATTCCATTATTTTCATAAATAATAAAATTTGTTTATATATTCAATTATTTTTATAAATAATAAAACTCATCGCAGAATTTCAATTATTTTTAATACAATTTTAAACAAATTCCTCGAAAATTATAATTATTCTTAAAAATTTTATTAAAGTTTGTCCAAAGAATTCAATTATTTAAAAATTTGTCGATAAAATTCTTTATGAGAATTTAATTTTAAAAAACATTCAATTATTCAATAAAATATTTATTTTTGTATTTAAATTTTTCTTATTTTTAACGGATAATTCTGTAGAATTAACTTTTTTTGAAAAGTTAAATTACTTTTTTTCTTTAAATTATTCGAAGCTTTTATTTCAAAAAAATTAATTCTTCAGAATTGTTAGTTAAAAGTAAGAAAAATCCAATCATTCAAAAATTTTAATTCAAAGTCTTTTTAAGGGCATTTGAACCTTGATGACGTCACACATGCTTTGCACAATCTGTAACGTCATCAAGGTTCAAATGCCCTTAAAATTCAATTATTTCAAAAAATTCATGCTGTAATGCTTTTAATTGTCAATTATTAGAATCTAAAATTTTAACTAAAATTCAATTTTTAAATTAATTTTTATTAGAAAATTCTACGAGAATTTAATTATTTAAATACAAAAGTAAAGAACTTATCGAATAATTGAATGTTTCTTAAAATTCAATTCTCATAACGAATTTGATAAAAAAATGTAAAAAAATTTATTATATTTGAAAATAATAGAATTATTGAGAAGAAATTTATAAAAAATTTGTAAATAATTGAATTTCTGTGAAATTTTTCTTATTTTTTAAAATATTTAAATGTTTGCGTAGAATTTTATTAAAAATTTTTTTAAATAATTGGATTTTTTTGTAAAATTTTATTAAAATAGTAAATATTAAAAAAAACATTGAATTGAGGAAAATTTTTGAAAATAATTGAAATTTTAAAAAATTTTTGAACATAATTGAAATCTTTACTGGAATTTAAAAAAAATTTTGAACATAATTGAATTTCTACGAAGAATTTTGTTATTTTTGAAATAAAAAATAATACAAAACTGAATAATAAAGAAAATACAGAAATAATTTAAAAAAAGTGCAAAACTAAGTAAAAAAAAAATTGAACTAAAAAAGTAGGAAATAAAATTTGCAACAAGAGTAAAGTTTCCCGTGTCAAGCGACGACGTCGACGACCATCAACGACGACGCCAGTGAAACAAAAGAGATCTGGATATTAAATTTCATCGACCACCCGGGCAAACAGTAAAAAAAGGACGAGAGTTTTGGTATAGAAGGAAATGCGAGATGTCCGGATCATCGTCGGTGGATCTTTTTTCCTCACCTCGGCTTCGGCACCATTGGCAATGACGAGCATCGACTCATCGCAATCGCTCTGAAGACCTGAGTCGTCCTCGCCCCTCCGCAGTCGGGAACACAACTCCCTCAAACGCTTACACGATCGTGTCACTTCCGCTCTGAGGTCTTCGTGCTCCCCCAGGGAACTTCCGCTCTCCTCGCATTCCATTTCCGCCTGCAGTGATCGAGGTGGCTTCTGAATCGATCCTGATCTTCCTCTTCGCTCAGCCTCGATCGTCGCCAAAGCCGCCGACAGCTCATCCCTGCGAGAACAAAAAGATGAAAACACTCAGTAAAAAAGGTAAAAAAGCAGATGTCCTGGGAGATCAATTTTCATGGTTTCTTTTCTATTTCTCCATACTCACACAAATATTTTTTTCATTCTCATCACACACATGTTCTATTTTCAATTCGAAATTTAGTCTTTTTAGAATAAGTAATAGAACGAATTTTTTATTACCGAGAAGAAGAAGGCAGTAAAATTTACTTTATATTATAATTAAAATAATAATTCAAAGAAATTCCTCAAAAGAATTTAATTACAAAATTCGGAATTTCAAAAATGAAAAATTGAGTAAATAAAAAAATATGGCAAAAATGCGAATAATTGAAACAAGAAAGTCGCGACTCCGCTCATGCAGGTCCCCAACATCCGGTAAATGTTTTTTTTTATTCATTATTAAAAAAATCAAGAAGCTACGTGTTTAGACTGTGGAAAATTAAAGTAGGCAGTGTGTCCGGTTATACACAGAAAATGAAGCGTGGGCGTTGCAAAAGCAATAATTCAAATGTCGTAATAAAATTGAACGGATCAATCGCTTTTATATCTGCAGTTACTCTATATATTTGAATTAAAAAATAAAATAAGGTGTTATAAAACAGAGACAAGGGAATCGGAATATTATTACAGATTCTCGATAATGATATACATTATGTAAGTGTATTTGTGTTTGACTTTACCTTTCTTGCTCGGCTACTCTCGCTCGATGTTCCGCTTCGTTACCTAATCGCTCCAAGGCCGCGGCCCTCTCTTCGGCTTCCTCGAGGGCTGCCAAGGCTCGAGCCCTTTCCTCCCGCAGTTCCAGAGATCTCCTTTCCAATTCTGTTCTTTGAGCCGAGACTAATTGCACCTATGAAATAAAAAAAAATTTGTTAATGAAGAAACATCAATGTCTAAGGCCAAAATCTGATTTTTTATATTAAATTACATTTCTTTCGAATGGACTGAATTTTCTACTTACGCAACAGTTTTATTTTATTTTTTTTTTAATTTCAATGTATTTTTTTTATTATCACATTGTTACAATAAAAAAATTATTCCTTAACATTAATTATTTATTTTGAATGTAAAATGTATTATGAACTTACTATGAAAATTAATTAATTTATTATGTCAATTTATTATTATTCATTTAACATTAAAATAAAAAAAATTAAAAAAAGAATCTTTACTCTATTAATTATTATAGCTTGTAAATAATGTTATATAATATATAATAAAATGATATTAATTAATTTATTACATTAATTCAATCACAGACAATTAAATTTATTATTTTTTCGAGAAAAAAGAGTTATCAGGAAAAAAGATTTCCAGAAGTTGCTCCTAAAAGTTTTTTTCCAGACTTTTATTTTTTTTCTTTTTTCCAAAAAAAACGCTTCTTTTAAACAAAAAATCATATGTTCGTCACGTGATTAATTTATTTGAGGAAGAAACTTCAAAAGAAACACTTGTCTAAACACGGCAGTGTCAAACAAGTCAAACTGTCGGCATTTTATTATCTAAATTGAAACTTTTTATATCTTAACATTTGAATACCTATTCATTTTTACAAGAAAAAAATAGTTTTTTTTAATAAAAAAGATTGTTTTTTATTTTTTTTCAGTAATTTTTCATTTATGACAATGAAACAGAAAAATGTTTATAAAGAATAAATTATAGAATGCAATAGAAATTAATTATATACGAGTTAAATTTTAAATTATTCACATTTCGAAAGTGTAACTCATTGTACTTGAGTCTTGAGGGCATAAAAATATTTTGCAAAGTTCTATCGTATGGAAAAATATCGATCGTTTGTGATATTTCACGTGTAGGAGGAAAAACGTATATTTGAAAATAGAAATTCAATATAATTAGGGTTGCCACAAAAATTTAACTTTTGAAAATATTTTTTATTTCTTTTGAGGAATTTAATTAAAATTTTACTGCAATTTATTATAATGAAGAATTTTATAACAATTTTTGAAAAATTTTTGAAGAATTTTCTTACAATTTTTAAAAATATAATTAAATTCTTGAGAAGAATTTAAATAATATAATTTATTAAAATAATTGAATTCATGCGAAGAATTTTTATTAAATTTTCTTTAAATAATTGAAATTTTGCCAAGAATTTTAATAAAATTTTTGACAATAATTAAATTCTTGAGAAGAATTTCGCTACCTATTTATATAAAAATAATTTAATTCTGACGAGAATTATTAAAAAATTTTGAAAATAATTTAATTTCTGCAAAGTATTTTATTACTTTGAAAAAATTGAATTCTTCTAATCAATTTTGATACTTATGAAAATAATTGAATTTTGAAGAAGAATTTTATTAAAATTCCTTAAAATAATTGAAAATTTTAAATAATTGATTTTTTTCTACTAATTTTATGCAAATTCTAATTTAAATAATTGAATTCCTGAGAAATTTTAATTATTCATGAAAATAATTCAATTCTCACGAAGATTTTTACAAAAATTTTTTTGAAAATAATTGAATTCCTAAATAGCATTTTATTATTTATGAAAATAATTGAATTCTTGCTAATGATTTTATGGGGATTTTTTAAAAATAATTGAATTTTCAAGAAAAAATTAATTACTTTTAAAAATAATTGAATTCTTGTGATGAATATTGTTATTTATTGTTATTTTTAAGAATAATTGCATTTTTCAAGGAATTTATTTAAATAAATTAATTGTATTAAAAATATTCGAAATTCCGCAATGAAAATAATTTAATTCCTAAAGGAAATTTTATTATTTATGAAGATAATTGAATATTTTCGTAGAAATGTATCAAAAAAATTTTTCAATAATTAAATCTTTTGATAAATTTGACGAAAATAGGTAATATTGAAAATTATTGAAAAACTTTTGAAAATAATTGAAATTTTGCAATGAATTTTATTTAAATTTTTGAAAATAATTGGATTTTTGGCGAAAAATTTTGCTTTTTTTTAAAGATAATTAAATTCTTGACGAGATATTTGTTAAAATTTTGTTAAATAATTGAATTTGTTCGAAGAATTTTATTATACTTTTGAAAATAATTGAATTCTTTTGATGAATATTGTTATTTATAGAAATAATTGAATTTTGCAAAGAATTTTATTAGAATTCCTGAAAATAATTGAATGTCTGTGAAGAATTTCAATTAAATTAAAAAATTTTTATTCAGTTAAATAAAATAAATAGTTATCCTATTTTTAAAAATCCAAAATCTAATAACCAATTTGCAAAACTTTAAAGATAGTAGTTTTAAAAAAGAATTCGGTTTCTGAAAGTAATATTACCTTGTGCCCTAGAAAACTTTCCGTCTTAAAGCAGAACATTTGGGCAATAAAAGGATTAGTCAGGTATTTAGAGTTTGACCTTCAAAAAGTAACAAGTAATTGCCAAACTATTATGAAACTAGACCGATAGGTACGTCACAGGCAGAATTTTTTTTTCCTTTTTATTACCAATTTTCATGTGAATTTTTCTAATTATGAAAAAAGACGTCACTTAAATATCATATTGAATCAGAAATCAATTTTTTGAATTTTTTTTTCGATTAAATAATCACTTTCTATATAGAATCAGTTTTACGTCATTTTTTTCTATTCTCATTTATCTAATCGCATTTTTTTTATATATTTATTGTATTTTTTTTCGAAGAGTGAAAAATAAATCTTTTGTGATTAATTAAATTTTGATTTTATTTTTTTTATTATAGAAAAAAAAATAAAATCAAAATTTAATTAATTACAAAAGATTTTTTTTTCACTCACTTTTGGAGTAGATTATCAATTCGATGAATTTTATCAGAAAATATAGTAAAAAATGGTTAATTTTTTTTAAGTTTTCATGCTTCGAAACCGAAACAAAAATAAAATACAAGAAAAATAAAAAAATGTAACGATAATAATAATTTTTCTCTTCTCAAGAGAAGAGTACAGTGGAATTTAAAGAGATAATAATTTACCTCGTCTCGAAGGACCTCGAGACTGCTGACGTGATCCTGAAGGGTATTATTTCTAGTGGCGCATTTTTCCCTAAGAACTTTGACTTCCAAGATGAGTTGCTCCTCTTGTTTCGCAGCTTCCCTCAACTGATCGGCGAGTCGCGTGTTCTGGGCCGTTAATTCAGCGACCAAAGTCGCCTGATCCCGTTCTGCTCTTCGTGCACGCTCGCTTTGTTCCTCCAATTGGCTTCTCAACGATTCGACATCAGCCTCAAGTTCCAAGGCTCGGGCATCACTCTCGTCACGAGCCTCCTCCAATCTCCTTCGAAGAAGATGCCTTTCTTGCTCCAGATTCTGCAAAATAAATAATCCCACATAAACACTTTTCCTTTGCTATTGATTTTTATTTTATTTCTCATTCTATCTTTTATTTACCAGTAATTTATGTAAATTTTAAATTTAAATTTTTTTCATGGAAAAAATTAATCGAAAAATGGATTAATTAAATTTTTTTCCTATTGCTGCAGTTCTCTTCTTAAGTTTACTGTGACTAAATTTTTCTTAACAGGTTTTATTTTAAAAAATTCATGTTTTTTTCTTTTTACTCTAATTTTATTACTTTTTTCCCACATTTATGTACTTTTTAGTTTTCTTTCCGTGTATATTCAACATTTATAGCTTCCTTTCAAAAACCAGATAATTTCTTATCTCACTTTTTAATACTCCATAACAAATCCTGTAAATAATCAAGGAATTTTTTTAGATTTTTAATATTTACATTTTTAAAAAAAATGCATATAAATTTAAAAAAAAACGTTTTTTAGATTCTAAAAATGAATAAGGTATATATGTGTATACACGCGGTAACAGGTTGAAAATGAATGACAATTGTAAAAGTTTAAAGACCCTAGTTCTCTCACAATGGAGGCAGGGAACAGATCAGCAAATTATCATTTACAGAGTGCGGGTTCGGTTACTGGGAATCTTTCAAGTGTTAAAATTTCCTTTGTGTATTTTCCACCCGTCATGTTTTTATCCTCTGTTTCTCAAAAATCCCTCAAAAAAAAAAAAAAAAAAAAAAAAAAATGATACATAAGAAATATTAAATACAAGGATCCTAATCCATTCATTCATGTGAGGATTATTTGATAATTACCAAACACAACTTTTTGAAAAAGAAAATAAAATTTCAAAACTAAAAAAAAATTTCTGGAAAGAATTTTGTTTTGTTACTTTTTATAATTTATATTTAATTTATGTTTTATTTATATTTTACTTATATTATTATTAATTAAATTTATTGATAATATTTGGTACAAGTAAATATTTATTTTACGTTATTTATATAAATAATTATGAAAAATTACTTGTATAAATAATTATAAAAAATTACTTGCATAAATAATTATAAAAATTTACTTGTATAAATAATTATACGAAATTATTTATATAAATAATTATAAAAAATATTACTACCAGGAGAATAGTATAAAAATTAAAAAAACGAAAATAATTTCCCTGCGCAATTATTTTTAAAACGTTAGAATCGCTCTATTTAACATTCTTCTCGGGCAATTTTCGTCAAAACGTTTTATCTTAATGCTTAGACAATAACTGAGTCGATAAAAACTGAGAGAAAGTAATAAATTGTTAAACTATAATTTTCAGTTTGCAATGAATAATTTTATTTGACAATTTTGTGATTTTTGCGAAATAAACAATATTTTAGTTTTTCACCTCAAATATACAGAGAGTCAAAATTAAAAGTACAATAATATTCTCATGTTATATTTAAAACTAATTTTATTGTTTGTATAATTATATATATTACCTCGTTTTCAATTAATTATTTAACTTTCGGTTTAATAATATACCAAGAGCATAATTATTATAATAGATATTATTGTGTAATATAAACGGATAAAAGTGTCAATTATCAACTCTCGTCTAATTTGATAGAAAGTATTTGTTTTTTGTTTCATGTTTTAATTTATACATATAATATACTAGGTATATGAAAAATACAAGGAAGCGTAAATTATATTAGCTCTTTTCTCTTTTACAAATAGAATTATAATTAACAGAATGATATTAAAGATGCATGGAAAAAAAGTCACGATTCATAGAACGATCAATATTGGATTATTAAACAAAAAAATTAAAAGACTCTTTTCTTTTTCGAGAATAAAAATTCGTATTTACTTGTTTTATTTTTATTTTATTATTCTATTATTTTATTCATTATATTTTCATTATATTATTCATTATATTTACATTATATTAGTCTATTATTATTTATTATATTTTCATTATATTATTCTATTATTATTTATTATATTTTCATTATATTATTATTTTATTGATTATAAAATATAAAACTTTTTCGGAAGGATAAAATGGTGGTTTAATTTCTCCACTTGAGAACGCCAAGGTCACCACCAGGTGGCTAGGGAAATTCCAAGAAGGAACTAAAGTGCCATCTATCGGTGACCTTGACGTTCGCAGGTGGAGAATAAAATCTCCATATTGAATCTCAAGCTGTTCGTCAATATTCGTAATTCTATAATTATTTCTATATATAGACTTTGTCAATAAATAAAAACTAATTAAAAATTTTAATTTACTTTCATTTGCGATATTTTTATGGTAATTTTTTTTTATTTAAGTAAATATTTATTTGTATCAAATAATGTTTGAAACTTTGAATTAACTCGGACGTTAAAGACCCGGATTCAATTAAAATAAATAATTTTGGGGCCGTTCAAAAAATACGTAACGCTTTAGGGGGGAGGGGGGGGGTCAAGCTATTTGTTACGGTCAGCAGAAAAAATGGCGCTAATGTATACAACATTGCGTTACATGGGGGGAGGGGGGGTCCAAATTTCCGAAAAATAGCGTTACGTATTTTTTGAACGGTCCCTTTGTTCCTAATATAAAAAATAATATAAAAAATTTTTTTTATTACAAACGATAAAAATAAAGTTGACTCATTAAAAAGAAAACATAGAATTAATAAATAAACGATTGTGCCCAATGTCCAAAATTCTAACCCACACGATTATGGTCAAGAAAAGAATATATCAATGAAGCGTGCAAATTATTCTTGAATTTAAAGTAAATCTTTTGAATAAAAAATAAACACTCGTCCTCTATAATAAAATGATCATCATCGTCATCTGAATCATTCGCATAAATTATAATATAGAACTGCGTGTAGCCCCGTTTTTCTAAAAGGCGATCGTCTCGATTTCCAAGTCGTCAGTATAGGAGATGAGTGACTATATATGCAGACGATGAAAATAAGTCAACTATTTACAAAGCGAAAATTCTAATTTCTAATTTCTCTCGTGTATAAAATTTAAATCTTGATTAATTGCAATTATTGAGAATGATAAATGAATATAAACTATATGTTTCGCAAGTAAAAGTATACCACTTGAGGAAAACGTAATTGCCATGACGTCATTTGTAACAAAACTGGTTAATTATTATATATGATTATTTCTAATCAATTCAATTTTCCTGAAAATTTCATTTACAGTTGTTTTAATCTATTCTCATATTTATTTTTTTATTTATTTATATACCGTAAAAACGAGCTTACCAAATGAAATTTTTTTTTTGTTATTTTTATTCATTTATAATTATTTAGCAATTATTTTTTTTTAAATTATTTTTTTAGATGATTTTTGTCTCTGAATTAGCAGTTTTCTATATTAATTAAATAGTACCAATAAAAAATAATTAATGATAATATAATAATAATAATAATAATAATAATAATAATAATAATAATAATAATAATAATAATAATAATAATTTTTTATAATTATTATTATTATTATTATTATTATTATTATTATTATTATTATTATTATTATTATTATTATTATTATTATATAATTATTTTTATAATTATTATATATTGTATATTGAATAATAATTCAAAACAATAAATAAATAAAGAATAACTAAACATCCTATAAAAATCAGAAATAATAAATACAAAATTAATTAATTAAAAACCACAATAATTCTTGAGAAACAAATAAAGAAACAAAACTAACGTGTAGCAGTCGAACATGTAAAATCTGATAAGTTTGCAAACGATTGCAAAGTTTTTGCAGATTAAGAGAAAGCGTATATAATAAATAAATGAATTTGATACAGGCAGTTGTTATAATTGTAGCGTAATATAAAGAGAAGTTTCGAAAAAAATGGTGAAAATTTCGTCTTGATTTCTCAAACATTGTATATAATATATAAAGTTGCAAATAATCACGATAATCAAATAATCATCTACTCATCGTGAATTAGCTATGTAACAATGTATTTTCTCCTTTTTATAAACATTTTATTACAAAACACAAAAGGCATATAACAATCGACAACAAATCAATGATGATTGCAATATTGCAACAATGATCCATTAAACATTTAAATAGGCAAATTATGTTTCTATATGAAAATGGAGCAAGGACTGTTCAAGATCGAAATAACAAATTTTTTTTCACTCAGAGTAACTGCAATTTTACTCTTTGCAAATCGTTGAAAAAGAAGAAGAAGAAGATCTAATTATTATAATAAGATGATGATGATGATAATAATAATGATTATAAAAATAACGAAAATAATGGACATAATAATGTTCGATTACGATGCGAAAGGGCACGGCCCGTGTAAATAAATAAATAAAAATAAAAATAAAAAATAAAAAAAAGATAAAAAAAATAAAAATTATGATGATAATAATAATTTTTCAGAGTGCAATGTACTATAATAATTATTATACTATTACCACGGACATAATTTGTATTTTTATTATTTTCGTTGTTATCATCATCAGTATTATTTTTCCGAATAAAAAAAATTAATTAACAAATAAGTATAAATAAATTAAAATAAGTGTAAGTAAACAATATGAAAGCAATTAAAATAGCGACATAATATTGAATCTCCACCCGGGAGAGAATATTCTTGTCATGGGCATTGCTCATCTGGAACTCATTAACATAACATATTCTTCTATATTATCATAATAAATTCATGATCATAACATCATTCACAATCAAGGAAAGTAATAACCCTTGATTTATATATATGTACATCACTAATTTTGGAAAATGTTTGAGGAAAAAAAATTCTCGAGAAAGAGAGTCCATAAATAAAAGAGATAAATTATTTCCTCGTACAATTTCAATAAATTTATAAATATTTAAATAATATATATAAATTTCAATAAAGTAGCTGAGTTTCCGGAGTATTTTCTTTTAACACGTGAAGAGAAATAAAAAAAGCTTCTTCGGAGTAATAAAGCATAAAAAAAAAGTGAAAAATGCATTTAAAAAGAAAAA